CCCGAGCAGGATCAACGATGCCGGTAACCCGAGCAGGATCGACCATGCCGGTAACCCGAGCAGGATCTTCGATGCCAGCAACGCGAGCAGGATCAACGATGCCAGCAACCCGAGCAGGATCGACGATGCCACCGATCACAATTGCTGGTAATGCCACTGGCACTAGATCACCACTGACTGGTAGTGCTACAGGTACAACGCGTAGGATTGCTGGGAGACGTCGTCGGCAGTTGGGGTGAGAATTGCCGCAGATGGTTGAGCTGAAGTTTGGTGGTTGGTGAAGACTCATTTTTTTTTGCAGCTGTTTCACAAAATCCTATTTGTTGTGGATTGTGAGTTAGCTTTTCCATAGAGATTGCTTTTTTTCTGGTACTTTTTCAACTTGTCCGCGTTTAAGTTTTGCTTATTTTTCTTTTGGCGATATGTGACTTCTGTTTTTTTCCTCTCGTTATGTTCAAGGTTGTTGGATGCGTATTATGTGATTAACTGATTCGTGTTTTTCTTGTTGTCTTTGGAATAGAAACAGGAAGGTCTGGACGTTTTGTTGATGATTCTTACTCAGGAGTGATGTTGGAACATTTTGATTTTGGTTGTAAGACTAAGTCGTAATGTGGGTTGTTGACTTCAAATGGTAATATACTTATTGATGGTTCCAGGTTGGAAGCGGTGCTCGCTAGTGAATTAGTGTCCAAGGCAAATGCTATTTTACATGAAGGTAAACATCCGCCATATGACACTTACTCCTACAATAATGTCGGAGTTCAAATTACGGATCTATGATAATGCTTGTATATTGTGTTTGCTGATATCCATGTGTAAGGAAATCGGGAAAGAGAGCTATACGGTGATCACTCATTTCCATCAATAATAGCAAGATTTCGAGATGATTTTTGTACACAGGATATATTTTATTGACCGATGTAAGATGATGATATTTGATCAGTGTTGCTCGTACAGCATTCGTGGAAACCTATTCGTATCATTGTGCTAGAGCTGGTTGAGCGGTGTTAGAGGAATCATCAGTGAAATATTTTGGCTACGCACTAACAAAAGAGATGTAATAAAAATAGTGTAGTTGTTTTATTTAAAATAACCCCTGGCAGCGATGCATGAATTCGATTTGATTGAATAAGTATTCTGATCCATGGCTAGGTGTGTGCAGTGTCGATGTACTGACCACCAATTTGCGCCAATAGTGTCCACTGGAGCACCGACTACACCGAAAATCGCGTTAGCGCTCCACTGGACACACCATCAATGTGATCAGTGGTCAGTTCTTCAGTATTTACACCGACACTCCACATCCATATCCATGGCGTAGCCAATATTGTTTCTTAGATATCAATCTCTGCGGCCTTTTTGGTATGAAGTTAGTGAAATTTTGATAATCATAGTATTGTACTAGTATTGCACTAAATCAAATCAAGAATGATGAGTATACAAGTAGTTTCTCTGATTATCTCCGGTTTGAAGTCGCAAATTAATTAGTTCATCAAAGATTGATATTGCAACAGCGCGCACTCACTTCTGTATTTATTAGTTAGATGTTTCTAATAAGTTTCCATGTAAAACGATTCTATTTTGAAAAATCTGTAATATTTTTGCTCTTATTTGCTGCTCAAATTCTACTTCAATTGAACTGTTTGAAGTTAGGCAATTCTGTAATCGTTTCATCATCTTCCTCATAATGATTGTTATGCTTATACAGGATTTGTGTCAAAGTAGAAATATTAACTAAGTGGATGAATAGTAGACACGAGAATTCACGTGGAGTGATGCCTGTGAAATATAAAACACGCTGTTGTTGTGAATGTGGATGTGAAGGACATCGAATTTTTTCGGTCAGTTGCAACGTTGATTGAATTTGTTGCGCATAATTTGAGAGTACGTCATCGCTCTATGGGTAACAGTTGCTCGATACATTTTTTTTTTTAAATTTATGGTAGTTGAAGCGTTAATTTTCAGTTTTTTTAATTACACACTGCGTACAAACTTGAAAAAATAATTGATTGCAAATCATAGAGAAACAAGATACTAATGTATTTTGTTATGTATTCATTGAGAATTAAAATGTTTTCCATCAATCATCTTCGAGAGCAACAATCCTATGATATGTTCACATATACTTTTGTTAACATCGAAAGATTAATTATTTCTTTAGTTGGTTAAGAAAAAAATAATATAAAAATATGTTCAGATATTAAAAAAAACAGAAAGAAAGAATACAATAATGTATGATTTGGTATTTTCGCTCCTTCAGCTAAACTATTTCAGAATTTTACAGTACACTTTCAAGAGATTGAGAAAGTGTTATAAAAAGCATGTGTTGTTGGTTGAAAGTCGAGCTCTTCAGAAGATGCTTTGAAATTTTGTGTAAGTTTCTTTCAGTTTTTCTAAATATAATCCAATAATGATACTTCTCGAGCGAATAGAAGACTAGCAAGATCGTCCCATTTAGAAGGATTTATTAAGTTATAAATTATTCTTGTCTTTGTCAAGCAACTTTGGATTAAGCACTTCTTAGTCTAGTTTAGTCTCAAACTCTAGTATGAATAATTTTAAAGATGTCGTACAATCAACTAGAATTTTCTTATGCTCAATTTTTGAGTTGAAACCTATTGCTGTACCATGTATTAGAATTGCCTTATTTGCTTTAGCTATATCAATCAGAAATATATTCTTATCGGCTAAATTTTCTAAGCTTTCAATATTTTTTTGTTTGAAATTTTAAATATTCTATTGAGTGTTGTATGATGTTACAAAATGAACGTGCATAAGAAACAATTAACACAGATAGATTCGACCCTGTGGAGCGCATGGAGACATCCTGATGAGCCTCTGTTCTGCATCGCCGTATTAGATTGTCATTATTCGATTTTGCTATCAAAAAACTAACCATCTATGAAGTTGCAGAGGCATGTTTCATTAATCAAGATTTATCATCAGTGCAAAATACCATATGTAGTGAAGACGAGGGAAAAGTCAACGATAATTGAAAGTGCTAGGTGGTTTGAAACCACACCAGTTAGTCAAAGATCCTCGACTATTGAAATAATACAAGTTGAAAATCTCCGATTAGAAATATATCCAGATTTTTCATTTGTAGTTATTCAACTCAAAACATTCCATTGTAGAATTCTCTCGACAACTATTCTCTCGAACCATTAAACCCACACATGTAGAAGATAGTGCAGAATCAATAATATCAGTCATTGAAGTGAACATTTCAATTCGCGTTCAAATTTTTTGCCGGATAATTACCCTCTCTTTTATTTTGTTCAAAAGCATAGGTTTCTTTTAGTACTTTTATTTGATCCGTTAGTAGTTCCATGACTTTATTCCAGTTGCTATTTAAATGATCAGCATCTGGATGATAGCGTATATTTCTTTTAAACTGTTGATTTTGATCTGATTTATTTTATAAAACCCTTTGTTTCTTATACCGTTATCATGATATTCAATCGTAATAAATAGTTGAGCTGCAGTTGACAGTAGATCAGAATGATTTTTGAATTCAAGTACCAGTTTCCACTGATATTTTTGAATAAATAATTATGACTATGATCAATGGATATATGTGGCTCACTGCAGTTATGATATTTTATTTCACACAAGTTATAATTTTCTTCATCATTGCGATCTTTACTGTATCTACTATAATGGATTAAGTTTTAAATTGTACTATATTCCATTTCATTTTGAAAATCACTTTATACGAGTCTGCTTCTTGTATATAAGAGTTCCAATGATATATTCTACAAAATAAATTGATTCCAGTTTTATTTCCAATTCTTGTTCATGTTCATTATCCGATATTGAGTTTTTAATGCAATTTTAAAATGACAGATATTTGTGGTAGTCAATGTTTAGAAGGGTGAGGTGTAATAATTATTAACATTATTAATTTCTTTTTGGATATCGATATGAGTTACATTGAAATGCGTATAAATCAATTACTGCTATCATTTCTTGAATATAACCTTTCTTGCTAATCTATCGTTGTTCGAAATTTGTTTTGTCTTTGATGATTGGTTTTCTGTTGATAAACATGATTTCCTATACAGTTGAAGAAATGTTGAATAAATTTAACTACTTTGTTTTAGATCTTTCATTTTTAGTTTACATTCTAATTTAAGAGGTTGTTGATATGTTGATATTAGATAGGTGAGTGCTTGATTAAAAATTAGAAATGAACTTGCATGATTTTCATAATGTTTATTGCGTCAGTCGTTGGTAGTCGAATTGGAATTGGAATTTGTACATATTATTCTATTGGCTGTTGTTGCTTGATCATTTTTCGAGTAATTATTTCTTCTTTTCTATTAAGAGTTATTTTTGTTGTTGATAATAATTTTACATTATCATCATATTGATATTCAACTCCATTTGTTCGATACCGTTGTAGTGATGGAGATTTACTACGTTGGTGAACAATTTTCATAATGTATTTTGAAAATCGATACGATATCACATTAATCACCTTTTCCTTTTTGTGCCATATTAATATGTCTACTAGTACTCATAATCAAATTTTAACTAGTTTCAGTAAAAATATGACTGAATAAATAAATAAAGATCATCAAGTTCATATAGGTTAACAGAGAAAAGAAATAATCGTGTACCTATACGACCAGTGAACGTAAAGACGAATAATACAGATATTTTTTCATATATTCCAAATACATTCCGTAGGCCAAAAAATAGACTAAAATTATCGAAATATGAGACTAGACAATCCGATCTGACTTATAAAGAACAGATTGAACAATGTTTTTTCAAGGGTGTCGTAATTGCGTATTACTAATCGAATAAAAAAATCTCATTTTCTATTCAAGTGCGCTGTTTTTAGTGCTGGCAAGCCATCCACATTAAACCAGATACAGTTATTACAGAGACGTGTTATTACGTTCTAAAATTTGTACTTTTACCTATTCAAAGTAACCATTTATCAAGAGTGTGTTTTCAAAACAACACTTCTCTTAACGTTTATCGATTGAATAAGTATATACTTTAACGCAATGCAACAAGTGCTAAGATATACTCGTATCTAATTGGAAAATGGATAGATTTTTTGCTATTGAAATGAAAGTAAAAATGATTGAAGTAGTTAGTCAGCCATAGTGTATGCTAAACGTCCTTTTAAGCTATTTCTCGTGCTCGAAAACAGTTTTATACTGTTCCTATAGATTATTTCTTCCGCTATTATAAATTAAATACCCGGTCATAGCACTTGAAAATACTATGCAAATATTTTTTCTGTTCTTACCATTATTCAATCAAATTTGCAGTTGAGAAGACAGTAGAGAGTGCTTGTGGAGAATTGATACGTCATATATCAATGAAGTGCAATCAGGCATAAAAAACAAACGCAATTAAATGCCATATTTTATATTGGTTCTAAGAAAAATATCTAACGAAAACAGAGAAGAATCGCCTATATAATCAGTCGTTCCTGTCAAATCCATCATTCTTAATTCAAACGATGCAACGTTTTACAAGCATGATAGGCATTATGATGTAAGTACCGTTACACTCGTAATCTAATGATTACTTGAATTTATCTTTCTAGATTCCTGCTATGTACAACAACAGGTAAAAAAACACTATCTTCATTAGTCTATCTCTGTTAGGATGGCCTTACTGTATAGATGCTTGATATATTATTTTTACTATTCTCAGCTCAATATTGAGCTTAAAGCACCAAGTTTTTCGAAGAAAGACACTATCTAAACTTTCTCGTCCACAGCATAAATGTATGAGTGAAATAAGCTCGTATTGTACCGTTACGTTGCGTTCCAAATAGAAAAACAAAAATATATCATAGTTTCATGTTTATAGTTTTTAACATTTTATATTAAAACATAACCTTCCTGTGTCATAATTTTGATAGAAAAAATATTTTTCATGGAACTGTTTTGTAGTTCCACCAAACTTCTTTTTTCATAGCGAAACTTTGTAGAGTTTTCATTCTGATAATTCCATCGAAGCTTTCCATAACAATTTAGATACGCGCGCGCACAATTACTCGCCTAGGCACAATAAATATGAGTTTGAAAAATCGATTAATAAGTAAACTCAGATTTCTTTCATATTCGATAGTTTAACGTATCAATAATCTAATCTCTTAAAAAACGTTATTGGTACAAAATTTTAGTTCTAAAATGAATAAATAAAACCAAGTGAGATAGGTGCACGATGCTTTCACGAACATTGTCCACGTATTGATCTTTAGTTATTTCATAAAAGAAGTTATTCTAAACATTCTATGCTCAGCCTACTCTTCCAGGAATAAGATACATACCCTATCATTCATCAATCTATTTTTTGCTTAACACGTACGCAGCTTGCCGTTTACTTTTATTTATATTCTTCAATTATTTTGTTTCTCTACAAAAAACTAGCACCTCAAAAGAACTGTTCAACTTGTCATTAAAATATTACTGTGAGTTGAGTTGTGGTAAAATCAGAACAAAGCGCTGACGACATCTGATTTGATTTCTTGATAGATACACAAAACCTTCACCTATGCCTCTGACCGGCGACATTACCTTGCTTCCTCGTAGGAGAATACATAGTCGGTTATATTTAGAATTGTCATCCATTGCATCCTGAATTCATAGAATTACACAATGAGTTCCATCTGACTTCATGCAAGAGAAAGAAACAGTAACCATTCCCTTAGAGGAGTGAGAGGCCTTTTTCGTTCAGATCCTACAAATTATTCATGAAACCATGTTTTCACCACTCATAAGTAAATACCTATTTTATTGTTTGTCTTCTTCTTCGACGAGACAATCACCCTTGAGCAACCTTCCAATTTATGTATCAATACAACATAAAAACACATTTTTAAGAATAATCAATTAATCTATATCTTTCACAAGATCCACTTGCATAAGAATCTCATTCCTTCCTTACTCAATCACACCCAGTCCTAAAACTACTTGTTTCTAATACGTCGCAAGAAGCACTAATAATTGCAAATGTCGAAAACTCTCATTGCGCTATTATTTCATTTAATATACTCTTCTTCTGAAATAACACACATACACGATTACGAACACTCTACCCTAACTCTTCCAGAAACAAAAAACATAGAACAATTCACTCGAGCTAATCCCTACACGAATAAGATACCATCGAATTTCTAAACAAATCCTTTGCAGCTGTAGCACTTTGTTAGACATGCACCGCATTAGAAACGCTTCCAATTCATATCTCAACAGCCTACCCACAGAACATTGGTTTACCAAGAACCAATCACACACATCCCCGCATTATATATCCTATTTCATTTACAGTAAACAGCCAAACAACAAACTTGACGCCAACAGCGAATACCGCGCGTAATTCCACACAAGCCAACACATTACCCACTAACATTACGACCACTACACCACAAACGACTGGCATGCCAGCATCCATACAACCAACGACAGTTGGTTTACCAATCACAAGCACAAGACAACAAACCACTGGTATGCGACATCTATACAATCAACGACAACTGGTTCACCAGTGACAGGTACAAGACAACAAACCACAGGTATGGGAGCATCCGTACAACCAACGATAACTGGTTCACCAGTGACAGGTACAAGACAACAAACCAAAGGTATGGGCGCATCTATACAACCAACTACAGGCGCGTTACCAATCACAAGCATAAGACAACAAACCACAGGTATGGGAGCATCCGTACAACCAACGACAGCTGGTTTACCAATCACAAGCACAAGACAACAAACCACAGGCATGGGGGCATCCGTACAACCAGTGACAGCTGGTTCACCAGTGACAGGTGCCAGACAACCAACCACCGGTATGGGCGCATCTATGCAACCAACTACAGGCGAGTTACCATTCACAGGCACAAGAGGACAGACAACTGTAATGACGACTAGTACAACGTCAACGCTGAGTGTTCGTGCTATTGCTGTGATCAAGTCGAAATCGTACCGAAGACGGCGTCGTCATGAATTTGTCTGATACGGGTGCCATCCACTCTCTTATGCGACGGTTTAAATGACATGAAGGCTCTCATGACGCTGTTCCGTAATTTCCAGATAGCTTGAGACTATTTGAAATCTTTTTTTTATAGGCGGTTTCGGTTTTATTTGGCTTTTTGAAATGTTTCACATGTTGTCCTTTTTTTCCAGTAAAACGTCTATCACTGTTATCGATCTGGTTGTAGTTTTTCATTTTTTGGCGAGTGCTTGCGGTATGGTTTAGCGTCCTGTATGATTTCTTATCGGTAGTGAGAAATCACTTGTCTTTTTTTTTGCTTCATGTTTTTCATAATTTCTTTGTTGATGAATAAGTCTGTTTTGATGGTTTAAGTTAATTGAGAAATTTTAATGTTAGACATGTTTGATAGCATGTGTTTTGGTGTTTCAGGACATAAGGAAGATGGTTTCTGTGTTGTTTTGGTTTGGGTTTTCATACGGTAGAGCATAGGAAGCCTTTCATCGCTTAACGAGTATTGTTTGGAGTATTAATTGCTTTAGCTGCTGTTCTTGTTTCACGAAGGGTATTCTATCTTTCTTTTAACAAGGGAAACACTGCTTTTTTTCCTCACTCCGTGCTTTTGAGAGATGTGAGATATGTATGCGGTTGAAAGCAGTTATTGTTAGAGAAGCTTAGAGTAGTTGTGAATCGGTAACTGGTTTTGTTGATTACAATGAATTTTGTTCTAGAGCGTTGTGAAATTCGCTCGATGATGACAATGGAGATCAATACATTATCATAGTTGATTGGGTAATGTTTTCTATGTTAATCTCGTCTTCAGTTGCTGCATTATGTCATATTTCTGGTTTTTAATCGATTTTGGCATCACAGAACGACAACTCCAGGTGTTTTGAGTATTATGACTCAATAGAATAACGAGAAGAACTCAGGATCAACAGTTATTAAATAAGCCTGAAAACAGTTTTCTATCAGGATCTAAAATGGGCACAAGTGGCTCGAATAATAATCGTGTGATAGCGCGAACGTAATGTTCACATAATGAATAACTGGAGTTGCAAAATAAATTTCGTTCATTGCAATTGATCCGATAATTTCAGTGTTAACAACTATGATAAGAAAGTAGAGAAAAATTTAAATTTCGCTTAGACTAAAACTTGAAGTCAACAGCTAAAAGAAGATCACACTCTTGTTCAAGCACCAATTGTAGTGCTACACAATAATGTAATCCTTTTGAAGGGCAAACTGTCTTAGTAGCCAATAAGTCTTCGATCAACACTGTGAGTATTTAGTACGTAATATTAGAGAAAAACTAATGAAAGTTTACAGAACTTAGTGAAGGATTGTCTCAGAAATGACACTAGTGCACTTGATGTCATTTATTCAGCAAAATATTGAACTTGAGAAACTCTATACGGCAATTTTTCTTCATCATAATTCATAATTAATTGATTTTCAATGTGGAACAATTTCAAAAGAGATAAAATGTTTCAACCAATCTACTATACTACAGCACCATGTAGACTTTTGATGCAAAGTGTGTAAACATTCATGAAAGTAGCGTCGTACCTGAGAACACATAACAAAGCGAGTACAAATACGGTGTGATAATAATTCTTGGATCATCAATGTGAAAGAAATCATTTCACTAAGAACATACGTTAAGTTACATGATATAAACGATTGAAATCTTTTGATATCTCTCCTGTAACACATGCTATTGGTCAATTTTCACGACACGTGAATAATGATAGATAGCATATTGCAGTCATATACCGTTATCTTGTTTTCTTCAAGCGGAAAAGTTCTCAGTCAGTTACTTATGGCGCTCTTCAATGTTTTATTTTCGTAAACTACAATGACTGTCTCTATTTTTCAGTATTGTGAGATAAGTTTTTGAAATTTATCGTTGATGTTGTTTTATTTCTCTATTATTCAATGTCGAATTCGAATCCATTCTATATGAAAAATCTATTGTTTTCTGCTCGATCAAATTCATGGGAACAACGCTCCGCAGTTGACAGCAATGTTACATCTAATGATAACATCAAAGAATATTCGCATCCTAATATGATAATTGAAGTAATCATCAGTGAAAAAAATGTAGATAACTTTCTCATGCTCTATTTTCTAGTCACCTGACAAATTGAGTAAGTCACACGCATTTGAATTTTTACAACTAACATCATCAATTGAATCAAAATCATCGTCTTCCGATGTTGTAAAAGAGTAATTTTTTAATACTTTCACATAACCTATTTGTCTTTTATGAATTTAGTAAAATCGCATTCAGCATTGAAGAAGACGAACTTGTATCATCTAACAATAGAGAGTCATTTTCTTATGTAGCTATATACTATATCTGGTTTTATCTTAGTATGAATTGATCTACTCATAGGATAATCTGTCGCATTTGAGTCTGTTAATTCCTCAACAACGATCTACTCATGTTTTCACATCATTTAATAATGCTGCACAATCAACAAAGTTAACATCAAATACGAATAAACGATCATCATTATTACGTAGTTTGTTTAAAAGAAATTCATCAAAGCAAAGCACATACGTTGTACAACAACCGATAAAAAACTTTCAATCAAGAAACAAAAGACGAAGTATTAGTGGTGGAGACCATGTTAAGATTTCACTTACAAAAGAAATTCACGTGGAAGATTCTTTTCAAGCAAAACATCCATCAGCTATGAATATTCAGGGAGATATTAGTACCAACCAGGAAAATAATAATAATCAAATGCAACTACCATTACAAGGCTTACGCTATGACTTTAAGGATATAAAATCTATATCGACTACTGTCAATTCGTCAGAAGTGCAAAATCCATCAAAAGATTCTGGTAAGTGAGATGACACAGCTACAATTATGATCTTTTTTCTCCTCATTAGCTATTTCAGTACCATTTATTAGTCGTTTATCTAATATAAAAGAGAAATCCTTGTCATCTCTACCGGATTCAACATTACTATATCAAAATACCAACGAACAAAAACAGTATATTCAAAGTGCACATACGGTTGACGGTATACCAAAAATTAAAACCACTCATAGTTCACTAGAGAGAATATCATTTAATGCTAATCAACATAAATTCTATACACAAACACCAAACTATCATTATCCAAAACGTCTTTCAACTATTAAAACGCTTGCAACGCAGTATTCGTTACCAGCAACAACACGAAATACTACAGGACTTTTCTGGTTTAATGCTAATCAACAAGCGGTAAAGGCTCTTTCTTTTTGTCAAACTATAGCTCTAAGCAGCCCATACATATTTCTTTTAGGTGAATAGAACTATTTCATTTCCAAAACAGAATCATATGAAGAAGAAAAATAATAGACTTGACTCATCTTCTGATAGTCGAGACACTTCATCATCGTCTAGTAATAGTACTGAAACAATTACAAACAGTACATCTTCGAATTCGTCAAGTTCATCAACAAATACCAAGAGTAAAAGCTATAGCAAATCTAGTTCCACTAGTAGAACATCAAGTTCTCAATCCGAGCAATCAACAACGAAAGTCATACGACAATATAATCGAAATCAAAATGATCAAGATGATTTTATTCGGATCGATCTAAATTCAATGACAAGTCGAACATCGGCGAAGTACAAAAAATAATGAAACTTTTTCATTTGATAACCTTATTCTATTAGTACAAGTTTGCAACCGGTCTCTCGAAAACGAGTGTCAACCACTTCCAGTAGTATTACGACAAGTGACAGTGACAGCTCTTCATCTTGAACTACGATTAATAAAAGCAACAACAAAAAAATTCGATTTATTATTGAAATAAACTTAATCATAAAGTTACTAAAAGGTATACAGGCGTTTCTACTGGAAACAAAAACATTTCTAACAATTGATCAGTTATGATTGGTTTTAATCTAGTTCATCTATGATGCTAACGATTAGATTAACATACTATTCATAATCTGAATACTTGATAATAAATTTCGTATCTTAAAACTAAATTTATAAACTGTAAGAAAATTTCACATTCTAAACGATTAAAAAAATCGTTTTAAAAGCTTTCTACTTAATGTACAATACGTTTTGAATTTGAATTACTGACACTTATACTATTCTTTATTTAGTCTAATGATATTGTCTAGAAATTTGTCCTCGTTGGTGAGCAATACAACAAAAGTCAAAGTGAAATGACAATATATTGAAGCTAATATCATCGTTTTTATTTTCCTATCATTTTCTAAATATTTTTTATATTTATTTAACAAAAATAAAAATAAAGAACAATTTTTTTTATGATCATAGATTATTTTAATCTATTACATTGAATATGACAGAGCTTCTGGTTTTGACGTTTAATGGTAATGACTGATAACACGTTATGAAATGTTTTTCATCTGCGTCATTAAATAATCCTATAGAAATAAATCTATTTGTTCTCTCGATTGGATGTTAATTTTCTTTATTCTTTCTATAGCTATGAAATCTTCTTTCTCGTGGATAAAGAAAAGAATAAAAAGTAAACAATCACTTTGTGACCATACTATATTTCTTTTCAATCGAGGGTTAAACAGCATGCACAGATACAAATGAAATAGAGAACATATAGACGCGAATCTTACGTTCATCTTCTTTTCTGTGTTCGATATAAATAGATCGACCCATATAAATTTTATTTATTTATTCTCTCGCGTTAGATATTATGAGTGAGCGTGGTCGTGCTCGTGGTCGTGGCCGTAGTCGTCCTGTGATACCAGGTGAAGCAAGTAGTGAACCAAGTGGTGCTGCCGGTATCACTGCGCCTACGAGTGAAGTAATTGTTTTTTTTTCATAACTAAATATTTTCTTTTAATTAATCCGCGTTCTTTTTTCAGACACCTACTGAATCAGTTACAACTTCATCAGCACCAACACCGACTGTTCCTTCAGCTAGTGACACACCAACATCGGAATGGTCGACAACCGAAGCTGCACCGGCAGTACAACAAAGTGCCATACGTCGCATTGGTGGTGGCGGTACAATGAGTATTCCTCGTGGTCGTGGTCTTGATAAATTAGCACCACATATGGCTGGAATGTCGATTGGTGAACATCGTGAAGGTCGCTCTCGTGGACCACCGATACATGATGATTCTCAAAGACGTAGCGTTGATCCTACACGTGTAAATTTTCGTGAACCGGGATCAGAAAAACAGGGAACATCAGGCGAGCTGATTCCATTAATTGCAAATTATGTTCGTATTTTATCTGCACCACAATGGTCACTTTATCAATATCATGTTACATTTATACCCGATAGTATTGATTCTAGAAAAACGCGTCGAGAATTACTCGGTAATTTTTTCTGCTAATCTTCATATGCAATACTAAACTTCTATTGTTTTCTTCATAGCACAACATAAAGGTGTTTTACAAGATGTTGCATTTGATGGGCAAACATTATATTCATTTAATGACCTTGGTGATGTACGTAAAGATGAATTAAATACAACGCAAAATTGTTTTTTTCTTGATAAATTTCTTTTAGGATTATGAAACAAAATCATTTCATGAAGCTATTGGCCAAGATATAACTATGCAATTACATAAAGTTGCTGTGCAAGGTCCTGAATCGCCGAATTTTTTCCATTTATCGAATTTAATCATGAGAAAGTAAAAAGAAAAATCTAATTTTAGGGTTACACGTTTGATTTATTTTCCTTTATGTTTATAAAGATTATTGGAACTAGCTGGCATGAGAATGATCGGTCGCTCATATTATCAATTCGATAAAAAAATCGATATCGATCGATTTAGTTTAACATTATTTCCCGGTTTTGAAACAGCTATTAACGTTTATGAAGGTGTTTTAATGATGAATGTTGATCTATCACATAAAGTTATTAATAATGTTAGTATTTATCAACGTTTACAAAATATTTTTGCACAATTTCAAGAATATAAACTTGCACAAGATACAGCAATGCGAGAATTAATCGGACAAATTGTTATTACAACGTACATTTTATTTTCTTATTGTTAGTAAAGATTATTTACTTTTCTTCCTCCAATAGATATAATCATAAAACATATAAAGTTGACGATATTGCATGGGATAAAACACCTCAAATTACATTTGCAAAACGTGATGGAACTGAAATGTCATTAATTGATTATTACCAAGAAGTATGCTGAATGAGAAAGCGAATTTTTGAAAAAATAAAATCATTTTGATTTTAGCGTTATCAATTACAAATAGTTGATCATACGCAACCATTGCTTGTATCGAAACCAACACGACAAAATCGACGAGCGGGAATTACAGGACCTATTTTATTAATTCCCGAATTTTGCCGTGAAACTGGTTAAAGAGAAAATTATGAGAAAAAAAAATTGTTTTTACATTTTTATGTTTTTTTTAGGTATTTCGGATTCTATGCGTAATGATTTTAATCTTATGAAAGAATTAGCTTCACATACGCATATTGAACCAACACCTCGATATCAATCATTGATGGATATGGTTAATACAATTAATACGTATGTTATATTAGAAAAGAAAATTATTAAAAAAATTCAATTTTTATTATCTTAGAGCACCTCGTTGTCGTCAGTATATGTCCAAGTGGAATTTAAGATTAGACGATAATTTAGTTGAACTTGAAGCTCGTACACTTGAACCAGAAACAATTAATTATAGTGATCGTTCAGTCAGATATAAACAACAAGAAGCTGATTGGAGTCGTGATGGTATGAGAAAATACGAATAATTATTTCATTTGACTATCATTCTAATTTATTGAGATTTTCTAAACGAGCACTCAAAAAATCCCTTGCCTGTTACTTCGATAAATTTCAATTGTGTATGATTATTCTCATTTAGGTCGTAGTTGTCGTCATTTAAAACCAGGTCATTTGGATAAATGGCTTGTTGTTTATGAAGGAAAACAAAAACCTATTGCTAATGAACTCATAAATACACTTTATAATGTGTGCACACCAATGGTAAGATTTATTTTTATTCTAAAAAAATTTCAATTCATTTATCTATACGTAGGGTATGCGCGTAGAATATCCTGAAATGTAAGTTTGAAGTATTCAATTGGAGAATTGCTTTTAGTATTATTATTTTAATAGAGCTGAATTACAAAATGATCGACCAGAAACATATTTGAAAGCATTGGAGCAGTATTGTCTCAATCAGCAATACAATCTTGTTCTTTGTGTATTGAGTAATAATCGAAAAGATCGGTATGATGCATTGAAAAAATTCTTATGCATGGATACAGCTGTACCATCTCAAGTAATAATTTTGTCAGAGACAATCGTAAAGAACCAATAAATATTTATTTAGATGGTTCTTTTAAAAACTTTAAATAAACGTGGTCAATTGATGTCCGTGGCAACAAAAATCGGTATTCAAATATCAGCTAAATTAGGTGGAGAGATTTGGTCAGTTCCTATTCCAGTAAGAGGGGAAAGCTGTCTGTTTGTTTTTCTTCCATCGCTGTGTCTTTCTTTTCAGTCAAAAAGTTTAATGGTTATTGGTATTGATTCTTATCATGATAAAAAACGTAAACAAGTATCAGTAGCAGCCTTTGTTGCAACAACTAATCCTCAATGTACATCTTACTATTCACGCATTGTGATGCAAACAACAACTCAAGAGCTGGTTGATGGCATCAGTGTTTGTATCCGAGGTAAATTTTTGAAAAACAAACATTTAGAACGACTTTTTTTAAAATTCTGTTTGATTCTTCAGATGCATTAAAAGCATTTTTTATGCAAAATAATGCAATGCCTGAACGAATCGTAATTTATCGAGATGGCGTTGGTGATGGACAACTTCAGGCTGTCTATGAACATGAACTACCACAAATCGAAGAAACATTCAATAAAGTACAAGAAGGTTATGCGTAAGTGAAGTCGAAATAGGGTTTTCGAAAGTTCAAAGTGTTATGTCTTTTTTTTTTGAAGACCGAAATGGGCAATGATTATTGTGAAGAAACGTGGTTGTTCGAGATTTTTTGCGAAAAATAGTCACCAATTATATAATCCACCACCAGGCACGATCATTGATCATACTATTACACATCAAAATTGGTTTGACTTTTATCTTATTTCTCAATGTGCTAGACAAGGCACTGCAGCACCAACACATTTCAATGTTATTTGGGGTAATAAATAAAGTTTGCTTTTGTCTTGTTGTTAATTGAAAAATTTGGAATTTTAGATCGAACAACTTTTAAAGTGGATCACATTCAACGACTTACATTTAAACTGTAATTGAGATTTAAGTCATTTTTTCATAGAAAATAATTCTTTTTCTATCTCTCGTTTTAGGTGTCATCTTTATTATAATTGGCCCGTAAGCGATTGTTTTATGTTTTATTTAAAAAACATGATAATCTCTTTTTTGGTTTTTAGGGCACTATTCGAGTACCGATGGTTTGCCAATATGCTCATAAACTCTCATATCTCGTTGGTCAATCGCTTCATCAAGATTTTAATCATGATCTTTCGAATAAACTTTTCTATTTATAGATATATATATTATATATATTGCATTTATTTATCGTTGTATTGCATTATTTCGTTATAGTTATTTGATTGTTTTGTTTAACAGATAAGCATTTCTTTATTTTCATTTCGAAACGGCTGTATGATTTTTCCCTCATTTCATCGTATTGTGTATTGTCATATATATGTTGCGTTAGTCAGTGTTTTCGTTTTATACATTATTAGTTTGTGCGCCTTATGATTTTTCGGTTCACATTTATTTCGGCTTGTTTCATTTTTTCCAGCGTTTGTTTCGTGAAGGAGTTTACATCGATAAAGAAAATATATACACTAAAGTGCAATATAATTGTTTATAAAAAAAATAGGGTTGGTTTGCACAAGCAGCTTATTGTGTTGCCTGGTGTTAATGGCACGATTGCAGACCATAGAAAGGTTCACAAATATTTCGAAGTATAATTTCAGTAGATCCTCCACCTTTCTCTATTTTTTGAATTTTTCGATATTTTATGTCTTTTTTTTGTCAAGTTTTTTTTATACTTTTTCTTTTATTTTAACAAACGGTAAAATTGTACGAAGTAACTGACTCGACATCAGCGAACCCCGCAAATATAGAGATACAAAGGTAGAAACATGCTATATAATGAATCTTTCTAAAGATAAAAAAATCTATATGCGTGGCAAAACATCCAAGATTCTTCTCCACTCGATTTTTACACTCAGTTGACAAACAGCTTAAATCAAATGTACACGAGTTGAGGAAAATTTAAATTTTGCTTCTCATTCTCTTGATATTTCAAAGTTCAATTATTTTTCTTACTGATCTATTAAGGAGCAGAAAAATTACTTCTTTCCAGAACCTGATCCGATACTATTATATCAATATTTTTTATTTCACGTTGATAAACACGCAGATGCATAAAATTTCTCTTCCATCCTACTCGAGAAAAATATGTTGCACATTTTATGAAAACTTGTCAAGTAAAACGGCATTATTCTTTGTCACTGAGCTTGTGCATGTGCAATGACTATCGACTAAATTAAGTGAAGCAATTCAGTCCATTCCTATTCCATTAAGAAAAAAAATGTACTAGTTTTATTTTCTATTAAAAAGTTTAATCGGTATTGGTATTGATTCTTATCATGATAAAAAGAAGTAAGTAAGTATCAGTAGAAGCACTTCTTGTAACAACTCATCCACAATGTGTATCAGTGTTTGTATTCGAGCTAAAGTTCGAAAACTAAGATATAGAACTGTTTCTTCTAAATCCTGTCTAATTATTAAGATGATGTTGGAGATGGATAACGTCAAGTTGTCTATGAAATGGGTAATGATTATAGTTAAGAGACGCGGTTGTTCGAGATTTTTTGAGAAAAATATTCATTAATTATATAATCCACCACCAAGCACGATCATTGATCATAGTATTACACATCAAAATTTGGAATTTTAGATCGCGCAACTTTTAAAGTGAATTGTCTTTAACACTTTACATTTTTAATGCAATAAATAGACACTACTTTTGAACACAAGTCATTTCGTTGCCCGTCAATGATTCAAGTCTGAAATGCCGTATACTAAAACTTGCTAAACGAAAATTAGCGAAGAATTGCTTAATCGTACAATTATAAAATATTGTTTTGGTCAATATAATAATCGTCCATCGAATTTAGAAAAATAAAATTTTGATTTGGAAAAGCAGCGCTGATTTCACATCGATCAATACTTTTTTACTGCCTATTATAAACTTCAAATGATTGGTAATTTGCATCTAAAATAAATATATACATTCAGATGATATTAGAAAGAATATTTCTAGCGACTGTATGACGAAGGAGCCATCATACGGTTCAAGAACACTGCACATTTATTCATGCGCCTTACGGTTTTGTAGTTTACATCTAGTTCATTTTTTTCTAGCATTTGTTTCATGAAGTAGTTTGCATCGATAAAGAAAATATATACACTAAAGTGCAATATAAGTATAAAAAAAAATAGGGTTGGTTTGCGCAAGCAGCTTATTGTGTTGCCTGATGTTAATGGCACGATTGCAGACCATAGAAAGGTCCACAAATATTTCGAAGTATGAGTTCCATAGAAACATTTTCAGTAAATTCGCCAACTTTCTTTTTTTTGAATTTTTCGATGTTTTTTGGTTTTTTTGGTCAAATTTTTCGATTTTTTCTTTGTCGAGTTTTTCGATACTTTTTCTTTAATTTTAACACACAGTAAAACTGTACGAAGTAACTGACTCGACATCAGCCAACCCTGCAAATAGTTGTCTGTACGCTCTATATAAAAAGAACTATTTTGATGTGTTGCAATCACAGAGGGAGTAATATAATGTATTGACTATAAAGAATAGCGCAACGAAAAGTAATTTCCACGATCTAGTTTTTATCCGTGCAATTCGAAATAATGAAGTTCTGTTCTTTTCCTTGTTAAACTCGAAAAACATACAACATATGGAGAGTTGTTGAATGACACTTGTGATTAGCTAGATTAGAACCAATCGATAGCAAGCTTTAAATAGCGCTATTGCTTGAAATTAATTGGTTGAGTAAATGTGCGTCATCTGTTGAGTTGAGAGGTTTTTCTTTATTTTCGATTGGTTCTAACTATGATACACACAAAAAGTAACAAAATAAACAACCAACAAACTACGAAACGTTTCACCTATGAAATTTTGTTAGAAAATTTCTTTTTTGAACTTTTTTAAATAAAATCAAAAACTTTGAAAGAACAGAACGCATTTAATGATGAATTTGACTTAATGAAATATTCAGTTGTATAAATATCTGAAGCTATAAATTGTTACTGAGCGTTTTCTTAATTCGGTTTCTTTCAGATGTCGCAGGTGAACAACCGTGGTGTCGTGACCAAGCGGTTGCGAATTTCCTCAACCGGCGCCCTTCGCCAAGGCGAGAACCAGTCGTCATCATCGTCGACAAATGTCGCCCAAAATCAATACAATTCATCAGGTTTATCAATTGATAATGAAACCGAACTATCTGCTGATTCAATCAAAGAACAGTTAGATCACGTCGATGATATCATAACACAGCCAATTATTGAAGTTCCAACAAAACGTTTATTACATATAAAAGAGCTCGGTGGAAATTTATTTGTTTCATCATCGAGAAAAATCTATTCGAAAACTTTACAAAAATTAATCGATCGAGTCTTATTTACAAAATCATTGAACAACGATGTTAATACAGCAGCATCAGATTTACATGTTTTCGAACGTGTACTTGCCCGAATAGATGATAATGATGCCTTTTCAACATGTACATCAATAGCACAACCATCACCAGCAACAATACTCGTTCTAGGTTTAACATCATGTGAACATGCGTTTGTATGGAGATTAACTCAACGACGAAATTTAAAAATTTATTGTTCACCAGCTAACAGTGGAATTATAACTGATCAATCATCAGTTATTGTAACCAATACGTTGAAGACAGATAAAGATATTTTGGAATTCGTTGATACAAAACAGATCGATCTTGTTATTTCATTGAATAAAACATTTTATTATGAAGATCTTGAAGCACAATTAGGTGAACGCGGTATTCATTATTTAGGTTGTTCAGTTGATACATTAGCTTTGAGTGACGATCTTTTAAATGCAAAACAATTTATGACTAAACATCAAATACCAACATTGGATTGGATTCATTGTACGAAACAAGATGAAGGAAAAGAATTTTTAACAAAGTAAGAAAACTAGAGTGATTAAAAGAAATTTATGAATGCTTTACTTTAGACATTCAAATCAACAACTATGGATTTTTCGTTCTACGAATGGAAATCGAATCGTTAATTGTAATACACACGATGAAGCTCTACAAACGCTTAAAGAAGTTTTTCAAGTAAGATCAATAGAGTTCAATCGTATCTCAGAAATTCAGGAAAAGGATTATAACCGGTTGTTCTAATATTTAACTATAAACAAGCTCTCGTGTGTAATACGAAGAAGTTTATAAATATAAAACTTTGCCATATAGATCAAACTGTTTTCGAAAAGTTTTTTTCTTTAAGTGATGAGTAGTGTTCGGAGGATCACAAATCGAAAACATTGCATAAAAACTAAATCTTTGTCTTACTCCCGCTTGTTTACTATCGACCATTCAAGAAACATTTCTATATTCAATTTTCTAGGGCATCAAAAGGGGAGCGACTTTTCTCCGATAGATGGCGCAATTTAGGTCTTGCGCATATTCCCAGCTACGTCTACTTTTCCGTATAACGATAGATATTTGAAACACTCGTCTATAGTTCTCTGCTCATAACGTCTGCATGAGAATTTTCTATTCCAATACTTTGTTGCGATACCTTTCCTTGACAAACAACAATAATTGACATCAGATAAAATTTAAATCTTTATTCAGGATCACTTATTTGGTGACAACAATCAATCAGTGATTATTGAACATGGTTATTCATTGGATGAAAGTCGTGTATGTACACTCTACATCGTGAGCGATGGCGATGGTGATTATACACAATTACCAATCGTAGAATCAGATCCCGAAGGTTTTGGTGCATATGGTCCATGTCCACAGTTAACATCGAAACAATTATCCTTCGTTCGTCGACGCATTGTTGAACGAACATTACGATGTTCGCCATTGATTCGTCATTTATTTGGTTTTCGTTTACTTATTCAAGGAACAAATTATAATCAAATACAATTACTTGATTATAAATCAACATTTGAAGAACCCGAAAGTGAAGTACTTTTATCTTTATACGAATCAGATATATTTCTTCAATATGCACTTGATTTACCGTCTGTTACAATTCTACCGTTGACAAGTAAAAAACGGCGTCTTTTTTGTGTGAACACAAGCATAATATCAAAGCAAATTCCATTATCAATTCCGAATAGAATTTTAATCACTGCAGCAAAAAATAATAAAGTTAAAATATTTCATAATCAAACAGACGTTTTCGCCGGAGGAGTAGAAACAGGTTCTATAACAACAAATGGTCAAAGAATTTTCAATGTATTAGGATATGGTTCAACATTACAAGAAGCACAAATTCAATCTGTACTTGCTTGTGAATATATTAAAGAACAAGCAAATATTGAGGATCTATCATTTAAATCTGATATTGGCTCTCAAGCCATTGATTGGTAAGTAGATTTACTACAATATCGGTCTCTAAAATTTCTATCATAGTGAGAGAAATCGTGAGTTTTCCTACTTTCTTTCGAAGGCGGAAGAACGATTCCCGGTGGAGTAGCCCTCAATAGTGGATAAGACACGTATTGATCCATACGATCAATTTAATCTAATCCTATTATCATTTGATTTTCTGAACTTTGAATGAGCCGGACCAAAAATGATAAATTTTCGTTGTAATTTTTAGGTTTAAAACGCATGGTGATCATGCTAGTTCAACATCAGGCGGTTTAACAAATGGAAAAAAGAAAAAGTCAAAGAAGAAAAATTCTATTTCAACAATGGCGAATAAAAAAGGAAGTGGTATGGCAACACGTGGTAGAAACCTGAAGAATTCCGAAGCAAATGAAGATGATGAAACAGATGACGACGATGATGATGATGAAGAAACTGAACCAATGGATTTTGAACGTGCATTTGGCTCCGCATCGGATATTCCAAAATTAGAATTTATGAATATCTATCCAAATAATAGACTTATGGATGGTTTAAATACTTTTGAAGGCGAATCCTATTTTGATATTTCGACTAAAATTGACCTCAAGACTTTTACACAACCAGTTCTTGTTTCATCGACAATAAATTTAAATCCTTTGGCGGCTGTAAGTTTTTTCCTAAAATGACATTTTTTTCTCTTAATCTTATACTCTTCCGTTTTCAGTTATTCAATTTGAATGACAAAGATATGAACGATAGTCAAACTGTATTTGAATATCTTGGCTATGAATTAGCTGTTCGTTGTGCCAATGATCTTAGTTATGCTCGCCCATTATATATTCAATGTTGTTCATCACCCATATCAACATATGAACGTTCGGTTCAACGATTTTATCAAGGCATTGAACAAGCATGTCAACAATTAAATTGTACATTTCTTAAAACAACATCCATTTCATCATCGTTTAATGCATTGTGTACGGGTGTTTGCAACCGAGAATTATTCGCCCTTAATACTGACAATCATAATCCGATTATAAACGAAGGTGACTATTTAATTGGACTTCGAAGTAGTTCAAGTGCAATAAATAGTCAAGGTTATATTCAATTAAAAGAATTATTTCAAAAGAAAAATATTCATTTAAATGATACATTACCATTTCGAAATACTGATGGTGAAGAAGAATCATTTTTTTCATTGTTACTACAAAAATCATCGATATTAACATCGGCATTGACTGATGTTATCAATGAACTTATTTTAAATCGTACCATTAAAGTTATACGATATATAAAAGGTATAAAATCGAATATTTTATTATGGAAATTTCCTATTGATTTCTTTAGATAACGGTCTCGCTCGTATGATCCAATCGTCACTTGATTCTTCAGCAGGAACATTAACGGCAGAACTAAATGGACAACAATGGCCGGTTATGCCGCCCATTTTTACATGGATTTATCAAAATGTAAGCAGAGAGAGAGACAGCGAGAGAATACATTTGTCAAAAAAAAAGAAGCTCTAATCAATTTTTTACTAATAAAATACAACTTTGTTGATTTCAGAGTGGTTTCAGTCAAGATGAAATGTTTGAAAATTTTAATTGTGGCATTGATTATTTAATTATTGTCGATCATACAAAATCAACTGTTGAAAATATTCTTCAACAATTGACACAAACATATACAACATGTTTTCTTCTTGGAACACTTACTTCACTAAGTAAATCAAATAGTTAACTCGGTTAGCCTTAACTTTAAATATGTTCTATTTAGACTCTAGTCCAGCACGTAATAAAACGGTTAATATACCTCAACAAGCCCGACAACGTATTGTTCAATTAAACAATATTTCATTTAAATATCCAAAACCAGGGGTTGCATCAAATAATACTCCTGTTGTTGTTAAAGATCGTATGAAACAACCCATCGCAAACGATAAAACACGTTGTGCTGTATTGATTTCAACCAATGGTATTAAAAATCAATAACACAGCATCAAAATTCTTATTATTTCTCATTTTCTAGATACTTCATTACTTTCTCTTCTTGCATATTCAACATCAACAATTGAATGTGCATTTGAAATTGTTCTTGTACTTTCAACATTAGCTGGTCTATCGGATATAGCTCGTGTTAATGAACTATATCCATCTGTTGTAACAAAAGTTATACAACCAAAAAAATATGCTGCAAGAAACTATGATTTAGTAAATATTCTTTTAATTGAAAATATAGATATTTTTCATTTAAATTTTCAATTTTTAGGATCAAAAAATTGATGACGAATTGCAATTACACGGTTGCGAATTAGTTGTACTTGATCGTTATGCATGTCGTTTATCACCATCGTTTATTCAAGCATGGCGAGGTCGATTATTAAACGTCTATCCATCGTTATTACCATCGTTTCGTCATAGTACATCACCAATTCGTGATGCATTGCAAGCTGGTATTCGTATAACAGGTGTTACAGTTCATTTCATTGCTGAACCAGATACCGATAATGATGGGCCCATCATAGCTCAAGAAAGTATTCATGTAACACCAACTGAAAACGAAATGCAATTAGAAAGTCGTTTACGTACACTCGAACAACAATTATATCCGAAAGCAATCGATATGGTCGCATCAGGAAAAATAATCTATCAAGGAAAAAAACGTGTGGGAAAAGTAAACATTGCACCGACAATTGCATCGTCTGCTTATTGAATAAGCTCTTGTTTTCGTCTATATTTGTGTTTGTACATTGAACTATATATTTCTGTGCTATTTACTTCCTAAAAGTAGACAGACTTTGATTTTTTTTTCATGTTTATGTTGTAGTTCTGTCGTCTTGTTTATAAAGAAAAATGAAACAAAAAATATATATATATAAGGTTATATGTATATAATCATTTATTGACTGACTTTTGATTAGGATGAATGTGAAATTAAGTTCGTTGGAAATTTCACGAATGAAAAATAGAAATGAATAAAGTCAGATCTATATATTAACTAAAGCTTTTGGTTTTTAAATAGTTGTATGATGTGAGCATTAGAGATATTTCAATACTAATACGTCATTTTGCCGACACATAACAAAAATATTGATTCAAACGTAGATCAATACTTAGAGAAGTTTACAACACGTGCAATAGTTTATCAATGAAGGAGAAAAATTATTAGCGACTTTGACGAAATTTTCCAAATGTAATTAAACTAAGGTAAATATGTGTTGTATTGTTCGTAGATTTGTTTTTCGAATGCAATATCTAGGTATATTCCCTTGACTGAAGGGAGTGTCATATGAAATAAAATGTGCTGTTTACTTGCTTGATTGGGGTCAAAAAAAAACATATATGAGAGATTAGCTTATTTTTAGACTTTTGGCCGTTTTGATCGAACTTTGATGTAGGTTATCGACGGCCAGATTCCGAATTTGAAACCCATTCATGTAGCCGAAAATTTTACTACAAACTGCCGAAGGTGCTGAAAGATGCTAAAGGTGTTAGTAGTTGTGAAAAAGAAACAGTAAAATAAAGGAATGGTATACGACAGGTGTGCCGATATTGATGGCACGCTTCGATGATTCTCCTTCCTTCTCTTTCTGTTCTCTTTCCATTGTTCTAATATATCTCTCTCCTGCCTCTCTTCTATCTCTCTCCTATATATACGTGTGTTATGTATGAAGTTGTTANGAAGTTGTTACACTCTGGAGATGTCAGATGACACAATACACCATCATGCCGACGGGCATAGGCGACAGTCTCTAGTTTTGTCGTTACACTCTGGATAACTTGAAGTAGTCTAATAAACATCTTTGCCGAGAGTGGCACAAGCTACTCTAATCAAGTTGTTCGTTACAACAGGGCGACAAAATTTTCCGTTAAACTAATTGTTTTCCCTCAATCTTGGTGAATACACTAATTGCACGAACAAAAAAGATGTGTGCCAAATTTGGAACCTGACTTCAATGAAAACCTGCCTCAATTTTTAATGCAAGTAGTTATATTTCGATAAAGTTAAGTTTCCTGATCACAAATATCATCTTGGATTTTAAAACTCATTGGATACTAAGAAAGATCTGGAGCACTCTCGGAAAGACTTAAAAGCAGCTATTGGCCCAAAGGTCCATGAATATTCGTATCTATCCGCGAATATAAGAACGACTTAGATATCCAAATTTTTTTATCGATAAATGCTTAATACCACCCCGATTGCGTTATGCAGTTAGAAATAATACTATTCTCAATTTTTGTTGAGTGTCGTTTTTCGAGATTTACCAGAAAGATTTTCTTACCGAATACGTAATTAAATGTGCTTTTTCTAATAAAACTGTTTTCAAATTAAAACTCGTTTTGTAATGTGAAACGTTTTCGCTCCAATACTACTCTTGGAACCGGATTTCTGTAATTTGTGACCGATATTCGATAGTTTCAAACAGATTAATTCTCATTTGACTGAGTATAAATATTATATTTGTTTTAAGCACAAAATCTAATTCGGTTTAATTATTTCTACCACTTTTGTTTTCAGTCAGATTTTCACCCCTGGTCTCGGTCATGCATAACGAAAAAAACAACTTACTCCAAAAGCCATGTACACAATGCTAAAAGTTTCCAAACTTTGGGAATGATGTTTGAGATAAAGTAAATCAATTAATAATGAATCGAATAGTTGTTTTGAATAAAATGTTTTGTTTTCATATGATCATGAACGGGACCAGATGTAAAAATCTGACCAAAAACAAAAATTGTAGAAATAATTAGATCCACTGAGATTTTATGCTTAAAACAAATATAATATTGATATTTAGTCACATAGGAATTATTCTGTTTGAAACTGTCAAGTATCAGCCAAGCAATGACAGAAATTCAATTACAACACTAATATTGGAGCGAAAACACTTTACATTACATCGAGTTTTAAGTTGAAAATTCTTTCATTAGAAAGAGCACATTTAAGTACGTATACGGTAGGAAAATGTTACTGGTAAGCCTCGAAAAACTACACGTTATAAGACTGAGAAAAGCAATATTTGTAACTATATGACCCGATCGGGGTGGTTTTTGGAATTTATCGAGAGAAAAAAGTTTGAATATCTAAGTCGTTTTTCAAAATTTTCTGATATAAAAAAAAATTCCACATCAAATGGGCCTATTTTCAAACAGTATAAATCGTATTCATGAACCTTTAGGTCAGTAATTGTTTTTTAAGGCTCCGAGAGAGTGTTTTATATCTTTCTTATTATTCGATGAATTTCAAACCTGAGACAATAATTGTAATCAGAAAGCTTACCTTTATGAAAACATAACTATCTATATCTAAACCAAAACAAAAAAGGTTTTTCTACCCTTGAGGATGGCTTCAGATGTTAAAAATTGAGTTTTCATGAAATACACCCTAAAATTGTAGAAAAGAATCCAAATTCAATGATAATTTTCAAGCTAATAAAATTATGTGCAGGTATTTTTACCAAGGAGTATTGTATTTCGTACAATGTTTTTTTGATACCTGCCCCAGGACGAGCTTTACGACGTCCGTATACGGTGAAATACGGGCCGTATACGGCCGTTTTCTGCCGTATGCGACGGTAAATCGCCGTATTTGGCCGTATTACATGGCTCCGTATTACGATCGTAAATCTCCGTGTCGTAATACGGCGAAATACGATCAAAAACGACCGTAAAGCGCCGTATTTCGCCGTATACGGCACGGAGATTTACGATCGTAATACGGAGCCATGTAATACGGCCAAATACGGCGATTTACCGTCGTATACGACCGTGTATGTTCGACCTGGGTATGAGAGAAAGCAGAATCTGTACAAATACAATGGTGATAAAATGAAAAATAAACTTCTAAAAAATAATCAGACCTCATTGTTAGTTCTCACACTAAGAAAAGAAGGATCAAACTTTTTGGTATATCATTTTGAAATTTGATATACGGTTACTTTCTTTTTTATTCTGAAATAATTCTCATTCAGATTCTGTGAATAATTCAAGAAAAAATTGACCTCTACTATTGAAAATGAAAATAGTTTTCCCTATTCATTTCCATACGATTGAAGTAAATTTTACTATAGAAAAGGTGCTGAGGTGCTGGGGGTTCCAAACCTGCACTTTTCCCCTTGGTTTGTGCGATTTGGTGAAAAACAATCTTAGTTTAAATTCAGCATGGGATATCTCACCAAAAATGTTTTTCGCTAGAAAGCAGGCTTTTCCCAAGATTAGGATAATAAATGGCTAGCGGCCCAAATGATTATGATATTCGGAATCGGCATGCTGAATTACCTACAACCCACTAATTTTCCAGGAAAAAGCGATTGGACAGTTGGGTATCTTCCCTCGTGAGCTGTATGATCCATCAACAGGAATATGGACAACATTGAATAACATGAATAATGTACGACAAGAATATGCAGCTGTGGTATTAAAAAATAGACAGGTGTTAGTCACTGGCGGAACTGATACTAGTGCACTAAGCAGTTGTGAATTGTATGATCTTCAACAAACTCGTGGATAACAACGAATAGTTCATGATCTTTTGATGCATTATCTACATTTAAATAGCAGCAATATCTTGTTGAGTGATTTCATGAATATCATTTTTAAGAATTATCAATTCTAGAAATTATCTCCTTTAAAAAAATTGATTTAAATTTATGATAGGCACTTATATTCAAGCGGAACGGTTATCCTTGAATATCCGTCTTAAATAAATAGACCTTGAGAGTGATTTGAATCAGCGACTGAATCGAGTCGGCTTTGTTCGATTCGATTTCTGTCTCTGTTATGAACACCAGTACTCATAAGAACCACGTAGTGCTTCAAAAGTTTTTGTTTATTTTACGACATATACTATCATTAATAGAACAGAATTTTTATAAAGCCTTCTGCATTGATTAATATGCCTACTGAAGTGATTGTAACGCTACTGTTTGAATGCATTGTATGCATGCAGTTAATTTTCTCATTATTGCTCATATTACCTATCATTCTTATCCTTTTGCCTTTGCTTTATACTTTACACTTAATATTATATGTAAGAATAGTAATTACAAAAGTGTATGTTTTGAAATGTATTTGATACGATTGATGATAGAAAATTTCGAATAAAGCGAAATAACATCATCAGGCATCTTTCTTCCACCTCATCGTCTTCACAATGATGTGAGAGTGTGGGTGTGCTTTTAACAAGCGACATCACACACACCATGATGTATGTAGTCATGGTAGTTATTTGAAATAAAAACAATAATTTGTGATGAAATTTCAGAAATTGATGTGTTAACCTTACTCGTGAGTTGCGTAATGTAGAAGAGTGAGTCAAAATAGAATAAAGTCGTCGAAATCGATCAATTAATGCATCAAATCTTATGCGACATATATTAAATAGAGCGACAAACCGTACGCAAGTGAGTACCGATCGAAGCTTTGTCTTTTTGTTTCACACGAGCGTGCTTCAAATGCATTATTTTCTATTAGTAAAAAGATTTCATTTATAATAATAAGATTTAAATTTTTGATTGGACATCAGCTATTTGAATAAAGAGAGTAATTTCATAAGGACTTCTTCGAAATAATAAAAAGAAGGATCTTGACCTTCCACGGCTCGAAATTTATTCGTGATAGACGTATTGGATGAAATTTCAAAAAACAGTTGAAATAATTTAGCATGATAGCTTCTCGTTCTTGCTATTAAGCATCTTATTTGTCAATATGTGGTAGACATTGTTGTGATGAAACTTTTGGAGAGTCAGCTGATAAGACTTACTGGTGATACCAGTAAGTCATTACAACTTTTCTTCTGATCATCCCATGTACAGTTCTTTGGAGATTCAAGGTTCTCTTGTATTCTTTTTCAAAGAACATGATGGCCAGCTTTAGAAGAGATGTACAGATCTGATGATCGGTCTAATGTATCTGAACAATGCTTGCTACCTTCCCTGAAACTGTAACTGAGAGTAGGATGTGATCTACGCATTAACATGATGATCTGGAAAAACAATTTGTTTTGCTAGAGCTATTGTCGATCCGAAGAACAGCGGTTTACTAAAAGGGAGATCTAGTACGAGAAGAAAAAAAAAGATTAGCTTGCTATTGAATAAGAGAACAAAGAATACTAGCAGTTTATGTCATTAAAATATCCTAAAATATATCAAAAATTTCCCTTAAAACGACTTTCAACTATTAATTATGATGTGCACACCGATCTCACAAATGAAATGAACGTAAAATCATTATACCTTGATTAATTTCATATTCTGTAGTTAAATATCAGTTGTTATCCATTATATCAGTATTAAATGATATTTGTAGAAGAAAGCCATTACTATGATTTCGGCACAGTATATGATGATACTGGTCTTGCGACTGAAGCTACATGAACTGCAATAAATAGCTATTAGGTTTGTAAAAGAAGGATATAATCATAACCGTTACAACTAGGAAAAGAGTGAAACGAAACTTATTTATTTATACAGTATAATTTACATTGCTAAATTTTACATATAAGCTGAAGTCTTTCAAATGTACTCGAAGCCTTCTTATATATTTTTCATAATCCGTACTTAGTGTGCCTAAAATTAAAAAAACGTTTTCTGAAAAACTATGTAATATTCGAGGGTGTGGGTGTTATTGTCTCTTAGTAAACACCCACACCCACAAGATAGCAATGTCAAAAGTATAATTATTCTTTAAACGCAATGTACCGGTTCATTATGTCAAAACGAATGACTCATGAGAAAAATTGACCCTTTTTGAAGTTCAATCATCTTGAAGAATAAAGTAAAACTTGTAGTATAGACTCAAACTTATATTTTACGCTATCTAGTATATGGGTAGTACCGTTGTTGTTTCATTGAGAACTTCAAAATATTGGACATGTTCTAAAAATGATTATTATTTTTATTCGAAAAGCTTTGTGACAACTGCAGAAAATCACAAGAGAAGATTTTTTACAATAATAAATCAATACAGAGTGACTATTATACTGTAAAAGAAAAACGCAGAATAGTCAACCTTTGCCCTTGATTTTCATTTTCATATACTCTTGAAGGGTCCCTGACGCAAAGGATTTTAAGTATAAGGGTTTTTGTATTTCATACTTTGAGCCTAGGGGTTTATTTTTAAATGGTTATGTGTAGATTAATATACGCATTTTTCAGATATATTTCTTATTCAACGATCAAGCTTAAATTATTATTCGGTTTAAAGAAAGCGTTTCTTAGTACGCGGCTAAGGGTAGATAATTCTACGCTTTCAGAAGAAGTGTTGATTATAATACGGCAGTGGCCATATTATTCTACGGATAAGAGTTGATCATATTACGCTGAGTACCTGCCTAATTCGACTTTGAATATAAATGAAAAATAAAACACTTTCATGTTTTCATGTCACCGCCAGAAAAAGATTTAGCTTTTATAAATTATAAAATGTATAAATTGACTTGCGCGCGTGTGTGTGTGTGTGTAGATCCCCGTGTCTGCCTTTCCTCGCGTTCACACCCACACCATCAAAAAACTGAAAAACGTCTCTTATGGAAGCAATAAAATCCAATAGCTACTCCCAATTAGATACCACCGAACAATAATCTAACATCAGTGTATCCTTAAATTCTCTTCATAATAAACATCCATATAGAAATATAATCGAATTTTTATTATAGTGAAAAACAGAGCAGCACAAAAATATCTTGTAACTAGAGTGGAACAAATGCAAATGAATCTAAATATTCTTGTGCTGGCTTATTTGCAATTATTGTTGAATTATTGCTTAAATCAAATGTGATAATGTTTTGTTTGTCTAGACTCTTGACAATCATTGTAAAATAATATCCTTCATGACAAGTACCAGTAGATGGCATATAATCTTTAAAATCTTTGGATAAAATATCCATCGTACCATTATATGGATTTAAGCGTACTAAACGACAGCCACGTTCGGTCTGGAAAATCTCCATACCATAAAAAGCATTCGTTTTATTATCATAACATAAATAAGCTGGTAAATTTAAATCAGTTATTTTACTGATTATTTTTCGTTTTGTGACATCAATGCCAACAAGGTAATCGGAATCATAGGGCACTGTTACAAAATATTGATGATCAGTTGAATTAAAAAAGATTGCCATGGAATCAGGTTGTACACCACTGGCTTTGGTTATATTTACCCATTGTTTTGCTATAAAATTACTTGGATCTATCTGAACAATGCTTATCGGATTTTCGAATGCGTCACTCATTTGTACTGAATATAATTTTCCTGTACTACTATCAACACGTAAACCAAATAGTTCGGCATACGGTTCTGTCGTAATTGTTCGATATTTTGTTGTGCCATTGAATGGATTAACTATGGCCACAGACATTGCTGCTTCTTTTGCTAATGTTGCTTCACTACCAAAAACATAGAAAATTTTGTGAATAAAATCATAAGTAACATCATATGCTTTGTAATTCGTTAAAGGTGTGAAAACTGCAAATTTTCCGCTTAATGGATCAATTTTGAATAATGAGTTGGATGATGATGCAGGATCATACGATGTTGCTATTAAATAGCCCTTTGGAATTGTTTGTATGGGATTGATAACATTGAAGATGACGTAAAAGTATAGTAGTAAACATGGTAAAGAAGTAGTCATTGATCTGAAACTCAACATTACTAAGCAGATTGATTGCAAGAAGAAAAATTCTATATTTTACATAGAACAGTGAGCTTGAGAACAAATTGATTCATTTATGAAAGAAAAAGTCGCAACGAAAAACGTTTCCTGCATTTATGAAGAAACTTGATTTAGATCATTTTATATTCTCAAGTAAATTTAATGTAATAAGAAAAAGAAAGATGGTGTTGTGCTTACTAACTGATAACCGAAATGCGATATTTTGTCATTTATCACAGTTTTGAAAGAACTCCAGTATCAAAGTAACACTCACTAGCTGTTTTCTGATAGGTGAGGATGGGTGTGGGGTAAGGATGAGGGTGTGAGTTAAGAGAATAGTTATGCTCATATTCATACTGAAATATCCGCATTTTATTTGAGTAGGTTAACAGAGCATTGTTGTCAACTGAATATTGGGTAGACAAAACATCTGTCGATGAACGACATAGTTAGATAAAAATATAACGTGTATTATAGAATAATCGCACGATTAAATGGAGAAATAAGCGATGGAGACTTGCATTCTCTGAGCCACACTTCAACTATCATCTAGTTTCTATGCATCTTTATCGATTCTCTTTTACATATCATATCTTACCTTTAGTTTCAAATACTTGAATGACTTTACTTACAAATATTGCCTCACTCGTGTTGTCTGTGTTTTCTTCTTTTTTTCCTGATTGACGTACACATGCACTTTGTTTGTACATATATGTATATCGTGGGAAAAGTCCCATTTTCCCCAGAACTACGTCAACATATTTCGATGGCAAATATAATTATTTTCGAAGCACCTCACAAACTATTCTATCGTGTATTTGATCATTGCCATAGCTACATCATCTTTCATTGTATTCGTCGTGTATGCAAATACTTTTGTGATGGAGCCAAATTTTATTCCGTGATGTCGAATATTGAGAAACCAATTCTGGATACTCCATTCTTCAACAAAACATTGAATATAATCCGATATCAATCGAGTTCCGGAAACTGGAAGGAATCGATTGTTAGGCGGACCTGATTTTCAAACGTTCAACATGGCTGGATAAGATGAGTGTTCTATCCACACCCACACCCTCAAGACAGAAAATATTTACAAGCTAATTAATCAAATTAAGGACGATAAGATATGAAATCTATTGAAACAATATTTATTTTCTTTTTGTAAAAAGATGCTTCGTTATGGCCAATCTCCACACTAGACATTTCATTCAAAGATCATTTGGGAATGAACATACATCATGTTCCAAAAGTCTTTAGAAAACGATACGAGAAGCATTATTTTTCACTGATCATTAGTCATCCGAATGTGATTGACGTTGATGTACACTATATTGCTTCACGCATCAACGTTAAACATATATATATATATATATATATATAATATTCTATGAAGCTACAAAAGAATGTCCACACCCACACCCTTCTGTATTGCGCAATTGATTTCTTCAAAATCTCTTCATCAACATAGACATTTCGTCATCCCATGATAATTTTCTAATCCACACTCTAATCACATGCAATAGTCAACTCATTTCTTTTGTCACATTGAATAGAAACTATTATTTTTATCCCGTTTTTTCCCGTATGCTTATCCTTGCTTTTTTGTCAACTTCTATTACACTGTTTCGCTAAATATCGACTCATTCTATAGATTTCCATTCTCGATAGATAAACACAACATCTACTCCACATATATTCAAACACTCAAATGCAGCTTACAAAAACAGATTAACTCAACAACTTATCCACGACACAATACTGCAACTGATAGTCATAGGTACTACGTCAAACAAGTCTTGGTCAAATTAAAGCCTCGATGACATTTCAACCATAAACAACAAAACAAAATTCAATGTCACCTGTGATTATAAGACAATACACAATCGGCCAGTAACAAAAACAAAATAATTATCACAATGATTCATCCCCTATCCAATCGCATACATATCGTTCATTACATACTTTTCGCGAAAAACCAGCTTTCAAATCAAAACTTTTCCTTTTTGAATTTGAATCGATTTTGAAGATATTAAGCCACCTGATGTGATTCATTGAGCTGGATAGAAACGCGTCGTGGTAGATTCCTGCACACCCACACCCACACCCAAGGGAAGATAGTAGTGAACAGGGTTAACAAAGCATTTACAAAAGTTTGATATAAAGTTGAAATTACTTATATTTACTTCAAAAAATATGCGAATTCCATCAACCGAAAATACCAAAAATACCGCAAAACAAGAAAATACAAAAAAGTAATTCTTTGGAATAAAGCGTAGAAATTACTCGGGCAAAATCGATTAGGAATAGATAGCACAAATTATGAAGCTGTCTCTGCTTTGATATAATTGAGAACAGCATCAGATGCGTCTTTGGGCACGTTGATGGTACCATCACCATCCAGTATCTTGAATCTACTGTTCGTGTCTTTTTTAAAGGAACCGGCAACTACTTCAACGACTGGGGCACCGTATGGTTTGCCGCCATTTTTTTCTACCATTTTCTCGATCATGCTGATTAAATCCTTCGTGACCTTTAATCTGTTTTGAGGAGTTTTGTCTTTGTTGTTTACCGCATACCAACGACCACCACAATCGTCAATGAGTTTTTTCAGTTCATTGCTTTCCTCGTAATACTGCTTCATATCGGTCCCCTCATCCAGTGAATCAATTTTGGTAAACACAATGATGCTATACTTAAAATAGTTTTTGAATATTTTACCAATTTGCAATAAAGTTTGTTGTTCTTCACCAGTCATTCCGACTCCACATGGTAATACAATCAAAAAGGCGTGCGGACCTGGTAAGGTACTAGCAAGCGATTTCGTTATCTCTTCACTCACCTGCACTGGTGATAGTTGTGTATCAAAGAAACCAGGAGTATCTACGATGCTGATTATTTTCCCATCCACCTCCCTTTCTTTCTTAAAGCAATTCTTTGTAACTGACGCTGGACTAGAGCGCGAGACGAACGCTTTTTCATCTCCCATCAAAGTGTTACCGAGAGCACTTTTACCTAAACAAGGAGCAATAAAGAACAAAATAAATGTTACTTATCAAATCAGGACTAAGTGGTGATCAACAGTAAGTTGTGTCTGTGATCGATATTTTAATTTATCTGCAGGCACGAACTAGTTGTTGCATACCTGAGCGAGTCTTTCCGAGAAGAATTATTCGAAGCTCTTCAGATTCATTTGTTAGAATATCCGACTTGATTTTTCTCGACGAAGCCATCGTAAGATATCTAGAAAAAAAAGTTTGTGAATTTCATGAATATATTTGTAATGGTGAAATACAAATTCGGCTGCCCGAATTTCGTTAAAATTGATAAATCTATGAAATCACCGAAATCTCAACGAAACTTTCAAAATATTTCTTTTTTTAGAGTTTACGCTCGTAAAAACCTATCAGTAGCCATATACTATCGTATTACTGAGAAATGATACTACACCAACGTCAAATTTTGTACGACAAAGCATGAAGAATATGTAGTTCTCTGTGAGTGTATTCATATCTCGTACTATTTCTCAGAGTGTGAACGATTTAAGTCTTTAACACTGTGTGTCCTTCTAGTTTTCTTGTATGTCCATTTTGGTGTGAATATATCGATTTGGGTTTGGATGTATATAAAGGTAGATGGCAATCACTCTTGTTTACAGTGCAAAGAAAATATAAATCCTACAAGTTGCTGTTAGCTCTAATATGTATAGAATGAAAAGTATGTATAAGAAATGAAAGAGAGAGATATTAAGAGCGAAAGAGACCAGCAATGTCACTGATGTTATGTGACAGGACGAAGAAAAAGTGAACTTCATGGGACTCAAGCTCACACCTTCCGCTATCCGGACAGATGCCCTAACCAGTTAGAACTAGAAGAACATCTAAATCTTCGTTTAGTGTTAATAAGTTACATCACTAACGCTAACAGTTGCTCTTTGGGACAATTTAACTCGAAAAACTGAAAATCTTTTTTGTTGTCTATTTGTACTGAGTCATGTTGTGCTGTACAATGATGATTGTTGTGTACGATCACTATTTTTAAATGTTCTCTATCTACTGATGAAATATCGGTCGAAAATAATATACTACGTAGAAAACTGAACAAGTAAAATAGTAGGAAAGTTGTGGAACTAATCCAAATTACTACATACGGGCAAGGTCAGACTAGTCCAGCGACGTTCGTCTATGCTCCTTTTTTACACGACACATGAAATTATATCATATGTCACTCGATAGACCAGAACCTATTCCTCATAGAGCCTGACAATATTATGATGAACGAATAAACAATTTTAATACAATATTTTTAACAAAAACACCACGATTATAGTCACTTTTCATGAAACAAATATCTTTCTCCGATGATTTGAACTATAGAGGAGCGAAGTATGTGAGATTTAGGTTACACCAAATATTATTCATAGATTTTGTTTTAATATTTTTACTTTTCGACATTTGTTGAAGGTGAATCTATAGGGAAGTGAAGGATACTGGTATTAGAGTTATATTCTTGATTCATTGTGATAGACTTGGATTACAGTAAAACCTCCTTATGTGGATACCTCTCTATTCTGAACTGTGGACACTTTTTCCTGGCCTTGCCCATTGTAAACAATCTCTCTAAAGTGGATACTTGCCTAAATTCATAATTTTGATACTCAGTCGAAGTTGAGTGTACATATGAGCACCGATTAAATTTCAAGAAGAAATTACTTGTAATAACATGAAAACCTTAATTTGAATAAAATTGAACGAATTACACTCTAAATAAAAAACGTTTTCTCAGAAACTGAAACACGTTCGAAAACCCTTTCGGAAGCCCATGAACGTATCCGAAAAGGTTTCCCGATCTAGGTTAAGTGTCAAAAAGTATCTTCCGCGCTTTCGAATACTCGGAAACCTATGAGCTTTCAAAATTTACGTCTGGGAACCCTCAACCGTATTCTCAGAAACCTTGATACTATTTGTAAAAGTCATTTTTGATTTAAAAAACCTCTGAAAAACCTTTGAGTATCCCATCTTTTTTTATCGAAAACCTTGCTTTATTTCCGAGCAAAGGAAACAGTGGAAGAGTTTCCAAGAAATCAAACACGGTTTCCGAGAACATATTTTTGAAAACCATTCTGTGTTTTAAAACACCAAAATAATATAGGGATATCTTCTTTTTAAAGCTCATATTCCGATCGTTATTTTAGAGGTATAGGAATTGTTCGACATGCATAATATGAATCTTAGTCATTTTATGTGCAGTTGCTGTATAAAACGATTAGGAATCTGAGAATTCACAACATACGTAATTCCCGATAGCAGATCAACTCCTTTTTTTACATCTTCACGTTTGTAAAACCTTGAATTGCTTATGATAAACTCTATTTGGGGCATTGAAGAGGTAGGCTTAATGGTCAAGTCCTTAAAAGAATGTTGTTTTTCTCCTTCTTCATTCATTTTTGTTTTGTCGAAGTACATGTATTATCATCCTTGTCAACAGATTACAACGGAATATAATGCAAGTTTAGGACAATAGAGCATTGTTTGAACTGATTTATAAAGAAGAGTGCTACGAGAGAAATGATAAAAAAGCATGGTGGGCATTTATTCTTTCATATCGTACGATATATGTAGTTCCCAAACTGATTCGGTAAAACGTCCGAAAACAAATCTAAACACCAGAAATATTCTTCAACGATAAAAAAAACTAAAGATCTTTAGAGTCCAAATGACATCAGTATGATGCGTTTGAAAATAATAAGGACGCCAAAAGTTAGGCTACCTTAAAGGCTTCAATACACAAAAGATTTCATCACTATAGAACTATCTTTGGCTTCACGACTCTGAGTTTCACCTAATATGTTTTAACAACATTCACTAACCTCACGGTAACATTATTAACCGACTTGGCGACTTAAAAGGTTTAAGTAATTTCATGACACCGATTTTGAAAGATGCTAAGACTACAATACAAAATACGGACTTTACAACTCTTGCTAAAAAAACATAGAGACTCTACGAGTAAGACTGACTCCATGATTATGATTTTCAAATACAGGAAGCCATAACGACTAAGACTACCTTTTTCACTCATTACACTAAAGAGCGACATGCAGACTACATCAATAAGACTGATAACCAGGTGCTGATTATACGAGACAATAGACTGCAAAAATTAGACTAAATTAATGACACTCTATTTAGAAGACATCAAAATTCTACCGCTTTCCTCATTTAATGATCGGGAGTTTGAAAGCGAAATCGCTTCAGGGATTTCGTAAAGTCTACGGCCCTGTCTTTCAAAAGATTCAGCATTTTGACTGGCATCATGCCTGCATCCTTGGTACATGATTAAACACGGGGACGTCAGCTGACAATATGACTCTAGAGTTAACAGTTATATACTCTTGGAGGCCTTCAATAGTTTCCAGCTGATCTCTCTAACAGATATGGACACGGAAGAAATTCAACGCAAAACAATGAGTTAACGTGAAGGAAATTTTCTTCACTGCTATACTACGTACAAATGTTCACTAATATGAAACTGAAATCAACATAAAGAAGTAATATTATAGGATTAAGACCAGGGGGCAACTATAGATCGAAGTATTAAAGTGGGGGTGAGCATACTTAACGGATACTATAAGGAGTTAGATAAAGACATTATTGTGAGAAGATCGATATAGAATAAGGGCACTGATTACGAATATCACAATAAGAGCTTTGAAAATTCCTTTATTCATTATAAAGTCTAAACCACTCAATGTGTAGTGTTTTTCATTGTTTGGGCCCTCATAGAATGACTACATGATACAATTTAGTGAAAAATAATTTCCTTTAACTCATAATTTTGAGTTTTCTTCGAATGTGAAGTTTTTACATCGAAAAAATGTAGCTTATAGAAAAAATAGAGATTTTGAGGTAAAATTTGCCGCCTTCTCAACATACTTATCTATGTTCGAAATGAAGAAAGTCTCATCGCAACGTCAAAATTTGGTCGTAAGCGTAGTTTTTCAAGCTCTATCGGCTGGAGATCTAAAAAATAATAGAAAAGTTGTGCAACAGTGTCAAAAGTTGAGAATACTAATAATTTCTATCAAATTGCTGTAGGGAACCATCGCCACTAAAATGTATAAGATCATAAAATCAACATATATATGCTCGATATTGTACAGCTTAATGAACTGTACACGCAGTAAGAAAATTATGTATCTCCGCTGTTTCTTTCGACTCACAAATTTGCTTCACAAGATGGATGTAGGTGTGTGGCAGGGATTTCGTTCTCCTCATACCCACACTTATAATAAAAGAAACGAGTTTTCCTGAAAAGAGTCCCGACCGAAAATCTTGGTGGGATAAGTTCAGACTATCAGTATACTAATATGGCGCCAAGACGTATTTGAGAAACAAATTTCAACCTGTTGTATTTTGAAGTCGGGAGATATGCAGTTCGAAATATCAGCAAAAAAGTGATTTTCCCCTCCTTTGGTGCAATCCAATGAATACCAAGAATTCAATTTTTGGAGCTAAAATTTATTGAATGTGTAGACCTTACTGCAATTTAAATCCATTGAAAATTTCAGCTCAATTGAATGAATACTTCTTGAGATATAGGATACCCAAAATCGCATTTAGTGAAAATTGAAAACTCAGTTGAGTTCAAGTTTCAAGTATGACACTACTGCTCTCGATGAGGGTGAAAGCATGGCGACTCTCTCTAATAGTTTGCGGTGCATCTGGGTTGCTGTCACCTTTTCTGATATTTTATGGTTGGGGAGACATTGAAATAAGCGATAGTGACATGAAAAAACGGGAAACTGAGTAATGGAATAGACCGGTCGTTCTCAAATAATTATGCCCTATATACCCTATATGCCCTTATATGTCCTTATATGTCCTGTTTCCTCAATATTCCTAATTTCCCCCAATATGTCCGCTTTATGATTGCCGTCTATAGATGTACCGAAAACGAATCTCCCGGGAATCGCTATAACGCATAAAATCCCTCCGTATAGTGGACACTTTTTCATGGTCCCTTGGGTGTCCACTATAGAGAGGTTATGCTGTAGTTGGTTTCAAGTTCACATCGTTTATAAAACAACACCCTGCTCCTTCTCACCTACTATCAATTTGGTTATGAGTGGAATATAGCTATATTTCAAACAGGCAACACTTTTTTTACATTCGAATGATACGAGAAAATAACTGTTACACACACGTTGCCTTTGCTTTCTTCAAGCGCCACGTGTAGATTAAGTGGATTGTTATTCGGTTTCTCGAGCACCGAAATAAGTTATTAAAAGAAATCAATAATTGAATAATACACATGCGAATCAGGGATGAACGAAGAGAGTAATCGAAATATGCACCTAGGTAATATTATAAATATTTAATATGAATATATTCATATAGACATTATATAAACTTCTCGAAGGCTTCAAAAACTCACCTTGACATCTAAAAGAATAAATTCTTTTTCTTCGTTTTCTTTTTCTCTATCATTTCTTTGCTTTTATTTACTGAGTACGTGAAAAGAAAAAATTAGTTTAATACACAGTATTCATTGTTGAAAAAATGAAAAACAGCAGACATTGTTCGTTGGACGACGTTTCTATTCGATATGTCTCTTAGCTGCAGTAGAACAAAAGTACACTGTATGCTGCAGCTGAGTTTTTTTCTCAGCACGGCATTGGTCGTTCAAAAGAAACATACTACGTTCCACAGCAAAAAAATTCATGTATGCTTTCTTTTACCAAACACTTAAACAAATTGAATGCAAAAAAATTATTTTTCATTGCATTTGTTTGATAGTGTGTAAAATAAAAAGTATTTCTCAAGGACGCATCGATCCCGCAGCATTGCATTCTTGAAAATAGGTTTAATACAGAAGGTAAAAAGTTTTGAATCTCGATACATAGACAATATGGAGTCGGATGAGTATGAATGTGAGATTCGTTGAATAAAAAGCTTTGGCATAAAGTTTTCCTTAGGCGCATATCCACATTCACATTGGCACTATTGTGTTAGCTTAATTTGGCAAAGACATAGATAGTAATTCTATATTTCGGGTAAAAGTGACTGCACTCACTATCTATATACTTTGTGAAGAATCAACTTTATATGAATGAACGAGTGACAATTGTCATAAATATATGTCACAGCTGACATACGAATTTCAGTTGAGATTGAAATGCGCGCAAAAAAAATAATTAATTGAAAAGATAAATTTTTCTTTTCTTTTTTTAAAAAGAAATGTTTTTCAGATAAATTGAATCAATACTTCAATGCACCGTCTTCCATATTTAAAAAAATATATAGAGAGAGTGAATATATAATATAGACAAAAATACTAAATTTATTTTTTTCAGACTAATTCAATGTCTCCCATGTCTCCGAAATTTTATAAAAGTACAGAGAGACTGAATTCAAACTTAACCAGGGTTGCCACGTCTTCCGCTTCTTCACTTTTATTCCGCTATTCTTCCGCTGTTCCGCTTTTCCCCGATTTTTCGTATAAAACGTGTTGCATATCGACCATACGTAGAGAATAACATTTGATATTATTGAATCAATTCTTATTGTTTACAAATACCGTGGCTCATCATTGTCTTCTACGTTTTGAAACTTTGATGAAATAAAAAGAAATCCAATAAATATGAAAAAATGCCTAATTTTCTCAGAAGTATTACAAATCTGCAACAATATAGGTTTTCGCTTCTTTCCGCTATTTGCCGCTTTTTAAGATCAGTTTTCCGCGTTTTAGACTTCATCAGATGGCAACCTTGTACTTAACAAAAGAATATGAAAACAAATAGCAGCTTTTTCAGATGAACTGTTTTGAATTATTTTAGTAAGCCTAAGGGCATATGTGAGTTTCACATTTTAGCCCCAAAGGGGCTGTGCTAACAAGCTTTTTGAGAAAATATTGAAAAAGCATTTACATTCATTCAAAAATAGTTATTATTAATTTAACCAAATGATTTAACGCTCCCATAAGACGAAGAAGCGAAAATGATGACTGATGTAAAAACTCATTGTAAACAGATACGATTAAAAGAAATTTAAAAAAAATATTCCAAACTCAACTGAATTCCGTACTCGCCTGTCACAAATATTTTATAAAGCTCTCCACCTCTTTTGAAAATTTTTGCAGTTATTGCATTGCTTTTTGCGATATATTTTCATGGTGTAACCAGTGTGCGATATCTTAATTGATACTGACTAGTTATTATTAACTATTTTTGAACTGTATTTGCGCAGAAAAAAGTTCAGTATTTCCACAAAAAAATTAATCGCATGAAACAGCGTTTCAACGCATGGTTTTGTGTATGTAACATGTTGAAATGCATTCTTTTTTTATCATTTACAGCGAATTTTTTCAACTTAAAATACGATTTTACAACATCGTTGAAAAGCATCCTGTTACGATCGTATTGTTCCCATACAATCGTAAGACGGAGAGAGATACCCTTTCTAGTAAAATGGTTAATACGTCTGCCCGGTAAGCAGGAGGTGCATGGTTCGATTCCATGCGAAGGGGGATATCTTTTGCTCCGTTCTNAAATTCTAGGTAAGTATAATTTTATGAAACGCGATCTGAAAGAAGTGTTGAAGTATATAGAGTAGAAATTTGGACCCCCCCCCACAGACCGTTACAGAGAAATTAATTAATCAGTTAATTGGTTAATTAATTAATTATTATATTTTTCTGTAACGGTCTGTGGTGGTTTCTAGAGACTTCATACATCATAATACAGATTGTAACAGAGAATCTTCACAGACCATCAGTGACCGTGATAGTCGAATTCCAGACAAGAAGTTTCATCGTGTTTCACATTTTAATCCCACAGGGATTGCGCTAACAGCTTTTTTTTACAGTGTAGTGATCTTTGTTTCCCTCCTGGTAACTGAGCCGCTATGGCTGAATGGTTAAGATGTTTGATACATATCCATAAGATACTGTGATCGAACCTCGGCTCCATCCAATTATAGAATGACCTTGGATAAATTACTAACGGCTATATTATCTCGGATTACCCATCCGATAACAAACTGACTACGTGTGACATACATTAAAATAACTCTCGTAGCTAGTATGTTGTTAGTCAGTGTGTACGGGGAGCTTAAGCAATTAACCTCGAAGAACTCTGAGTCAGGCCGGCCTTCTGTCCAGAGCTACATTTAGTAATAGATGTAGGAAAAAAATCGGGCCCTTGAAATTGGCCTCGGACACCCCACACCGCAAGGTAGCCGAAAGGCAGGGTATTATTATTATTCTTCTTCTTCCTGATAACTGAAATATTTATATTTAATTGCTATTTAGAATTTTTCTTCCGTATTTCATCAAATGAAAATGTAACTAAATGAGTCGCTAATTTCCTACTATATCGAAATTTAAAATATTGAAACAGCTGAAAGCAAAAATCACTGAAAAAGTCACAATTAATATTGTGAAAATACTACGATTGAGCCATTCATATTTGAAAAAAACTATTAGGCCCCAAAAAAATGACTTCAACAATGTTTTTTATTAAATAATTCAATTCTTTTGTATAGAACTATTTAAATTTATTTTAAAGGTCAGTTTTCGGAATTTTAATTTATTTTGAGTTTAAAATGAATAAATTAAAAAAGTATCCTTCAATTCACTATATATATATAGACATTGCATTTCTATTCTGATATCAGTAAGTTTAACTCAATAGTATCCGGTAAAAGAAATCGAAAGTTCCTTGTTCGAATATGTTCTGCATCGGAATGAAAAAAAAATATTTAATAATAGATACGCGTCCAAAGAAAGGCCATTTCGGTTCTGGAAAAATGCGCTCTCCTAACGCTATCGTAATTACATTTTTCCGCTCTCCATCGAAAAGAAAGCTTTTCAGTGCGTTCGAAAAAGTGCGTTTTAAGTCTAGCGAAAACATGTGAACAAAAAAAGGAACGCGTTCAAACAAAGGTTTCAGTGAATTGTTTTTTCGTGGATTGCATGAATTTTATTTTATTTTTCTGCGCATATAAAATGATTTATTTGGTTAGAATGTTTTGTTTTGTACAAAACGAAAACTCCTTTCTCCGCGACGTAAAGTTTTAAAAAAATGAAGGAAAGCTCGTTTAAGTTTCTTGTTTACGCAATTCATATATGATCGGTTACGATCGCGCGTGCTCGACCTTGAGCAGAAGAATTCATTGCCAAATATTGGTAATCCCTAAAATGTGTAATATCCACCATCTGATATTCTTCTATCTAATAATATACTGTATATTGGAAATTAAACTCGACGAAATACGAAGTATTACAAGAAGTCGTGAATTTATTCGACATACTGAAATTCTAAAAATAATTGAATTGGTTGCAGTAAAGTAACTGCAAACGAAGAAAACATTTACGCATCTTTTTTTTACAAAAACTCTACATTAGTGGATGTAAGAAGCGTGATTGAAGATAAGAGTGCATATAAGTAAACCCCACTTCTCGTATTGATCCATAAGTAGAATCACACTTTTTTGAATAAGTTAAATTTGTCATTCAAAGAAAACGAGCCCTACACTACTTTGTTATGTCTGAGACCAAGACGCTCTTACAACCACATCAAATGGTATAAATCTTATCAGTTAAGCAGATCACTGCGACGATAGGTAGTAGCGTTCATTCAATTACAATAGTGTTTTTTCTGTTGTAGATGATAGATTAGTTTTATGATGGCTTCACGCAATCGACCGTCTTCAATTAGAAACAACAATAGTAGTCGCTCACAGGATGAGCGCAAACGTGGAGATTCTCAAGCTCGTGCCAAGCATCAGTCATCAGATCCGAATGAAAATATAACATTATCCACTATTCGAAATACTTCTCGGCGGCAAGATAATACTCGCCGTTCTGGTGCTCCTGGAATTCTTGATGCTACTACTCCAGAATCAGACACTGTCAAATACAGGATGCCAATTGTGTGGCTCGATAAAAAAGTGCACTCGACGGCCGCAAAAAATACTTTGGAAAGATTGAAGATTAATTTCCCGCATATTGATACTTTTGAAAAGCCTGCTCAATGTAAAGAGCATATTCTTAATTCGGATGAAAAACAATTCTGTTTGATTATTTCGTTGGAATATTTCGAGGCTTTTCTGCAAGAAAAATGCAGCATTAAATCAGGTATGAAGACGTCCGTTTTAATTATTAGTTAATTATAAGAGGGAAGCAAGGTAATTTCGTATTTCGATATTCCGAGGGATTGATGCATTCCAACTCGGATCTATGGACTCTGTGAAATTTGTGTACTCATGAAATACAGTACAATGTTATTTCTAAGAGTACAATAAATTATAAACACTAACCATAGATTCATAATTTCTGCGTCAAGCGTTATTTCAGCGGATAAAATAGTACTGTATTAACTAGACGCACGCTTATCAGTTCCTCACAATGAATTAATCATACGAATACATTATATTTACATACTAAAGCATCTGTAACTATTGTTACAAGTGAACCAACAACAACCAATTCCAAAATCGATTAATCATACGCAAGTATTCCAAAATATCTATTTGCATCTTGATATACACTTGAAACATTTATGCGATGCCTTTTTTAATGCGTACTCACCATGATAAACTATGATACAATAAATAATTCCTACTGTGTTCTTTCTCGTTTTGCAGCGCAACAAATGTTAGCGTTGCAACCGTTAACAATAAATAGATGATCAGATCTGACAGGTGATTCCTTATTGGTGAATAGGCGCTAAACTTTTTTATATTAGCTCTAGAGAGCCTATGGGTTTCAAAATTGCATAGCACTGAATCTTGCATAAACATGTCTCTTTTTATTGCGAAGGAACAAGAACCTAAGGGCCTCTAGAATTAAAGATGCTTATATCGATGCGTTTATGTTGCCTTTTAAGAGATGAGGTTGAGGAGGCTTTAAAATCAATTCCATCCAATAAGTTGTTTCAATCGGAAACGACTAACTCTTTGAAGTTCGAATAAGTGTAGGCAGGTATTATTGTAGTATGCTGAACTCACCAAGTTCACTCTATAGATGCTATTCCAAAATGCTAAAACAGAAATAAAAGTATAGATCTTACTTTGTAGACATAGACAAGTTTAGATCGTGACTTTGTGGGTGATTCTAACTGCTGATGTCGACTATTATTGATATTTAGTAAATGTCATCATAGTTGATCAGGTGCATTTCACGAAGTATTTGTATAGTAACATAGTTAGTTGAGTAAGAAGGACTAGGAATTATATTTCTATGAGCAGGAGAGACAATGTTAATATTATGATATTAATCAGCGTTAGTAAAATATTGAGTTCGTAATTTTATTTGTGCTTGAAACATTTTAACAACACGAAACAGAGCTACACTTGCCGGGATTGTATAATTCAATAGTTCTAAATTGAACTGATCTAGCTTTTTCACGGACGGCATCGATATCGTTATGTAAAACTTTAGAATGTATCAGTGCAATCGGTATATCGGTAATAAACTGATCATTCGTGATACGTCGATCTATCAGGAAATGCGTATATACCCATAAAATACGGATACTTTAAATGAATATTACTTTACAGTGCACTGTTATGAGTAACCTTGATAACTCGCTGCATATTGAGATAATGATTCACTGTTGATAACGAGAGTTTCATTGAGCCTATTTGCTAATCTATTTGTGAAACTAATTGTTACCTCGTTAACAGAACTAACCTTGATTAGTTTTTTTTCTCACGTGAAGATAGTGACATTTTAGCATTGCATTGATTTACAGAGTATCAGATAAACAAGGAAAAAAACCGTTGATCGGCGCAGAATTAAACCGAAGCGCTTGGTTTTCAATATAAGTGCCACCCAGTAGTAAATCCTTCACATTAATTAAAAATTAAGTTTAATATTATGTATTAGCTTGTAATATTAAGCGTTAAAGTTTTCGTTTGAAGAAATAAATTCATTAAAATAGGCTTCATTAAATACAATGGTCTACCACTATGCCCACCTGTCACAATAGATCAAAATGTTAGATTCTTAAAAAATATTTTATGATCGTATAAATTATTATTGTCGGTAGAAATACTTTCCGTGAGTGATTCCTCGGTTCCTTTGTGTTCATGCACGTTTCTTACATATATGCGAAAGTTCTAGATGATTTGATAACGATATTTGTGCTACTTTTCTATAGTACTATTTGTATTTCTATGGACAAAAAGTTCTTTTGTTAAATTGCCCTGTAAATATATTGTATGAATCCTGTTTTTTCGAACCTCTATCGTACATATTTGAGGGTTGGACATTGAATTCATCGGTGACCAAAATGAGCATATCAACGAGAGCAATGCCTTCCCAGCCAAAAATGCTCTTCCCATAGAAACGAAAGCTTACATGACGGGCAAAAGCAAAGCAGTCGACCGACAACATTCTGCATATGAAAGAAGAATGCTATTAACAGTGACTGCTTTATGATTCACTTAATGATTCTATCCTTTTTGAAGGAAAAATGAAAACTTACAGGAAAGATGAATAAATGAATTAGAAAAACGCTTTTCGAACAATGGAAATATGCAGCGCATTGAAGAAAAATGCTACTCACAATGATCAGTTGATGTTATACAAATATAGATAATCATTTGATTATTGCGACACAGTTTTTCGTAGCTAAGCATTTTTCTTTATTAATGCGAAGTATTTTTCTTTATCAAACAACGCATTTATCCTCTTAGGTAAACCATTTTTCCTCTACTTTTTCATTTATCGGCCATCACTGCTTATATATATGCATACATGTATATATCTCGATAGATAGACAAATAAAATGATGGAAGCGTCACCTTTTCTCTTTTTCTCTAATTTTATTCATATTTATGAAAATTGTTTTTCTGTTTGATTGATTAAAGTAATTTTCTATCATTTTTCAAAATTTTTCAAAATTTTTCTTCTCTCGTGTTTGATTTTATAATTATAGAATAAACAGTTGTTTCGATATGTTACTCCTTCGATATATATTCTTGTACTCAAAATAGCATTTTTTGACTCGGACGTCATTTTTCCGCTGATAATGAGCATTTTCCTCACCGATCGAATCGTTGTCTACTGCTGATATATTTTCTCAGCAGTCATTCAAAAGCTCCTTCGAACAATTCGCACGTTATTTCTCTTTTTAAACAACTCTTGGATGCATTTCAAATCGTATGCAATGCGATTTTATTGTGTCTACGAGTACGAAGATAGGTCGTCTTCCTTTGATTTCTAGCTATTTCTGTTTATTTCTAGGTCGACAAACCGTCGACGTTCGACTTCATGACCTTCCACAAGTCCAACGCGTATATGTTTATATTATCGAAGAATCTAAGAAAATACAGCACGGCAGGGAACGTCTAAAATCTGGATTTTCTAAAGTAAGAGTTCAAACTAGCAAACTAATAGAGCATTCATAATCTTAAATGGAATATGTAAGAGACAAGTCATTTTAAGTAGTAATCGAAGTATTTAGCTTCTAATATCAATGAAATCTGTTTAACTTGTCTATTACTCTTGGTTGAGTTAAATACGCAGTATAATAGGACAACTTTTACTGAAAGAAAACCATTATTGATTGATTGGTATCGACTACCATGATCTGAGAGCGACCAAAATCAAGCATCATTGGGTTAGGTTTCACCCGATCAGACTAGACTCAAATTGAATCATTATAGTCTGATTCAGTTTACTTCTGATCTTGGACTTGCTTTCCTCCGTTGCACGGGCTCTTTCTGAAACAATCTATTTGACGTTAATTTCAAGTTAGTTTCTCTGTAATTTCAGAAGAAAAACTCATGAACAGGTCCGGCAAAAAGTTCTGGGACATTGAAAAATGGGATCTCAGTTTTCAGTATCCTATCGACATAAAGTTCGCACATATAACAAACATTATTATTGATTAACTTCTAAATTACCAGTCACAGTTGTGGAACTTTTGTTCTTGATATAAAAAACAAAAAGAACAGAAGTTACTCAGCATTAACTTGTAATTTGAAATTAACCATCGAAACCTTGCATCGCAGGACTCAATTGAACTATGATATTCGAAGTTGCTTTTTCCTTTTATGAAGTATTTTCTTCTTGCAAACTGGAAGAAAGACTACTATGGCGTTACCCTATATTCTGTGAGAATTTCACGTTAGTTTGTTGTAATCTCTTTCGTATTTGTTTCGAAAAGTTGTTTCATTCAAAATCGTTTATACAAAAAGTATAATCGCATTTTGTAAATTTTTCAATCAACCTTTATAACATTTCTTTCGTGGATAGGTACATACTAGGGCTACATAACGGTTGATTTTCCGGCTCTTAATAATCTCCGGTTCTGAAGTTACAAGAGGTGCAATAATATAAGCTACTATGCGTTATAACTCCTGGCCAACTAAATATCTATAGCGCGGATTCATATTAATGATTCATGCCGATCATGCGATATGTGTTCACAAAGTTTCAGTCTCATATGTCTTAAAATGACTGAGATATCAGACCAACATTTGTAGCTAGCGACAATGTCCCAGGCCTTTTTGCCGCTGGACGATTTTTGTTTTATTTGCTTTTTCCTATTCGAAACAAAGTTTCAAGATTATGTCGTTTAGTCTGAAAGCTTAACGAATAATACTTTCGTTATACGCACCAAAATTTTATTCGAATGAGATTTTGAACAATAGGACTAAATTCTTCAGTGTCCCAGAATTTTTTGCCCCACCTGTATGTATTCATATGTCGCATATATCGGAAAGTTAAACTAAAACTAAATCTATTCCTAGATTTAGTTTTAGTTTAACTTTTTCTCTTCTCCATTTATATTCGAACTCGAATTAGACAGCTACTCTCTGATATAGTTTCTATGGTGAGTCAGTGGTAAATTGCTCTTAGAAAACACGTAGGTGCAAAAAACATTATTTAGGCTCTTGTATAGTGGATTTGGAAAAGAAAATATCATATTGCCAACGGAATAAATTTGAGGATTGCAAGAAGTTATCTGTAGCTGATGTTTGATTGCGAGCAAAAGGTGAAGCAAATGTGAGATTGTAAATGATGAAGAAAAGCATGGAGATATCATAAGAGGCCTCGTTCAATTTCATCAAATCATATTCGACATTGGGTTGTGTCCATACATCGCAGCGCTTGTCAGGATTCCAGCGAAAACAATTATTTGCAAAGGACGTCCCCCTCTGGATTTTTCAGGGCACTGCGATGTATGAATTATGTCTCTTTCCCCAACCATTAAAAGGATAGTTTGAATTAAAAGAAATACCTAATATTTTCCCTAAAATTAAAAATATCTGGGCGTGAATGTTTTATATTGACATGAATTGTAAATCTGTCTCGTTCTGATGCAGTTACATAGCTACTTCAAATCGCATACATAAAATATATCTTTATGTTCATTGTTTTCCCCATTATCCTCTTCTCCAAAGAATAATGATCCTAATAATTTTATATGTATGGTAGGCTGAAAGCAAGTTTAGTTCCAGTTTCTGATAAAATTTTCGTATATTCTGTAAAATGCTAGCGATGTCCCATTGATCAGTTGACTGCCAGTGAATTCCCAAGACATTAGTCATATATGAGATGCAAGAGAGACAAGCAAAAAATAACAATAGTGATGACTATCACATAGGCTCATAGTTTGAAGTGCTAATTAATTGGGGCTAAGCAAGAAGGTACCTTAGTTTTTATCAGGTATATAATCATATGATGTCATATCCTAATATAATTCATGCACTCATACGTTCTTTCTGCGTGAATAAGGCTTCCTACTGACAGAAAACTACAAAGAAATTATTACTTTGCCAACTCGAAACTCTGACATGCTTCTTCTCACCTTCAAACTAACAAAAACGTAGATAAATATAATGCAAACTGAAAATAATATCACAAGTTTCAACACTTCACGTAGTGGTACCCTCTTGCTTTGTCTCTCAAATATGCTATCGAGAGAGGATAGAAAATAGAGCATTTCGTGCGCGCATCTTGTTTTCAAAGCACTGCTTTGACGCTGAAAACTATACCAATATACCCAAACCCACCATAAATATGTCTGAGTTAAATGTATTCCGTCGAGCGTGCTATTCCGCGATATTCACACCATTTAGATAAAGATCCTCGAACCAAAGATTATCAAAAAGGTCATTTACAAAAGATTCGAATGTTTATATTGATGCTCTCTAATTCAGTAATATTTATTATAGGTGAACTTTTTTTCGACCATATTTGTTTTGACGATGGCAAACGCTTTCTATATTTTTTACTTTTCAGCTTGTTGTATCTGTTCTTCTACCTTTTTGCAACTACTAATCGAAAGACCTTGAAAAATTACACTGATGGTTCGCATCTTACGTTGCGATAGAACTGACTTCACAAACTGTCATAGGCACAAAATTCGATATGTTAGAGAAAATACTAATTTCTGCTGGGGGATCGCTAGTTTCTTTGTAAATGTTACAGTTTACGATTGTGAAAAGTTTAGATTCGCATAGAACGCAAAATTTTGAGTTAAAAAAGTTGTTTTTCGCTGAGTTTGAGTGAATAATTCTGCTAGGAGACTCAAATAATCAGGAAAGCGGTGCAAATAGTGATTAGAGCTATTTCACAAATAAACGCTTTTTGAGAGCTCTCACGATGATATTCGCCATCGGCACTCATAACTCTTCAAGCTCTTACGATTTTGGCTCGTTAACAAAAGAAATTGTATTCATCATACCTGAGGGGGACCCAGGCACAAAAAGTATGAATATCGTTTTTCGAGGAATAGACTAGATAAAAATGGTCAGAAGCGATCGCGTATTCTATGCCAAATAAACGCTCACGCTCATGAGCGTTTATATGAGCGTGAGCGTGAGTTGTACACCCCTAATCTCTTCTCCTCTAGTGTAAAATGCTACTCATTACCAGGGACTAAATTTTTGAATGAATTACATTAATTGTAAAGTCTTTTATTATTTCAGGAGGGTTGGAAGTGCAATTATGAGTATAGATGAGATTGTACGTCACGATTCTAAAATCTACGGTTTTCAAAATTTTTCACTATTTCTATGTTTCTGGATCTAGATAGGTAGATTTATTCTTGATGGAGTGGGAAAATGAGGTGACGGCAGATAGGAGCTAAGCAATCTCTGAACTGTTGGTCTATATGCACCAAACAAAGCAAAGTGCCATCGTATAAACGATGGTGAATGCGCCAATATGGCGAGCGACTTTGAGTGTGCCTATTATTAACACATTGATGTAGACCCATATCTAAATCTCAACTAGGTCAATTCAAGCAATCTCATGCCCGGAAATCTTGTTGTCAGAGCCAATGATTATGTACAGATTCTAGTCGAAATTTGAAAAGCAGCCCTTTTTATGCTTCTGAGAAGGTCATGATGCTGATAAAAATATACTATTGTACGAATGCTGTATTTTCTTAGTGATAAACTAGCAGTGCAACATTTTTAACCCATCCATGGTACAATATCACAAAAAAAGTCTCTAGAAAGATTTCCACACTTGCCAATGAGCTGCAAAACATCCAGAGAGATATAATCTCGAATCCCTGGAGAAGCTAAGCAACTGTGATGATCTTCACCTTTCGTGAGGTCATATCATCACTTCTATTCTTCTATGCAGTTTTCCCTTTATGTCTCGTGTCATAGGTCGAAGGAACATATATTGTTCTGTGTACTAACTCTCTCTCTCTCTATCTGAGTTTTCATATAGTATATATCGTTGGAGTGTTTTCTTCAATAAAGGGGTACAATAGTCAACCGATAAGAAAATAAACCTTACAGCAACACGTAGAAAATTCGACGATGATATTCTTATTGCAGTCTCAAGCAACCAGGAAACATTTCTAAACGTTTCTTAGCATACTAAGAACTGTTCTAGACACTATCGCCTAGCGTGGGAAGTACAACAATACATATAGTTTTGATGAAAGAAGCAGTTGCACAGCTTGTAACTTTATCTCGTCAGTTTGCGGTCATTAGTGCTGTGCTATTATTTGCATTTTGTGAATTGTATAATGTCTCTGTTGATAGGTTGTTGGTTTCTTTTACGAGTGGATGGATCTATTGGCAAAGATCTGTGAAATGCGAGGTTTCGACTATAGAACCGACGAAGATGCGCTTAACATATGCATTTTTGATAAGGGCAAGACGCATAAGAATTTATCAACAGACAACGCGTCACATGTATGGTTTCAATTGGTGATTGAAACTTTGCTTCGCATGAAACACACACAGGACAGTAGGCTTGATATGATCAAACTATGGTACGAAATCTGTCAAGAAAGCAAAACAGAAGAAGGGCTAATAAAAGACTTCCAGGAGAACTATACGCCTGATTCAGCTATCTATTGGTATACACGAGAGAGTGGTATCTATCGTATTCTAAACAAAGCACTACGGACGGAAGATTTCGATGCAGTCTATGCGTTCCGTTCAATTTTGACCGACATTTATTTGCAACTGATGTCGATACATAAAGAAATGGCTAGTGAAAACAAAAGCCCCTTTAGAGTTTACAGAGGACAATTCTTGTCGGAAGATGAACTCGCAGCTTTGAAAAAATCTTGTGGTCAAACAATTTCAATGAACAGTTTTTTATCCACCACAGCTTCCTACGAGATTGCATTAGCCTTCGTTAGTGCCAAGAAACCTAATAAGGGTTATTTTCCGGTTTTGTTTGAGATCACTGTTGATCCAAGTTGTCAATCGCCACCATTTGCAGAAGTCTCGAGTTTTTCTATGTTCCGTGAAGAATCAGAAGTCCTATTTATGAGCGGATGTGCCTTTCGACTCAGTAAAATTGAATCTAGTTCCGACCGAACAAATCTCACAAAAATATATCTAGAGCTGTGCGACGATCGTGAAAATGGTTTAAAAGATTTCTCTGATTATATGAAATCACAAATGGGCTCCGAAACAACGCTAACTTCATTAGGTGAACTACTCTACAAGATGGGAAACCGAGATCAAGCGGAATCTTTCTTAGATCGAGTTAATAGTGAGCGATCGGATTCCGACGATACTACAGGACTCACAGCGCTGGGATTTATCGCTCTTGATCAGGAGAACTATGATAAAGCAACCGAATGCTTTGCAAAAGTTTTGAACTACAGGAAAACTTTCTTACCACCCAAAGCACTTCCGCTTGGGTATGCACACAACAATATAGGACTGTTGTATGACGAAATGTGAGAATACCTAAAAGCTCTAACTCACTTCAAAGCTGCTCTAAATATATTTTCTTTCTCGCTGATTAACGATAATCCTATGATCGGAAAAGTTTATGGAAATCTTGCGAACGTATACGGAGAAACTCAACAAACAGATCAATGTCTAGCATATATGCTGAAAGCGTTGGACATTATGACTAAAGCGCACGGTGACAGACATGAAGATACAGCAGCATGTTATAACAATTTAGGCACTTATTATCGAGATCAGAAAATGTACAATGAAGCCCTGAAGAATCATAAGAAGGCAATCATGATTCGTGAGACCGTACTTCCAAAAGATCATCTGGATATCGCACACAGTTACAATAATATTGGTGTTGTATATGAAGGCATGAATGAGTTTGACACCGCTGCGAACTATTATAAGCTGTCACTGGACATCAAAAGGACTCGCTTGGGCAAATCACATTCTAGCTATAAAATCACACTTCAAAATTACGAAGATTTACGTAACAAAATGAATCAGGTAAGACAATTTCATAATTATGATTCATTCGTAGGAAATATTTTCCAGAGAAATATACGATGAGCAAAGGGCTGCTATTACACATAGGAATGTATAAAAGCCAGGAATTAGATTTAGTATATCCCTAGTGTAGACTGAGTGATCATAGTCACAATCCGGTTCACTGGTTGACCAATCTACTAGAATAATCTGTGAGAATTATGAATATCAAGGGTCTTTGTGGGCCTTCTTAGGCTCCTATCTCGGATCCAATGGATTCTACTTGCAATGATTCTCGTAGTTATGCATTATCATTTTCTTGTACATCAATCAGCTGAAATCAACTTAAACGATTTAATTACCAAATATCTAGAATTCTAATGAGAACAATCGGCAGGATTCTATCATGCATTGCCGATTTCTAGTCGGAATTTATTTTGAACTCAAAAACGAGAACTATTTGTTCAAGAATGCTAATCAAATCAACTAATGTCCTACTAAGAGTATAGTGTCAAGAGGCAAGCTAATGCAAGATTATCAGATGTTCGCAGACATCGTTATACGTACTCACACATAGTCCTTAGAATACTAAAGCTTTCAGCTCAACACAGATATTCTAAAGTGCTGTATTTTTCCAGTATTTTTGTATTTTTTCTACTTTTCATTTAATAGCAAACAACTAAAATCGCTCTTTTCATGGTTGGACGTACTCAGACAGGTCAGCATCATTCCAAAAAATTATCCTTAGACAGTATTTATTTTAGGAAAAAGTTCGTTTGGAAACTTAGTTGCCGGTGAGAAAGTATTTAAATCAGGAAGAGCAATTAATGGCGTCACAAAAGAATGTCAATTGAGTGAAGTCAAGATGTTAACCATCGTCGATACGCCTGGATTTGGCACATGCGCAAACGATGCAAAGGTGCGTGAGACTATACAGAAAACAGTGGATAGAGTTTCAAAGAAAGTCGACGTAATTTTTATACTTGTCTTCTTACCTTGTGGAGATCTAGATGAACAAAATGAGATGTCGGTTTACAAAGAATTAACTACTATCTTCGGGAATGCTGCACTCAAAAGTAAAAGTATCGCTGTGCTTTCCTATGCTGATAACGTTGAACAATCTAGCAGTTCAATATTCTCTGCTGTCGATCAATATTTGAATGATGACAACACAACACTTCTTCACTTTATTGAAAAAAACCATGGAAATCGCTATCTAGCAGTTTATAATCAATCAAACAACACTACTTACAAACAAGAGGTGTACGACAAACTCATGCAACTGATAAATTCTCTACTCTTTCAATAATGATTAATACTTGCTATTAATAATATACATTCTTGTATCTGCTTCACTATAATGTGTGTGTGTGCGTGTGTGTGTGTGCATCGATATAGAGATCTATGAAGTTACAAAAGAATACCCATACCCACACCCTTTCAGTTTATAACCGTGGTGTAAGACGGCCTAGCGTATCAGCCTCTCGACAACAAGTATTTTCAGTTGAATAAATAATTTGCAAGTATAAATATTTTCCATTCGAAATGCATACCTATAAATATATGCGATAGAGTTTCTTCATTATCGACCAGTTCTTCGGGCAATACAAGCAAGAACACTATGTATTCGATAGTATGAGTTATATTTCTACTACTATTGATGATTAATGTCATTCAAAGTAACATGGATTTGAATATTTAGATTAAATTACGACTCCTTTTCGTTTATATAAAATACATCCTAGATTCGATGCAGGCTCAAGCATGTGGACAACATGAAGAATATCTACAATGTGGCTCATCGTGTCCTACAACATGTAGTGATTTTTCCTATCCAGTGCGAATAGGTCGATTTTGTACAGCACACTGTGTACGTGGCTGTTTTTTTGCCGCAAGAATGCTGCAAAGGCTCACATGAAAAAAATATAGAATGCGGCTCGGTTTGTGTTGACATTTGCCAGTATAGATCGAAATTTTGCATACATCAATGGATTCTGGGTTGTTTCTGTGAATCTTATGAATATGTTCGTGAAAGCAATCTGACTGGTAGTATTTGCATTAAGTGCCTACAATGTCCAAAGAACAATCGCTTTACTTGATAATTGAAACCATTGATTAATTATGTAATATGAAAACGTTTTGATGGCGAAAAGGAAGAATAACATGTCAAAAGAGTAAATTATAGAAGCAATCCGGTTCACTTTGTCTGCTATATACCAAATTAATTTGCATACGCTTACAAGACTATTCATGTATGTAAATTCTTTTGTTTTTCGATATTATCGTGAAATAAGTCCATCAGTATTTTCAAGTAGTCAAATTAGTTTCGAACTTACCAATACTTTTTCCGTATGACCCCAATGACTCTTCAATGGCGAAGAATCCAAAAATAAGAGTCACAGATGATGTACGCCAGATTTCCAGATGTTACTAATAGTGTAAGTTACATCTGATCATATAAATATCAGCTGCAAAAACATACCGTCTCTTCTGAAATTATTCTCCACCGTAGGTAGAAAATATGGCTCGAGTTGTGAATGTTTGTCGTCGCCTACTACTTTTTTTCATTGGTATTGGAGTTTTAACAAGACATATGTCATAAAAATTAAAGTTATACTAAATTCGTTTCTATGGTAGTTGAAGCGTACGAATTGCCGACTTGCTCATGCAACAAAGAAATGTACGTCTTGCAGACAACAATAAAGATCCAGAAGGATAAAAATGAATGTAAGTGTTCTACAAATCAAGAATATCTTACCTGTAGTTCAGCTTGTCGTTCAACACGGGGCGATCTATCTTATCCACTGCCAAAACCACTCAAATCATGCGTTCAAATTTGTGTAGTTGATTGTTTTTGCAAAGATGGATATTATCTGAACACTAAGGGTAACTGTGCCGAACCAGAACAATGTTGCACTGGCAACAACGAAGAATATACGACATGCGGTACAGCATGTTCAGCAACTTGCGATAACAAACCTGAAATGTGTACAAAGCAATGTGTTTCCGGTTGTTTCTGCAAGTCTGAATATGTTCGCAAGGATAATAATTCGAATAGTCCTTGTGTCAAACGAAGTGAATACCTGATTAAAGGAAAATAATTAAATAAAATATCTGATAATTTTGTTTGTTGATCTCTAGCTGCATTGATAACTTTTCTGTTTTGCTCAATATAAAAAGCTTGAAAACAAAAATGCTCGTGTAAAAAATTCATGAATACAAAATGATACAAATCAGAACTTCGTAGACTCGATTCTACAAGGTTTTTTCTTCTAACGACATGGATTCTACTATGTCCCAGTATAGCACTTACTGACTAGTTAATTCGTAATGAGATCGAGCGACTTCATATCGGATAATTAGCATTAGGTTCAACATTTTCAAAGTGACTTTCGATTATTGTTCTTCACTGAAAAAAATGTCAGCCATAATTGTTCTTATGATTTAGAAATTCCATCAAGTTTTACACTCGATAATGTGATCAATATAATTATAGATCGCAAAGCGTTTTCTTGTTTGATGTTCTTAAATGATTCAGATGGATCGATCGTAGATAAATACTCAATTGTTATACAATAATTTCTGCACAGTTCAAACTCATCGAAACTAAAATTTAGCCTAGGAGAGCTCAGAGCATTTTTGGAGAAAAAAAAATACAGCTGCTTTTAATATTTCATATTTAAGTATAGTTGATATTTTCATTTTGCAAGCGAAGAAAAAAAACATCATTTTTAGTCGTTTTTGTCGATTCGATTGTTATTATATCAAATCGTTAATTTAAAATTTGATTTAATTTTATTTAGAGTTGTCTTCTAATTTATAAGCATCGTCATCGATTATCATATCAACATGATAGATTCGATTAGAGCAACGAATAGAATTAACAAAAACACAAAAAGAAGGTATAATAAACAAATGAGGAGTACGCATGAAAAGCCAAAAGGCGCCCGCGAAACTCTAGAAGACAACAATATAGAGCAATAAACAAGTACAGAATGGTGACGAATTCATTCTGAAACAAAAGAAAAAGAAGAGGATGAATATTATCGTACAATTATAGACGAAGAAAAAAACACGTGAGTATATTCTCGCGAAGTATAACCAAAAATGTCATCACACAGTACATTGAAATAAATATGTACAATATACATGCACACATTCAGAGAAAAGGAAAAATACTCGAACGGAAAAGAAAACAAAAGAAAAACACATACATAGAGGAACTAATGTTTATTTTTCAAATACCATTGACAATACATAGTTACATCTGACAACACCGATTATTGAGTAAAATTTAACTACAAGACTTCATCTACCGCCGCTAGTTATATATTGATGAAAATGGACGCCTGGTGTTACAGTTACATCTCCGAATGCTTCCGTTTGTTCAACATCGACTGCTTGAAGTTTCTTAAGTACCAATAATGTATAAAACTTTTGTGCTGTTAATTTTCTTGTATGATAATTTGGATTGCCCGAAGATAAATGATCATGAAATGAAAGTGCATCGGCAGAATCAAATGTGCGTTCGAATGCATTGAGCATAATTTTTGCACGACGATTCAATTTTTTGCCTGATTCAAAATCCTAAACGAAATATATATATAGATATTTTTTTTTCAATGTGAAAAAGTTTTGTTTACTTCTTGCGCTGTTGTTGCCTGCCCGTGTTCTTCATCTTCATCATCTTGTTCTTCTTGATTTTCTTTTGTTAAATGCCCCATACCTTTCTTACGACGCATATTGCCAGATGTACGGGAAGGCGATGGTGGTAATTGATTTAGTTCATGAACTTTTCGTCCACTTTTACGTGTTGGTGACATAGGTCCTGGTATAACATCCATTAGATTATCCATTGATGTTGTCATTGGTGGAAAAAATAATGAATCTGAACGTTGACGTTTATCATAATTATCATCGTCACCACCAGGTGATAAACCACGTTTTCTCGAATTCGGTGATAAACCACCAGCACCCATAAACGATGGATCATGACCTAATACTTCAAGATAATGATGATGTGAAGCACGCATATGTTCAATAGATGATTCGTCTCGTTCACGTTCAAGTTGTTCCATGGCAAGATCATGTTGAATTTGATAATTATCCGGTGGCATTTGTTCTAATGGTTTCGTTACCATATTTCGTGTTATTAACTAAATCAAAATTAGAAAATAATACTAAAGGGAATCAATCGAATGTTTTCTTTTATACTTGTTGTAATGTTTTAGAGAAAATCGATGTTGCACTAAATGAGAATAATTTTTCAATTCCACCGGTTTCTTTCAAGTGCATCAAACGACGTGTTGGTGGTGCTAATTCAAGTACGCCAACAATATCAGTTGTATCACTTAATTGAGTTTTCATTGATCCACTATCGATTTCTTTTACTTCATCGATAACTAATTTTCGTTTACGTTTAATAGCTTGTCGAGCAGCAGGAGTTTGTGCTGAAAGGAAAAATTCGTTATGAAAAGAAATTTCGGCAGGTTTTTCTTCATTTACCAGTCGCTGAAATAGGTGGTAGAATAAATTCATCGGAGACATTAGATAGAAGTGTTGTATCGTCAACGCCTGGAATATGTCCTCCGTCCATATCCATATGGTTATCTTGATTTTGTTCGTTAGTTCGTGTTGGATGATCATCCAGCGTTGGTAAACCCGCTGCATTGTCATCTTCTAAAATTGATGACGGTGTTTTTAAGAGAATGTTAAAAATATAAAGAAAAAATATTTACGATGAAATGGTGACATAACATGATCATATTGATCACGTTCATTTGAAAGATTTGAATGATCACCACCAATACCAATCACTGAAGGTGGACCAGCGACTATAAAAAATTTTGTTCAAACTTAGTTTTCGATAATTATATTAGTAAAAGCTTACAATCACCAAAACCATCTAATGCGAATGGATCATCACCAAGAGCTCGACTTATACTGTGATCTTTACGTATAATTGTATCTAATGAAATCAAATGAAATAAATGAATAAGATAAAATAATTTGTTCATACTATCGACATCCAAATTTGAATTTTGTGGATTAAAATGAAGTGATGGTTGAAGTTTGCGAAAGAATTCAGGTTCATCAAGACCATTTGCATCGCCTAATAGAAATAAATATCATTAAAAATATCATCTCAAGTATTTCTCTCTTTACCAAAATCATCGTCAAGTGGCATAGGTACACTGATAAAATCTTCTTTGAGAGTAATTTCTTCAGCACGTGCTTGATGCATTTGAAATCGAGATGGATCGTCAATATAACTAAATTACAATGTTTTTTCTCTCTCCATTACTATCGATCAAAAGAAAACACTTACTCAATATTAAGATCAATTAAATCAAAATCGTGAAAATTTTCTGGCAAGGTTATAGCAGCAATTGAAACTTCGCGTGTATCAGAATCTTGACCAGTATGATGATTAGTTGATCCGTCGAGACCGACAATACCCGGTCGAAAAGCCATTTTAATTTTAATAAATGCCTCATTACAATCGGCTAATAGATATTTCGTTTTACGAGAATAGATTCGTACGACACCAAGTAGCAAATGACCTTTTGTACGTAGTGCTAATTTTAAACATGGTTCAAGAATTGATTCGCAACTTAGACGTATGTCTGTTTCGAATATTTGAGCTTTGGTTAATTTTTTATCCCAATGTGCAGCAAGCCAAAGACGAGCTAATGGACCGCGTTTAGTTAAAATTGCATGTGTATAGAACATGCTTACGATGTTCTACTTTCACCGTGCAGATCAAGAAGATAAATTGATTCTTTTCTGGCTATGCCGATGGCACGGAATACAGTGTTTATGTTCTTTGTTCTAGTTGTCTTATGAAGACATATTGACAGATGGTGATTAGGACTTTACCATAACGATTTAATTAGAAAATAAAAATTCGTCATAAAATATTTTTTTCTAAAGAAAAACATATAATCTAAAATGGAAAAATAGTGTTTATAGGTGTTTGTGTAAGAAATAAAGATAGATGGCGCGCGATATCCCTTTCATTTAAGATTGGAATGCTTAATAAAATAAAATACAAAGATGAAAAGATGTGTATCCAAAAGTTATATGAATATTTATTTTCAGAACTGGTAGTACTAGCTCAAAACAAAATGATTTTTTTTAATTCTGTTTTTTTACTATCGCCTACTGTATATCTCGATGATGCCAGCTATTTTTAATATGAGTCTTTTCATCAACACAAAAGATGAAGGTCACTACTCATTTCTTCTTGTGTTGACTCGATGTTTAATTTCATTGAGAACTCTACTAAATTACTTGTTTCAGCTTCAGTGACGAAGAAAATTCAACAGTAGAATACAACTATAGAAACCTGAGATGCGTATGTAATAGATTTGATATGGTTAATTGTTGCTAAAGTAAGAAGTATTTCTTGAAACCATTTCGTTGGTTCGACAAGAGAATAATATTTTTCTACGAACATTTAATATTTATTTAAAGAATGTTTGTTTTTACATGAGGTGTGCGTCGATCAATTTCATGTGATACTCGAGTTTCGATAATGAAAATACATTTTAATTTGTTGGAACAAGTGTTTCACGCGCAGGAAAATCAAAATCAAATTTCTCATCATTTGCAGGTGCATGATAAGTACTTATAATTGTATAACGATCTTTTTGTGCGATATTTGATGTTGAGCCATGTACGAGTGTATCTGGAAAGAAGATTGCAGTACCACGCTTGACAGCGCATATAACTACATCATCATTATTGATATCCTCATCAGATATTCGATAGATAAATTCTCCATTTGGTAAAGCTTTATTTATCATTTTCCAATCCTTTTTGTGACTACCACGAACAACCGTTAGTGTACCATTGTCAGCGTTTGCATCATCTAAAGCAATCCAAACCGAAAGTTTTGGACGTGTATTTGGCCAATAAAAACAATCAATATGCCATGGTGTTGCAAATGTTTTCTCAGATGTTTTAACAACGATCTTGTCGCTTAAAAACATAATGCCATCTGGCATGATCTTCTTCAAAATATTCACCAGGCGAGGATCTTTATGATATTCTTCACAGATTGGACTCGTCACGGATGCATGTACATAAACAGATGCATCAGGATGTGCTTTTTCTTTTAAAAGTTTTTGAGCTTCAATTTTAAGCTTTTCACATTCTTCACCATCAATTAAATCAGGAATAATAATAAAACCATCGTGTTCGTAATGATAGGCGATATCATCGGACGACATCAGTTAATTAATATTAATCTATTTTTGTTATCAAAATTCAAGTAATTAACTAACGATTGTTCACAATGGTACAACGATTATTTTGCTCTTTTTCTACACGTGTAAACGGCAAGACAAATATTCTTATCTGATAACAAAAGAATGAAGAACGTATCAGCTTACGACATTTATTTATACATTGTACAAAAAAAATACACCGATTGTTTATATTGGTTCTTTTTTTCTCCATTGTCTATTATTGTTCTTTTAAAGTTGCACAGTTTAGAATATAACGAAAAATGTGTTAAAAAACGAAATAAACTTTGCATGTTGATACAATATCGCCATGACGACGTTACGTATATTTCAGAAAGTTTGGAACGATTGATAGCTATCAAATCAAATAGCTTTTCATTTTTGATTCTCTACAATCAATATATATATATTTAAATACTCAACTTCAGTCCGTTACTGTTACGATAACTTTTTTTTTCAAAGCCCGATTGAAAATATGAAACAGCTTTTCTTAATAATGGGATCAACCTTCTTGGTGATACAATGATATGTCACCAACGAGTGCAAATTTTTCTATGCCAATCATAATATTCTCGTTAGTTTCTTTTCTGTTTTCTTTTTTGTATTATAATACTTCGTGGTTAGATAAAGACAGATGTTTGGCCATTATGTACAATTGACGTCGAAAGAAAGCGATAATTTCTCCACAGGATGTGTATGATCACGATAAAAAGATCCTACAATCAGTTTGCCAGTCACCTTTTTGCCGATTCCTTTTTTATTCCTTTCTGTATCATCTATGCAACAGCATGTCGAAAATCAACATTGATGCCTACGATATAGTGATCTTTTCCATCGTGAAATAAGCCCAAGGTTTTCTTTTTCTCGTATTATTTATACCCATCTTATACATTTCTTTGTACGACATAGTCACAATATATACAAGAAGAAGAATAGCAGTCGGGGCTCTTCTTGATATAGAACAATATTCACGTCAAATGACTGATGTAAGTTCTTCTTTCTTTTGTCTATCGTACAAACCAAAAAGTTAATTTTATTGAATCGATTTGCTGTTTAGAAAAAAGCAAAGAAAGCTGCTCAACGAGCTACTAGTAATGTTTTTACTATGTTTGAACAAAAACAAGTACAGGAATTCAAAGAAGCATTTGGCTTAATGGATCAAGATCGAGATGGATCAATTTCATTGGATGATCTTAAAGAAGTCTATTCATCGTTAGGTAAAGCACCAAAAGAATCGGATCTTAAGCAAATGCTTGAAGAAACTGGCGGGCCGGTGAATTTTACTAAATTATTAACATTGTTTGGTGATCGACTTAATGGTTAGAATTTTATAAAGATAGCGATTCTTGTTTAACAATGTTGATTCATTTTAGGTACTGATGCTGAAGATATTCTAATGCATGCGTTTAAAACCTTCGATGCTGACGCAAAGGGTTCTCTTAATCGAAATATGTAAATTGTTTCTTAAATTAAGTTTTTCTTTTCGATAGAAGAATTCTTTTTTTATTTAGCCTTCAAGAGTTATTAACGGCTGTGGGAAAGCCAAATGAAAGATTATCTGATGTAGAGGTAATGAAATAAAATAAAAAAAGTTCTGTTTGAAAATGAAGGTTGCTTGTGTTTTTTAATAGTTCAATCAAATGCTTGAAGGTGCTCCAGTTGATGGAAAAGGTCTTCTCGATTATGCTGCATTTACTAAACTAATAAAACGTGGAAAAGAAGATGATTAAAACAATAAAATTCATTTATTTCTTTTTTTATTTTATTTTCTTCCTCGTTTTCTCCTTTAGCTTCATCATTTTATTGTTTTATATAGTTTTAATTAATACATAATAGAATTTTATTTAATAGACAAATGGAATAAGTGTATATTTTACATGGGCAATATAATGTTCATAAGCACCTTCTGTACACGTATTTTGAAGCGCTCGATCAAAATAATGCGCTTTATAGATAGCCATGCCGATGATATAGAATGCATAAAGCCATGGTGATAAATGATTTACACCAGCTGGTAGTGACCAACCTATAACCATAAATAGTTCAGCTAATAAATGAGGATGACGACACCATCGCCAACAGCCACCTGTCAGGATGCGTTGAGTATCATTGACAGTGACACAATCAATTGTATGAGTATTGTCCATTGCTTGAAAGGCACTAGAACACAATGAACACATCTTGCGAGGAACTAAGCCGTCTCAATCTATATTCAGTTCGCAAGGAAGCCTGGGTAAAGTTTGTTCTCAGACATTAAATTATGAATAGAGGCGTAACGCTACATGCCCCTGGCTATGACAATAGTAATGAAAGGTCGGATTAATATCAATGTCATGCAGAGGTCTGATGTAGAAGAGATTACTCGGAGAGTTTAAGTATTAATTTATGAGACGAGTCTTATATCAAAGTTTGATTGGATCAAAATGAAAAGCAAATGTTCTTACGAACGTTGACGCATAGCAAGACGTTGTAATACAAAGCCAAAAATGAACAGAATAACAGCCAGAAAAAGACTATATGTGTTAACTGGTCGATTACTTCTACCGATGTAGAACTAGAAAAAAGAAAAATGAAAAATATTTGATTTAAACTCGAACATACAGAAGTGAGAGTAGCCATAAATGGTACCCAACAAAGATTCGTAAAAATTGCATCGAACGAAGATGGCGGTGAAATGTCCAATGATTGACGTATCATCGAAGTTTCATTCATAAATACATTAATGATATAAATAGTTTGAAGAAGAATTGAAATTGCAAAACGAATTGATATTTGACGATTGTATTTGAGGATTGTTAAGAATAAAAGAAAATTCAATGCTGGCCAAAGAATAATACCTGGACGAATCGAGAGAAACAAATGAAAATCGAATTGAGTTTGTTTTTGATTAGGATCATTTCTATTATTAAATTAGTTTCTTAAATTAAATTTGTAAACTTTTGAATACATACTCATTCACAGGTATCGAACAATAACGAGAAAAAAGTTTATTTGTTAATAGAATAAGACTAAACGTAAGTGCAATACCAAGACTAAATAAAGCCAGTAAATAATAAGATTTTGTTAGTTCTCTTAGTGGAATTCTCTCTCGAAAAAGATACATCAATAAGCAGGTGATTGCAAATGATAATAAACTATTTGAACGATGTTTATAGAAAATACGCGGATGAGATTCTTTAATGTAAACAAGTTGTTCTCGGCCATAGTGTGGAAAATATCGAGCAAAAACTAGCTGTAATATAAACCATAATAGAAGATATTTAATAACAATCAAAGGATATTGTTCAAATAGAGCGCCGTTCGATGATTCAGCATAATGATAAAAACAATGTTGAGCATATAAAAATACAGCTATCCAACAAAGTGAAATTATCATAGAATTAAATGTCAATGAACGATCAAAAAACATCTGTTCATTATGCATGAGACTTAATTTTTTCGTTGTACGCTGAAATTTTTCAGGTAAATCAACATATTTCGATGGTAAAGCAACGACAGTTTCATCCAAAAATTGACAAACATAATTATTATCATCCGTATGGTCAATAATACGAGCTTTATAATAATTATATGTCGATGGCCATTTAGCTAATACGTATGTTCCTATTGGAATTAATGATGACATTCGAGAATGTTTTATTTTGATTGAATAGAAATTATGTTCATAGTAGACCTAGTAACAGCGCGTTAAAAACCAAAACTAAGTACAACTGACATTCCAATAATTCATTGCTTTTTTTTATGAAATTAGTAAAACGAAAACGTCATTTCATTCTCTAACTTAGAAACAGAATTTCGTGTACTCGAAAAAGATGTTATATAATTCAAAGTTACCTTTGTTACACAACAGCTAGATGCAAGTCTTTCTTATCTATGTAATTTGTTAGTTTTATTTTGAAATCATTTTGTCAAAAATACTTTCAACGAATGCATTTTTTCTGTTTGCTAAGCATAACTCTCGTTGGACTTGCTTATTCATGGCCAGATCCAGAATGTAGACTACCTCGATTAGCTACTAATTATACTATTGAACAGGTTGGCACTAATTCTACGCTTGAAATCATTTTCTATATTTTTCTATTTCAATAGTACGCAGGTCGATGGTTTGAAGTTGGCAAAATACAAACGCCCGGTGGAGCCTATTTTGAAAAAGGTTGTGTCTGCACTCATATTGATGTTAGTCCTACAGTTCAAGATCCTACGATAGTCAATGTATCGAATATTTGTAATAAAAATGCACCCGATGGACCATTAGTTGTCTCCAATCAAACATTGACAAGTTCAATAAAACCTGCAAATGGTCGATATAATGCATCGTTTCTACCGGGTCTACCTAGTGCAGCCTATAATGTCATTGTTTTACAACGAGATGATTATAGCGTGGAATATGATTGTCTTCGTGAATTTGGCATCACAAATTATTGTGTTCATATTCTATCACGTAAGCAGACATTGAATGCGACAATTGTTAACAATATTTTGAAGCTTGTACAAGAACTTGATTTGAATACAGCGAAACTTGAATATGTTCAAACAAAACAACAAAATTGTCAATACGCGAGCTGAATTCAGAAAATTCTCTTATAATCATATCGAAAGTGCTTTATATAGATTTTCTTTTTATTTCAATAAAAGAAAAAAACTATAAGTATTAAACTTGACCGAGAGCATCGCGTTTAAAAGTTTTTATTAGATTAAAAATTTTAAATGTCAATTTACATGTAATAACCTACAGAATAAAGCGAATTAATTTCAACATTTAATAAGATAAAAATTTACCATTAATATTGCTTGACATAGAGATATAACTGTAATAATTACACCAGTGGAATAACTAATATTCGTATGTTTACTATTCGATCGATGTTTCGCAATGATGAGAACATTTAAAAACATTTCACCACATAAGACAACATATTGTAGATAACCTGCCCAACCAAACTATCAATAGAAATACTATTTCATATACAAATTTCTAAAAGAAATAAAATCCATACGATAGCGATTCCTAAATAGTGAATTCGATATACAACAATTAAACCACATCCATAATACACAAATGAGAACAAGATTGGGCCTAAAGAGAGTAGACCTTGTCGAAGATTATCGTCTCTATTTTTAATTAAAAGACGAACATCAGCCACCAGAAGAAGTAAACATAAAACCTAAATATTCTGTTCGATTATGATCGATTTCAAAAGAAACTTACTATTTGTATAGTTAAAAGACTCAGAATAATTTTTCTTGTGTAACAAATTTTTTTATCAGAATCCAACGATGATGACAACAGTTGACTTTCACCATTTTCATCTACGACTATTGATGCATCGTCTGTTAATCTTTGATAGTGCATGATATAACTCGTTTCGAATAACTAATATCTGTACAGACCGAAAAAAAAACACGTTTATCTCTCGTCTTTGTTTAGACATTCTTTCTGAGTCACGAATAGATATAAGCATTTTTTTCTTCTAGTTGTTATGTTAAACGCTTTGATTTTTCAAAAATAATAAACTGAAAAAAAAGTACAGCTGCATCAGTCAATCATGTGACGTTCGTTCATTTATTGCTGTTAATAATAAAAGGAAGAAATCTGTATAATAGAATTAATTTTAAAAATCATACATTTAGTGTTAATAAAATGTTTAAATCAGCTGTAGACATTTCGCTCAAGAAATCTTCATATGCTTTTTCGCGATTTGCCGTACGTGCAAGAAATTCATCGTGTCTTTGCAAGGCGATTCGTGCAAATTTAACTGCTACGGGTTGTAATTCATAGCGATGATTTTTAATCGCTTCTTTTCGTTGTTCTTCATTTGATAGAAGAATTAAATTTATGTTGTCAGTCATTTTTTGATTTGTATAGCTTGACGATATTTGGACCGATGTTTCTGATATTATTTTAAGAAGATCAATTGTACGGTCGATTTCAATAACTTTTGGTTTCAGTAAATTAAGTATTAAATCGCGATGGCTACTAACATTTAATTGAATAAATTGTTCTAAAACCCAATTGAATTGAAGAAGAAAATCATGAATACCATTTTCAGCTTGTACTGCTATTTGAGCAAATAAATCATTAAAGAGAATCCATTGAGCTTTAACATCTTCTACTTGTGACGAAACTGCATATTCAGATGATACATTTGAAATTAACGATTCTAACTCGACAATAAGATCTTTGACTTGTTCCGTTTTGGTTCGGGGATTTTTAAGTATTAATAAACTTTCATTAATATAAATTTCTCCTTTTACAAGTAGATTTGGTAGATATGAATTTATTTGCTGTTCGGTTCCTTTTGCAATTAAGAGAAGAATAGTTTTTAAATGAATAGGAAAATTTTCTAATGTTAATTGAATTTGATGTAGGTCACCATATAAATTCATCAGAACGAGTCGAATGTTGTCGCTTAGTTGAACAATTGTCTTGCGAAACGAACTAGGCGTTTTGACATATATTGTACAATGATTCGATTGTTTTAAAAGGGAAAAATCTGATTTCGATGCATGGACCATTAAAATATTCAAATAATTGGCAAGAACAGCATTAGCTAAGACATAATCTTGCCAGTTTTCAACTAATATATGATCATCAAGTTTGCTTTCACGTAAATTTCGATTAGCCAGAATTTCTAAAATATCAAATTTTTTTTAAAGCTAAAGTAACGGATTGGACGAAAATAATTTCATCTTACTGGGTATTACAGTCGAAAGTGCTTCATCTGTTCGACTATTGGCTTCTATTTTTGAATTGACCGTTTCAAATAAACAAAGAGAAAGTAGGAAAATCTTGGTTGCTATATCTGAAGATAAATTAAATTTTACTGGTTAAAAAAAAATAACATTGGAAATATTACCCATTCGCTTTCTTCTATCGATAGGACGATTATGGTTTCAAAGTTTATTAGCAAAAGTATGAAATGCACTCCCTTGTTTTTTTTTACATAAAAAACTTTAAATATCATTAATACTCTAAGGCCGATTGATTGCTTGACTTATTAGAACGATCATATGACTGATATTTTCGCCGATAATAGAGCACATGAAAGTAAGCATCTTCGGGACACAATTTTCTATCAACTCAATAACGAAAAGACAAGCTGAATACTTCTTTTTAATCATATTTCTTTTATTCAACCGATTGAACTTATCAAATCAGCATTTAAAGTTCCAGTTAAAATTTTCTCAAAATTCCCTCGTCGAGTTTTATCCCGTTGGAGTAATTCCGTATGTCGTTGTAATGCAAGTCGTGCACTTGGAACAACATGTGTTACTAATTCGGATTGAAATTGTTTTAAATATCGTTTGCGATCTTCTTCATTTGGTAAAGTAAGTAAATGTCCGTTGCTACCTAATTGCTCATCGGTATATTGATATGATATATCAGTATAAGTCTTAGTAATCGTACCGAGAAGATCGCTTGTTTGATCAAGTTCAATGATTTTTGGTAGGAGTAATACAATCATAAAATCACGATTAGATTCAGAAAGCGAAAGATCAGGCCGAATGAATTCTTTTAGAATCCAATTGAACTGAAGTAAAAAACCTTCTCGTGCTCGTTCTGCTCGTTGTGATAATTCAGTAGTGAGCGTAACTAAATAGGTCCATTGAGTTTTAAGATCGAATACTTGTAAATAAAGCATTGGATCATTCGATTTAATAGATAATAGATAATCGATTTCCGTAATAAGATTTAGAACTTGTTCAAAATCGTTTTTCGGTCGTCTAAGTACGATTAGACTGTCGTTTACCAGTCTCTCTATATCATTAAATGAATCAGGAAATAATATTAAAAGTAACTCGAATGGCGCGTGTTTCATCAATAAAACCATTGTTTTTAAATTATCCGGCACACGTTCCATGCCCGTATGCACACGATTTAAATCTTCACGAGCATTGGTTAAAGCTCCACGCATTTTCGTAGTTAATTGAGAGACGGTTCGATGAAACGACGATGGATTTTCTATATATCTAACTGCATAACCAGACGGTATAGAAAAGGCAAAATCTTGTCTTGAAGCAACTATCATCAAACTATTCAAATAATTGACAGCAATAATATTCGAAAGAACCCAATCTTGCCAGTCTCCACTCAAGTCTGGCTTATCAATCTTAGTGTCAGCTGTATTGTTCAAAATAAGTTCTAAAAATGATATATTAAATAGTTAGTTTATTCTCAATCACCAAAAACAAAACTTCACGAATAAAAATTGCTGAAATATTTATTTTTGATCACATGCATAGAGATTACCTCGTTCGTATTTTATTATTGCATCAATTGAAAACTCTTCATCCGTCAAATTAGCCATTGTACACAATTGATAATTGGCTATAAGCCAAATGGTTATAACTAAGTTAAAATTTAGAACTTTGACGGCAAACATAGTTACTAGACTTACTTAAAAACCTCGACATTCTTAGTAGTCAGCAAGTAAAGTCAATATTAATTATTATATCTACAAAATGGATAGTTTTTTTCATTAATCTTTTATAGACTTAAGGTATGTCTGCGGAAATTTTATTGAATCAATCGAATACATCATTTCAAAAAATGCTCATTAAAAAAATCTAAGTGGCCATAGCAGCTCTTGCATAAGTATCATATTCTACATTTCGCTCTACACTAGTTGCAGCAAATCCGGTTTGACGTTCTTGTGCAAGACGAGCAACTTTTATCGATTGTTGTAATATATTTTGCCATAATTCTCGTTGCTTTTTTCCTCGTCCTTGTTCGTCTGCGATATTAAGAGCACTCTTATGTGCATCAATTTGATTGACCATATGATCATTTGATACTACAGTATATGTGCCTATCATCATATCTAATAGATCTGATGATTGATCAATAAGAATCGAAGCTGGAATTAGTTTGCTAAGTTGATTGGTACGGTCACTTATATTATTAAACCCATTCGTTCTTTGTGCTTCATTAATGGGCTCTATGAAACTATTTTTAATAAGTGTTTGAGTGATATCAGCGCGATGGGAGAATTTTCTGAAGAGGTCTACCAGAAGATTCCATTGCTCGCTTATATCAGCAGCGTAGGACTTCGCTTCAACCAAATAATCCGCATTTGTGGGTGTTGACGGCGTAGAATTAAGAACGGCGACAAGCTCTTCCAATAATAATCCGATTGAAACAAAGCGCTGAAGTGCCGGTTTGGTAACGAGTGATCCTTCATCAGCGGCACGTTCGACATTGCGCATTGTATACGGTAATAATTTGCTGATAAGATCCGTTGGTGCTGTTTGAATTAGAAGAAGACCTGCCTTGATATGTTCTGGAATTTGTTGCATACTATTTTGAGCACGGAAATGATCATCACGTGCTGTTTGAAAAACATTCTGCATTGCTAATCGAATTTGAGTCAATGTCGCACGTAGAGATTGTAGATTTTGAATATGTTGAACCTGGTATCCAGCAGCTGGCTGCAAAATTTGATCGGCACGTGATGCAAGTACCATGAATAAGCCAAGATGATTGACAACTGTAGGTCCCCCTAAGATAAGATCTTCCCATTCGCGATCAAATTCAGGAGCTAACGTTGTTGTTGTCGTCGTCGTCGTCGTTGTTGTTGTTGTCGTCGTCGTCGTTGTTGTTGGTTGTCCGGTCCATTCATCGTCAGCAAAAGTAGCAGCATCCCAAGGTGCCGAATGAATTCCACCGATCAACAATATTGCAATTGTCAGAAAAATGGATAACATATCTATTCGAACTATGAGTTCATTTCAAATCATTGAGAATAAATGTAAACTTACTCATTATCGCTATTATCGGGCTATTACACAACGCTATTAAGAAGTTTAATGAGTTTTTGCCAATAGCTGATTGTTATCGAAATGAATGGTATATTTGGAAATGAATTGTGTACCTGTATATATAAGGTTTGCCGGTGCAATCGTCTGCGGATTTACTTTTTTTCTTTATTATTGAAGGATTTATTTTTTATGAATACTCAGCTCTTCACTTCTTGTGGGTAGAGCAATCATGTCTTAGCAGCCTTTTTCCATGAGAATATTACTTTTCACAGGCAAAACAATTGCTGTTTATGTAATCTTTCAATTCGCTTCTTTTTTTTTGTAACAAGAAGATCTGCTATTAATACACGATTTTCTTGCATCTCGCAAGCTGTTAAACAACACGTAAGAAATAAAAGTGAATGTAGCACTACTCTATTAAACAAATCATCCACTTGTTCGAATACAAAAGTAGACTAAACAATTTGAACATTTTCAATGAAACAATCGTAGATCTAATGATTGATATTGATAGTCGAGATCATGAATATTGTTATCTTTTATTACTAATACACATTGAGCTTTCAATCTATTCATAACTATGAAATATTTCTCAAGTGAAAACATAAGCATGTATAAAAAACTTCTTATTCCGACAGACATTTGACTCAATTGCATGTTTGGTCTGTAATAAAATATTTTTCATTTAAGTCTTCTTGCATCGTTCTCAAAATCATCTGATTGACGACGAAGCAATAAAATATCGCAGAAAATCAAAGCATGAAAGTATAAAACCTACGTAATATGATATTGAATGAAAATTGAAATTATTACAGAGAGAATATCAACAATGATAGTCGTTGGTTCTATTCGCTCACGATTAAAATATGAAATACGATACAAATGTTTCTTAAAACGCGTAAGTGTGTCATGACCTTTGCGGAAACAAATCAGGTTCAAAGTTCATGTTTATCTTTTTCAAATCTTATTTTAGATTGCGGTTTATAAGAAGAAGAATTATCGTTAGGTAACAAAGATACGAGAAGACAATCGTTGAAGAGAAGAAACCATACGTTAACTTTCGCGTTTCTATTGCGAGCTGAGCGGTGAAGACAGTTTGCTCACTGAGGCTATGTTTCTACAGCTGTACCTCAATCAGAGTTCTCTCACTGAGCGGATTTGGCTTCTCATTCATCATGCCTGATTGCATCGCCATATCGGTTTCACAAAAAATATTGCCAACTGAGCCATTTTCTACTAGAGAATTATATCATTGAACTCGATTGTAACTTAAGGAATTGAATAATTGATTACAACATACGTACGTACTAGGTATTTATTATCAAGTAGTAGAATTATATTCAGAAGAATTTTTAACCAATCACTATTTCCAAATCTTCTTCAGCTAATTTAGCTAAAAAACGTTGATATTCATCGCGACGTGCCTTATTACGTGATGCATATTCGTTTTGTCGTTCTTGAGCTAATTGTATAATTTTCGTTGATGTAATAGTTGTATTTGAAGAAAGTGAACGCAAAAGCGATGATCTCTCCGAATTCGTTTGCAGAAGCAATAATGTGTTTATAGTAGCAATCTGATTAATCATATATTCAGATGAAATATCAAAATATGTTTTCGACATCACATAGAGTAGATGAGCACCTCGTTCGATTTCTTGACATGTTATACTTAAGATTTCGACAAAAAATTCTCGATCACTTGCATCAATCAATAAATTGTTCGCTTGTGCATCTTTCATGGCACCGATAAAGTCTTGCACAATGATCTAAACCAAAACATTCTGTTCTATAAACAAGGATTTTATGATAGCTGCTTCTTGCCTGTTGCGTACTATCAGCTTGAATGGATAATTTCGAAAAGAACTGTATCAAACGTCCCCATTGTTCTTTGATTTGACTCATTTGCAAGATAGACTCAATAAGAATATCGACAATTTCTTGTTCACTCATTCGATCTAAATCAAGAGCAGCAATTTTCTTCATCATATCAGCTATTTTTTGTTGTTCGGCCACTTGTTGTGCAGCAAAAGCAGCATGACGTTTTTCGGCTTCTTGTAAAACTTGAAGAAGATGATTTGCTTTAGCTATCGCATTTTGTTTGGCTGTTTCGGCTGCTGCTGCAGCTGCAGCAAGAGCTGCTTGATTACTATAACATAATCCTAAAATGCAGCCGAGGATGCGCGCTGGAAAAGTGACAATCGACACAACAAAATTGACTATTTTTCGAAATATTTTCTTGAACCATCCACGAAATGCTGGAATCGCATTAAATGCGACTTGATATTCTTGGCGAGCTTTTTCCATTTCGCGTCGAGCATCTTCGTACTGAGCCTTAATAGAATTCATATTATTATTGAGCTGTATCTGATCTTGTTTCGCTGCATTAATCTGTTCTTGAATTTTATCAACAATGCTTGATTGCGATGAATGTGTGTATGTATTTGCTGCGATAATTTCACCAATAAGTTCTTGTAATGAAGAAAATTTTTGGAACGTTGCTCGTGCATGTGCAGCACTTTCATTAGCAATACGACCAACAGCGTCCAAAGACTTCGGAAGCATCATTTCGATAAGCATTGGTGAGCCAACCATGACTAATTTGAGAGCAGTTTTAATATGATTGGGAACTTCTTGAACATTGAGTTGAATACGATCCATAGCTGTATGTGCGCCTAACAGTGCTGAATACATCGAGCCTGTTACTTGAGAGATTGTTGCTCGAAATGAACCTGGATCTTTAATGTGTTGAAAGACAAATTGTGGTGGACGAGTCAGTGGAAAATCACGTTTACTGGCAAGGACAAGAAGATTGCCTATATAGTTAACTGTGAGTGGTCCAGCAGTCATTAAATGTACCCATTCACCGTCGATATTATCTTGTAGTGCGAGTTGATCATCGAGTTTATCATCAAAAAGTATTTCGTACGGATCGTCTTCAACAGCACGAGAAAATGAACCTATAAAAAATTGCTTTGTAAACAAAACTTTTTATCTACCAGAGTTTCTCATAAAAATTTCATATCTTTTTGGATACAGAAAGAATATTGCTTCGATTTAACTCACCACCCAATGAATCATCATTGCGAGATAATGCCACTAAAAATTCAGCGTCATCCATTTGTGGAATAGCAAAGAGCTTTTCTCGGTCCATGTTAATCACTCGTTGAATGAAATGATCACTGAATGGATTCAATGATCTATCCGATGGTAAGAAGACAGTATGAGCGATTGAATTAGCATATACATCAGTTGCAAGTATCACCATAAATACCAGACACTTCAACGGATAGACTAAAATTAAAAGATAGTGTTTCCTTCAAAAAACAATAATGTACATAGCCAATAAATTTTACATTACTACGTAAAATACTTACATTTCTCAATCATATTGGCCTGTAACTCACACAGAATATTATTAAAAACACAAAAATATATGCCTTAAAGAAATAAAATGTTTCGATCAGAACTTCTTATATACTGACTTTCTGATAATTAAAAGAGAAGGATTCAAAAAAGTACAGCTGTGATATTATTCGATTGTTTCTCATAAATCATTCGCTCGACGAAAATATTTTTCATGGAAACGCTGTCTAAAAAATGCATTCACTGATAAAGACCTCTGGCCTTAAGATAAGACAGTTTCAAAGTACAAAATGTATATTGCTTAATTCGTGAGAATACTCGTCACCGATACCAGATGTTCTATTACAGGCGATTATACAACTATAAAAAGTACAACTTCTACTGAGCACGACAGTGGAACAAGTTTAATTTTTGTACAGAAAAATGAACTCAAGTGAGCAGTTTTCTTTCACAAATATTGTCTTTAAATATTACTTTCAGTTTATTTATGCATGATGATCATGAGTCTACTGATGCTGACTTCAGCATCTACTCAATCAATGGCACGTTCTCTTTTTATGAGTCCAACGGATGATCCATTTCTCGATCCTTATATTGAAACAATATCACACATGTCGACAAAAGATATAGTGTCCATGCCAAAAATGAATGATGATGAATTTCTTCAGTATTTGTTGAATGACGATGCAGCTGATGGAACTACTCGTGGTGAGTCTTTGCGGCGTTTTGTTTCGAATAGTCAATTTCATTTTCTCTGGCTGCTTTGAAATATTCTTCCTTGTAGATATACTATCACGTGTCGATGCGAGCGTTTTTGATCCACTTCGTGACGATCAACTGACACATCAAACAGACATCGATAAAGAGTGGGAAAATTTGATGGTCTCAGGTCCTATTGCTGTTGGATACATGGGCAATCTCATGGTACTTGCTAGTAAGCAAGACTTTCCATTCAGAACTCCAGCTGGATATGTTTATCGATTCATTAGGTAAAATATATAATAATACTTTTCTTTTATTTAATAATTATTTTTGAAATAAAAAAACTTTTTCCAGATATCCAAACTCATTTCGTGCTACACTCGCTCAAGTATCTTCCGAAATGTATGATGCTCTTATGGGTGCTCATACAGCAATGGATTCTATTCAATTAGCTATTAAACAAGTTCCGACATATGTAAAAACAGCAATGAAATTAATATCCTCGGCGTCCGACCCTATGCTCAAAACAATGTTACCGCTTACACTCGATAGTATAGCTCGGTTAGCTACGCAAAGCGCCAATGTAGCTAATTCAACACTTACTCGTTTCAATCGATTACAAGATTTGCTAGCTGAGATTATCGAATTGAGCGCAAGTACTGGATCGTCGAACGAAGCAGATATTAATAGTATGAAAGATCAAATAATAAATTCAACTTTTGAACAGCAACGCCTCGAAGAAAGTCTTGCAACTATAAAAAATCAATACACTCAATCAAAAGCAAATCTAGAACTTTCTCGTAAAAAATACGCCGAAGCTATGGAATTACTTGCAGCATCATCAACACCCGATATCATACAAGACGGTGTTTCACAACCTAATCTGATTGAAGTTGCTATTGGTTTTGTTTTCAATCCTGTCCAAGCAATTGGCTGCCTATTGGGAAGCTGTGGATCTCCAACTTATAAAGTTGATAACACTAAATTTGAAAACGCAATGAAATCGGCTCAACTTGCCAAACAAGAAATGGAACGTGCTGAACAAGTTCATAATGAGCATTTTCTTCTTCAATTAGCTGAACAAAACGAATTAGCTAAAACGATGGGCCAGATGGCTATGCTTGATCTAAGTGTGTTGAGTACAGAGGAAATCATTCGTTTATTAGTTGAAGCCACCGAACAGATCATTCAAATTAAAGAGCAATGGTCACGTATGATCCAATTTTTCTCAAAATTAGCTGCTCAAGCTCATAGCACTCAACAAGTAGGAGAAGTGATTTTCTAAGCGCACTTCTATTCCTAATAGTTTTCTTTTTAGGTTGTTGTCAAAGACTTTGTTGAAGTTATTCAACAAGCTCAACAGGACAATCTATTGGTCAATCCATTTGAACGTGAATTTTTCATTGAAATTCTATTACCTTCTGCTACAACTATTGAAAGTGGTGCACATTTATTATATGTTATGGCTAAAACTTACTATGCTGTGTCAAGCGAACATATGATCAATCAAATTGCAGGCATTGCCAAAATGTTAATGTTACAAACAGATGAAGCTCGTAACAATCAACTTCAACAAGCGTCTAATACTACATTGGTTACTTCACTGAAAATCACTCAATTAGCGCAAGATCGCCATACCCTTTATCTTCAAGAAAATCGTAATCGTCAAGCTGAATACACCGCATATCTTAATAGTTTGGCCACATTTGAATTGGAAGGCATTATTGGCTAAATAAATCTTGTAATAATTTTAAAAAAAATTATGGATTATATCTAAAATAGTGTTTGAAAAACAAAATGTTCTGTAGATGTTTGTTGTCAAAGTTTACCATTTTGAATACTAAATAAATTTAAAAACAAACAACGATAGGTAGAGCTTTGAAAAAACAAATTTGATCTAATAATCCAAAGATATTTGTTCACTTTTGCCATTAAAAATATTTAGAATACTTCTGAAGTTGCAGAGCGATAGTGATAGCAATGTTATCTATGGAGTTTAAACTACATAGGAAATATGACTGTTACTTTCACAGGACCCGAAGATAGATGTCATTTACTAGGCCTACTGGCATTGAAATATTCTCCTCTGAATTTCTTGAAACAGAAAAAAATTTGAAATATACAGAATGATAGGTATGCTAATATTAAGAATAAAATTCTACTCAGCAATCCACTCTTTTCTTTTATTAACAATGCAGCTTTTATTCAATATTTCCCATTGCCAATTTCTTCCATGGGTATCAATCAGCAGTTTTTTTTCTTCCGGTAAAATCGACTAAAATTTGTTGATATTCTCTACGACGATTGTTAATGCGCGCAAAATGGTGATTTTTTTGGTCTTCAGCTAACTGAATGACTCGTGGTGTTATCAATGTGATCTGGTTAGATATTTCACGCAAGTATGATGCTTTTTCGTCGTTCGATTGCAAAATAAGTAAATTCATGTTGATTGTTTGATTGATTATATATTCCGACGAAATATCAGTGTAAGCTTTGGACATAGCAAAAAGCAAATCAGCTTGCTCGTCTATGCTTTGGCATGCACCTACCAACATGCTTAAAAAGAATTCTTTTTCGGCCGAGTCCAAGTGTAATATGCCGTCTTTTAAATCTTTGATCGGTTCAATATAATCTTTCAGTATACTCTAGAGAGAGAGAAGACAATCAACAATTTTTTTCACCTCCAAATATATAAATTTCTTTGACTTACTTTGTGTACCGGTTCAACTTGTGCAACGAGCTTGTGAAAGAAAATCATTAGTCTACTCCATTGGACCATTATTTGATTAATTTGTATATTAGAATTGACAATGATGTCTTGAAAAGTTTCGTTCAAATTTCTAGTCATCATCAACTCCTTATAACTCTACCGATATTTAACAAACGAATCGTGTCATAAACGGATCAGTTCTTTTCTTGTTTATTCGGTCTAGAAACAACACCACCACCACCACCACCACCAATAATACTACGCGCAGCACGTTGTTGATTGGTTTTGATATCAAATCTTTCAATATCACGCTCGTTCTCAATATGCCCAGCTTTTAACAAATTGTTATCTTTTATAGTTTCAACTACAGTAGTAAAACCATTGAGAATTGATTGTGGAATTGTGTTCGCGATTTGAAATGATTTTACGTCCGAAGAAGGACGATATTCTTTAGATTTATTCTTTGTGTCTAGTTGACTATTCCCGTCAAATTCCTTAGTACGATGTTCTTGATTGTTGTATGTTGGTTCGAAGGCATACGATCGTTTTTTGCCAGACCCTACTGCCTGAGCAGAATGTGTGTATGCGCTTATTTGCATGACTTCTGATATAAGATCATGTGAATTTTGTAATCTGTCGATTATTGTTCGAGTATGTATCACACTTTCATTGGCTACATAATCGAGATCTGCTAAAAGTTTCGGAAGCATGAAGTCAATAATCTTTGATGAATTCGAAACTAATAGCTTCGTAGATGTATTAATATAGCTTGATAATCTTAGGTTATTGAATTGAATTTGAAGCATTTTAGCGTGAAGACTGAGAAGAGTTGAATAGATCGTATCGGCTACTTGAGAGAAATTATTCACATATCATAGAGTCTGTTGTGAAAGATTATATAATTTGTAAATAAATGAAAATCATTTCAATTGATGAATAATCAAATTATCGTTGCACGAAATGACGTTGAATTTTTTACGTAAAGAAATTGAAAATTCGCTGGAGAAATGAGCGGAAAGTCCTTTTTACTACCATATACAAGTAGACTATTCAGACGGTTGATTGTAAGTGGTCCCGAAGTCAATAGATAATTCCATTCTTCCTCGGTATTATTTTCAAGCACGAGTTGCTCATCACGATTACTATCACTGAGTGATGTTGAGCGTTCGTTACGCAATAATAAGTCTATAGTATATTTAGAAATGCAATTAAAGAGCGTCTGACTATACGGCCACTTACTATCTAGCGTAGACTTCTTTAAGTTAGACAGAAATTCATTGGTGTCCGCTTGCGAAATAGTGAAAGAGTCACTAGAATCAGTAGCAATCGTTTCCGGAATGAATGAACAACTGGAAGCATCCAGCAATCTATTTGAATATACAACGTTCGTATCAGCGAGTGGTAATTGATGCGCAGCTGTTACACATATGAATGTTAGTACTAAAATGAAAGATGCCAAGGAAAAAACATTTTACAATTTAACTAATTGCAAGAAACTATTTTAAATTCAAATACATACTGTTGATAATCATTTCGACGATTATTTCAGTCAATGTGTTTTTTCGAAAACAATATTTTCTCATTTATTGCGACTAAAACGACAACAAACATATGTATCGACCAAAAGCTTATTCCCATAGGATAAATCGTTATCGCTAAGATTAAATTCATCGATATGTGTTTTTCAAAGCTAATCTCTTCAATTAAAGCAGTTTGTAAAAGACATAATGACCTTATTTCGTTTTCCTAAGAAATAATAATCCTAATAGAAAAGGCAAACTTGCTTGTGAACATAATTGAGAGAGCCTTGAATCTTCTTCCTTTGCTAATGATAATTCAATTTTCGCATGAATTGCTTGTTTATTACTCAATCTTTAACATCGATTATAAAAACACATTTTACATAAAAAAAAAAAGAAAAATAGCTCATTCAATTATTTTCAATTCAATATAATCACACATAATCGCGTATTTTCTATATGGCAATTGCCATATTCTTAAACCAAAATAAACTTTTGATAATTCATAAATTGTTATAATTCCCATCTGTTCTTCAAACCATTGAGACGTTGTTTGATTACTTTGATTTTTACTATTATTAATAACATAACGTAAATCAAACCAATCTTGGTCCCATTCAAGTGAACTCATTATACCGTATTCAGGTATACATGTAAATTCACCTGTAAATTGATCTTCGTCGCTCGGTTGTTCATAACGTAATAATTCTAGTTTTATTCGACAAAAAATTGCGTATCGACCGGGTATAATCGAATGAAATTCTCCGCGTATGGCTGCTAACCATCTAGAATCAAGGATCGCAATAGAACCAAAACTACTTGTTGTATCATCAATTATTGTAGGACGATTTGCATCACTTACTCGTGTTATATCGAAACAGACATAAGTTTCATATGCAAATGATAAACGTATTTTTCGTTGTGATAAATAATAGTAAATTAATTTCGATAAAATTGTTTTATCTTCTTGAAAAACCAACTCACGAAATCGATTTTCAGTAATAGCCATTTTTAATTGTGAAGATAATTTCGGTAGATAGAATTTCGATCGTTTAGCAGCTGCAAAACCTTTCATATTTCCATTTTGAGCATCGGTAACAATAAGATTCCAACCATTACGTACAATTGCTGGCGGCAATTGTGAATATTGTTTTTCGAATTCAACGAAATGCCTATCTGATGAATATAAATGATCACAATTGTTTTTATTCGAAAATATTTCATCGCAATAACGTTTTAATAATATCGGACCATAACGTATTCGAATTAGATATCTCCAAAAGAAATCCTGTTCAAGAACATGATGCAAATTACGATTCGTACATGATAAATGAATAATATCAGTTAGTTTCGGTAAATATCCACATACAGAATACCATACTATATCAGGAAGCGAAGTCCAGTCGGAGCTCATTTTCTTCTTCGATTATTATTCTCTTTTCTTTTGCCGTCAATCTCTTTCCGGATACATATATATATATATATGTGTGTGTAATATAGTTTACCGATATTATTTTACTGAGTACGAAGAGAACAAAACAAAAAGAAAAGAAAAGAAAAGAAAGAAGACGAAGAAAATACTCGTTTTCCTATTCATTCTTAGCAGAGTCAGAGTGTTTTTCGTTGGTTGGAATATAATGGCAAATGATTGTGCTTTTTTGGATGTCAATACATGTATTTATAGAACATGCGCCATGCAAGCCGATAGATGTTGCTGTGAAACAAATTATTTTCTTCTATATGCCGCGCGGTTGTCTGCCAGGATAGACATATTTGAAATATATTATTTCAGCGCTGACGATTACTAAAAATAATATTATACCCAAGATCATCCCTAATTGTGCCGAACGTGTTGCGGACTGTTCGCCTTGAAAAGCAAAAATACATTATTATTCTTTTCTAGAAATAAAAAATAGAACTACCTTGTACAAGTGCTCGTCCGGTGGTAGTACTAGATTTTGTGGTGGTTGTCACAGTGGTAGGATTGCTCGTGTCAGAATCAGAAAGCACATTTGTTTGAGTACTGTCGGATGTTAAATGAGTTGCTATACTCACGTTGGTCGATGGATCTCCATCGTTACTAACTTTGGCACTTGAAGATATTCGATGAAATTCAGCAGTTGGATTCGATAGACTATCAGAATACAGGACACCCTCGTCTATTGCTATATTATATTCAGTATTTGTATGCCATTGAAAAGAATCCGGTATGGAAAAAGTAACTGTCTGATTGAAATATGTGATATTGCTATTATTTGCGCTTACGTCGACATCATAAACTAATTGCTTTGTTGTCCCATCATGAATACGAACGTAAGATGGAAATTTTGGCTTATTAACTTTTCTATGAACTAAATACTAAGTCAAGTAAAAGTAACGCTCATAAATCTACTGTACTATTATTACCTTCAATTTTTATTTCGTGCGCATTTATTGAGAGTATTGTAGGCACATTTGAAAAAGAAAAATGAATGTTCGCATAGATAGCAGCAATAAATACAACAAAAGTCGCAATGCAAAAAGCCTTCATGACTTACTAGTAAAATCTAAATGAACTTTTTGCTATGATATAGAAGAAAGTAGGTTTTTTTCTCGGTGTTTTGTATTAGAAAAATAGAAAAACAGAGAAGTTAAATATTGATCCTCTGACAGATTTGCATAGGATAGCTCAAGCAGAATGAAAAATACGTGACAGTATGTGATGACAAATGATAAATGAGTCGCTTAAATATTAAAAAAAGCAAGTTAACACATATTTTGAAAGAAAAACTTGACGATACCGTGAATGAATAAAGACATGTGTTCGTTAGAAAACGACAAACGCTATTTGGAACTTGTAAAAAAAACTAGCTCATGACTTTATCGGCATAAGTGACTATGTTCTTAACAAATATGAATTAAAAGAATTTTCTTCGATGGAAATTCAGTTTCTACTTTGGAAAGAAGAAACAAAGTACACTCACTAAGATTGTAATTACGCATAATTCGAAGCAACGTGTTCAATACGTCGATAGGTCTACTAGAAATAATACTATCTACAAGATTAAATATCGATCACAGCGTACATATCGAATGATCAATCCGTAGAGAAAAAGCCGTTAGTCATCTATACATAACTGTCAGTATAGAAATTCTCAAATTGTTCGTTTTGAACATATGTTCAGTTAAGGAAGAAATTATTTGTTTTTATTCTATGCACATATTTTTCTTCATGACCTATACTTTGCCACTTTAGAGAAACGCCTATTTATTAAATTATATTAAAACTTTTATAATATTGTCATTAAAATGTTTCTGAATAAATAGAACTGCTTTGAATATTTTTAAGTAACGAATCAGATTGCGAAGAGTGTCGACTTTCACCTGAATGTCGTGAGGATATCTTTCGTGTATGTTTCTTTTCAGATTTTGATATTCGTTCTTCAACAGGTGACGTTGATGTTTCAGGCGCATCTTTCGATGCCCATATGTATTCTCCAGTACCTTCTGGAAGTCCATTACTGAATTGTCCATAATATGAATCCCCATTAGCCCATGAAAATCTCCCGGTACCATGTTTTAAATCTTCAGCATATTCACCTTCATAAATATCTCCATTAGCGTATGTTAACTTTCCTTGTCCATGTCTTTTTCCTTGTTTAAATGCACCTTCATATACATCATCATTTCCATATTGATATCGTCCTCGACCGTGAGGCGTATTATGTTCCCAAGTACCAGCATACGTAGATCCTTTATCTTTCCATGTATGCTTACCAAAACCATGTTTTTCATTTTGATCATAAAGACCTTCATAAGCATTTCCATCTTTCCACGTAGTTGTACCTTGCCCATGGCGCTTCCCGTTAGCCCAAACTCCATCATAAATGTCTCCACTACGTGACGTTAATTTTCCTTTACCATGCGGCTGATCATGTGCAAATTCTCCTTCATAAATGGCTCCATTCGACCATTTATAAATACCGAAACCATGCTTTTCATTCTCCACAAATCGGCCTTCATAAAAAGACCCATTAGATAGAGTGAGTTTGCCAAAGCCATGGCGTTTACCATTTTTATACTCTCCTTTATATCGTGCGCCACTCATATAATCAATGGCACGTTGTGCATTCTTATCATTAGTACTAGTAGACATTCTATATATCGTCGTGTTGCTCGAGTGCTGAAATAACCAATAGATATAAACGCTACGCTTGAATAATTTTCTATAGATGGAAAAATAAGCTGATGAATGTAAAGAAAGAAAAACGAAAGGCAGAAAAATCATATTTGAATAGCGTATCAATGATTATTTTGTGTCGCGAAATATGTTTATGATGACTTTTGACTAACCAAGTTTTGTGTGAGAATAAGAAATTAAATTTTTCACGCCTAGAAAAATTAGCTTAATTTCATCATTAGAAATATTTATTAGTTTAACTAAAATGAAGATAAGAATATCATGCATCGTTGAATATTGAATAGATGATTTTACGATTGGTTTCAACAACAACAAAAAATATAGAATTTAAGTTTCTCCTTCATCTACTTCTATACAGTCAGATTTTCTTATCTAAACAAAATCTGACAAAACTCAATGATGGAAATAGCTTTCAAGTAATCCTTGAAAAATAACGTGACACAAGCATAAAATGTGTTGCTTATTTTTCTAATATCTATCACGACTAATGCATTTTAAATGACGCTTTGTCATGGTAAAAATCGAAGGTCTAAATATAAAAACATGACTCTTTCACTTGATACCTGCATATTTAGAAGAAGAAAAAAAACCTGCCAAATATCCGATGACTGTTATTATCGAAAAGTCAATCTATGTATTAAACTAGTCAGGCAGGCTACAGCGTACAGATTGTATAAATTATATCTAGAATATCAAGTCTTTTAACGTCTTTTTATGCTTGGATGCTCTCTGGTTTAACCATTATCTGATTTTTTTATTCATCTATTCAATCAATCCATTTTTATAGAATGAAAAGAATTCTTGTTAAGCATGAGCAACCAATAGATTGTATAAGTATTTGATGATTTATGTCCAATTTTCATTAATAACTAATTTCATTGTTTGTTTGAACTTTTTAGATATTCACATGATTAGATTAGAATAATAAAATTATTACATGGACATTTTCGAAATGATTATCACAGGTAGGTTCTTTTAGAACAAATATAAATACTTTATTTTTCTTCCTTTTTAACATCTTCTTTTTCTTATATCGCAAAAGATAAGGCACACAGGCGACCTATGAAGATGATTCACACAGCAGCACGTTATGTAGATATGAAGTGACAACAAACATTTAACAAAAAGCAATAATATCATTACGTTCTTTCATATCGGCCTATTTTCATCGGTGCAAAAATAATGAATCGTGTCTGCCACTGTAAAATGGTTATATTAGGACACACGGGTGTAGGCAAATCTTGTCTAGCAGCTCGATTCGCTAAGGGACACTATCAAGAACATGGTGAAACAACAATCGGTGCTGCTTTTCTCACACATACTCTACACATCAATGCTGATACTATACTCAAGATTGAATTATGGGATACAGCTGGTCAAGAAAGGTGAATTTGATTGGTATTTTCTTGTTCTAAGCATATTATTATAAATTATTGTAGATATCATTCTCTCGCTCCAATGTATTATCGTGGTGCTCAAGCTGCACTCGTTGTATATGATATAAGCAATAGTGATTCTCTTCGACGAGCTAAACTGTGGGTGAAAGAATTACGACAAGCCAATGGTGATGATGTGGTTATTGGTTTAGCAGGAAATAAAGTAGATTTAGCAACGGGAAACCAACGACAAGTAGCCAAACGTGAGGTAGCAGAATATGCTGAAGAAAATGGTCTTACTTTTATGGAGACATCAGCGAGACTAGGTGATAATGTAATGGAAATATTTATGGATGTTGCAAGGCAAGTGGTTGCAAAACAACCAGCAAGTGCATTACAAAAACCGAGTGGTTCTTTTCCTGCGCCTAAATTAAAACCAGAAGAAAGTGGTCCTTGTTGTGGTGGTGTCAGTAAAACGTAAATCTTATATTTTTTGCTTCAAATTATGTATCTCTATTTCATGGTTAACTGTGAGATTTATGTATTAATAAAAAATCTTAAAATATATGGTGTCAATTGATAAGTATGATTTATCACTTAATTTTGATTTCTATTCAACAATAGTGGATAAAATGAAGAGTTTCTAAGGGGAAAATGTCAGTGTAAGTGTAACGAGAGAAGAGTGTGTATCATCCACAGTGCTCTACAAGGTCCAAAAGAGAGAAAAAAATCGGTCTATTTTTTCCCAGAAACTTCCTTGTCTATAAAAACACATACTAGGTGTTTACCAAATATGGTTCATCTCAAAAAAGTTAGCTGAAGTCAACGTAAGTTTAATAGAGTGCTTGTGCTTTTGGATAGACATTCTTCATATAATTAGAAAATAGAATGTCCGAACAAATAAGACATCAACAGGAAAAAATAAGGTGTGTCTGTAGACATGCAATTGAAATTTTTCAATTAAATTTGCATACACACGTACGACTCACGCTGGAATTTAAAATGTTATTTATTTTTCCATTTGCACTATTTTCCTTTGTATTCGAAATATTAATTGAACTGAAAGAGTGGCGCCTGTTTTTCTTGTTTAGCTTAGTAACAATGAAACTATTTAGATTTTTTTGTATTTCCTACACATTTAGTCATAAATATTAAATTTCTTTTACAATATGATTTTATCTCTTTTCATTTTTCCATATTTTCTTTACACATTTCTTATTTTCTGTAACTATGAAGTTACAGAATCAATGGCTGCACGATCAGCACTGTCATCGGCAAAGCCAAAGGCAACTGCAAAGACAAAACCAACAAATAGTACAACAAAGCAAATTACCACGAAAGTACAAAATACCACAGTAGTATCGGCTACCACGGCAACATCAACTACGACGAAAAAGTCAACTGCCACGAAAAAATCAACGACCACGACAATATCAACTACTACCACGACAATATCAACTACTACACCAAAGCCAACTACTACCACGACAATCACGACTACAGAGTTACCAATAATAAGCATAACAACGGAAATGACAGAGACTGTCACAGAAGATGCCGATGGGTCACAATCAGAAATATTGTATGTAGTAAAAACATATCATCGATGAGAGAAGTGCATGCGGAAAAAAAATTATTTAAGGACGAGTACGATAGAATATCTCACAAAAACATCGAACTTTTTGTTTTCATCTCAAAAAATTAGGAGAAGATTATTTTTTAAAAAATACTCCAATGCATTCATGTCTTGTTCTCTTCTGAATATTAGAGATAATTCAGATGCAATCGCAGACTATGAAGAGGAAGCATCCCTTCCAAATGCAACGGCTTCATCAAGCATCGATCATACAACAACTATAACAGCAAACAAGTCATTTTTTTACGGTTTACTTTTTTTGTAGAAAAATATTTATTGTTCTTCCAATATAGAAAAGGATTGATTATAATAACTACGACTAGCAACGATAAGAAAAATTCAAGAAAAACATCACAAAAGTCAAAATCTAAACTGCCTCTTGTATTGGGATTAATCTCTGGTGGCCTTACGATTATTGGTCTATTGGGATGTTTAATTATTTATGCATTAATCGATCGACGCAAGATCAAAATATTCAATCGATCTGAAGGAAGAAAAAAAAACAATAGACTCAAAGGACTAACTGATTCAACATCCACAATTCCTGATGGTAGTTCTTCTCAAAGATGAGCTCATACGAATTTTTATTTTTTTATTCTTTTCTATCGATGAGGTTTTATGATTTGTTGAAATCGAATAAATATCGAAGCCCTTTTTTTTGACGCACAATCTCTGCGTCGATCGTTATACTTGCCCGTTACTTATAGACATGGTTTCCTTTCGCAAACACGTGAATATCACAGTTCGTGGCAGTAGCATATTCCCTTCGATTTCCTGCCTGTAATTCGCATAGTAAAACGCATTATCGTTGCTAAAACTGGCAAAAACAATAAAATCATTGAAAATAATTTACAATGGTAACTGTAGCTCATGATCTAACTTTTCGTTTACAATTTCAGCACAAAAGGCAATGTGAGTAAGAAAGCTCCATGATGAAGAATTCGACTTTTTTGAACCAATCGAAAAACAGATTCTCAAAAACTGCACGAAACTTTATCAGAGTTCAATTTACACTTTATCTAGCCAGTTGATCAGTTTTTTCTCCTCAATAGCAGTACTCTTCGCATTCGTTTTTGCATCAAAAGTCAATCAAGAAGCTTGTTTCACGTTTATTAAGAGATTGGCACCAAAATTTATTTGAAAATTGTATGTTGCGCGTGGTCAACCACTTCAGGCATCGTAATTACATGCGCTGTTTTCGAGCAAAATAACCTATTTTGTCCTTGTTTCCTAGTGTAAAGCAATACTTTGAATAAATCCAAAGCATCTATTAAAATATATCTAAATGTTACCCTTTTGTCTTGTTTTCTCTTCCTGCTTATATTTTTTCGTTGAATGGCATGCATAATTAATATTCGAAAAAACAAATCCGGAGTCTTGCATTGAAAGCTAACGCCTTATTTTTGCAACAGATTTCATATGTTTTGTTGACAAACTTCCCATTGCAAGACAAATATCTTAGATCAATCAACAGTTCAAATTATAACTGTTGATAGCACATTCAAAGATGACACCTCTTCAATAGTGGAGTTAAGTATGAGATGATACACCCACATGTAGAAGCTATTGTTTTTGCTAATGTTATTCAAAAACAAAATTCAACAAATCAATGGGACAGCAGTACAAAATACATTTGTTTACAATGAAGATTCAAATGAACTACATTTATCGATATTTAGCTGCTCTTCTTCTAAAGAGTGATCGTTCGAAAACTCTAAACGAAACATGCATACAATAGTTTGATAATGAAGATGTCGTTTCAAGCGGAAAAACATTTTTTAAATGAGAAAATTTTCGGACCTCTTCATAGATAATTTAAGAAGAAATTGTTTGGTACAATAGTTCTCAACATTTGTACTATTATTATTATATAATTATTTTCCAAGAAAAACAAGGAGTTATTCATCAATCTGCGAAAGTGTAGAACAAAACAAATGTTAGTTGTTATCTATGAGAATTTTTTCCCCACAAAGAAAAGAAAAGTTCATTTTTTAAATTGTATTTCCCGTCATGCAGCAAAAATATAACTATATATCTGATAAGATTACACCGTCTAGAAAAAAAAAACAATTTCTTTATAGAAATGATATCATGGAAGAATCAGAAGAAAAAAATAATTTCTTTTGCTTTCTTTTCTCTCATTCTTCTCTTTCCCTATTGCATCATCATGACTCATAGTTTCGCCCTGTCCGTTCATCATTCATTCACCGATTTTGTTTTGGATAAACTTGAATGTAAAAGGATGGACGATTTGGATGAGAAGTTATCTTTGCGCAGCGGCAATACCTTATCCAATGAGCGTTTCGCGAGGAGAGGTTATTGCTAGTTGAAAACTAATACCCAATATCCCGCACATTTCGGCTTTGCTGGAGTGGTGCAATTTTTGCTGCTTCTTCGGAGGCGTTTAATGAATAAAAAAGAAAAGTCATGGTTCTGTATCTTGAGATGTGATATATCAATTATATTCGATGAAATGTTTCTCTGTAATTTATTTTAAAAATGTGCACCAAATGATATTAGCAATTAAACCAATCAAATTTTATCTTTTACGAGCCGCATTTTCCTGTACAAGATTTATTTTATTGCTTGATGCTCGATACTTAAATACAGTTCGGCTATACTATAATCTCAAGTCGAATTGCATTGAAAAGTAGCACCCAACAAACGATTATAAATAATAGAATTCTCTATATGAAAAGATCGGCAAAAGAAAGCTTATGACTTAACGCTAAACATAATAAATAAGGTTGTTATTTATGTTTGAACAGTTAACTAAAATGGTTTTTACAATAAATAAATTATCAAATCGAAATTATTACTTTCCAAAAATATACTTAACAGCTATAATCGAGGTATAGTCAATCATTCAGTAGATATATACGTACAATGTATTATTTATTATTGACCGACAAGTGCATTTTGCTTTTTTTCTTTCTTAGCGTGCATGGTGAACTGTGAGGCGTTTTCTTCATCCTATCAATATCTCTTTCAATTGCCCCGTGGCCATGTCACAATTTTCTTTTCTGTTTTCTATGTAATGATTTATGAAGTAATGAAAATAAAATAGCATGCGTCGCGTGCCTTAAGGTCCGCCACTCAGCAATAGATCCCGTTTGAATTTTCGAGATGATAAATTAAAAACTTAATTCTTATTGAATACTTCACCATCCTTAAAACGAAGATACTGACAAAAGTAAAGATAAAACAATCAACCAGCAACACGGTAGATCAAAAATAGTGAATCACAAATCGAGAGTGACGAATAGAAAGTTCATATGGACGTGTAAGCATTTTTATTGCACGATTAAGTGATACAATTGTATACATCCGAGATCTTTTTCGTACCGATATGATTTAAAACATTGGCGAGCTAAGCGAAACGAAGACATTACATACAGATTCGATCAGAAAAGGGCCATTGATATGTTTTTTTTCCGTTGTAAATCAAAGTATGTCTTCATTTATCACACAAGGACAAACGATCGTAGTACTAAATTGTGTAGGTTGCGATACGTCTTCCGTTTGTATTATATTTGAGCAAAGAATCAAGTGATCAACATGCCTAAGACATTTAGAAATATGGTATTGTAAGTTAACAGAATTGTTTTAGAGATAAGCAGTTAAGAGTCTACTATTCAGTTTCTGTCTAACACCAATCAGCTGATTTCAGCGAACAATAAATATTCTTTTGAGAAAAGCTATTAGTAGCTGAGAAGGGACACAGTTTATTATATAGTTATAGACGGAAGCATCAGAATTTTCACTACAATTTCAAGAATGAAAATTTAGAAACATCCATTTTCAATCTGTTCTGAACATCTCTAAGCGTTAATACTGAATAGTTTAGTTATCTTAAATAAAGTTGAGTTTAAAAATCAGTTCGCTGATTAAAGTCTGTATATTTTGTTACGTCACCATCACAAAATTCTATCTACAAATACTACCGATCGACCTTTTGACTTTGCTCTTTCAACAATAAAAAAATTATTGTCGAGATGGTAGCAACAGGAAATTTAAGCATTCAATATTTATGAAGTGTAAAGTTACGGAAAATTTTCAAAACTGATTGACATCTTTAAAATTTTTAGATTAAAATAATAATTAATGAAGTTTTCTTCATATTAAAATTATGCTTGTTGTAAAACGGTCATTGCCATTTTTAACAAAAGTACAATGTATAATTTTCGCTGTATTTGTATTCATCGTTTTATTTTTACTTCAATATAGAAATTACACAAATTCACCTATAAACACATTTTCGTTTTCGGTAAACCAAAATGTTAAAATTTCAGTAGAAAATACAAAGACTAAACCAATCTTTAATCCAAATGATATCTTCCATGTATCAAGTTATGTATGTGGTCAAGACGGACCATCGTATAACCATGTTTCCGTTCTTTTTCCCTATTGTTCTAAAGTACCTACTCCGACCAATGACTGGAAACCAGGTGAAAATTATAATGAATCCGACATTGGCTTTGCCATAATTACAGCTTCAATGTTTTATCATACAAGAGCCACATCGGTTCGAGACACATAGCTTTCTCGAGTACTAATAAATATTTTCTTAGTGCAACACCTTATCCATGGTTACCGGTTACAGTCAGGGGGAAAAAGCGATTTATGAGTTTCATGATTTTTCTGAGTTTAGCTGATTTAAAATGAGTTTGAGAAAACGAAAAATTTGCTAAACTAACTAAAAACTATTCCAAATCATAAATTATTACTGAAAATCATTCAAAGGCACCGAAACTCACGCAAACTCATTCCGATACAGTTAATTTATATTGATTGTAAGTTGAGTTTTACTGTGATTTAAATCAGCTTTTCCCCCCTTGGGTTACAGTTATTAAAGGAACTGGCGAAGACAAGTTTTCTAATATGAAAAAAATCTCTGATGGTTTACAAATTATTTATAAACAACAAAAAAACAATTCATCAAATCCACAAATATGGTATTATCTAGCTGAATGTGATACTTGCGTTAATGTTCCTCATATACTCAAAAGATTAGATCAATATGACCAAATAACAAGCTTAAACTTGTTATTGGTGATCATACTACTCGAGCACAATGTTCAGATCAAAAAGATAAAACATCTAGAATTGAATATCCAACTGTTGGTACTGGCTTTCTTCTAAGCTCAAAACTAGTCGAGTTGTTGATACCTCATCTAACGAATTATGTCGAAAATATTTGGCAATCAAATGCAAAAAGGATGCAAGACATGTCCGAATATAGCCTTGGCATGTTTAATACATAAATTAGGTATTCAACTAACGAAGATGCCAGGTTTTCGGAATGCTAATCCTGATCGTACATTTAAGTTACATGGCAAAAATATTTTTGATAGTGATCCTGAGCCAAATGCATTTCATTCTGTTTCACATACGGAAATGTATGATTTAGATGAATTCTATTCGTTTTAATATAGCAGGTCGAACATTCCGGCCACCAGATCCAGTAGGATACTCCAGGAAGCCTACGGGAAAGTCGCCATATCCTGCAGGAAAACACGGGAAATTGCTGGAACATGGAAGCAGTATTCCGATCAAAAATCACCGAAAAACGTCCGAAAATTTCCCAACCGGAATACTGCTTCCACAAAATTGACGAAACTACCCGGAACCGACCGTTTCCAGGCTGGGCTGTTCGCCCTTGGATATCGATCGTCTTATCAATGGTGGACATTGGAAAGAACTCACTGATTATACTCGAATGTTTGTTGCAAGTCATTATGAAATGTTAAGACTGAAAAGAAAAGAATGTACATTACCTAAAATAGATTATCAAACTACTCATACTAGTCGACGATCGTGACTTCGATCTGTCCAGATTCTTGTTTTTTTGGACATCAGACAAGATTCTTGCCTGAAAAAAAACCGGATCATAACTTTCTGACAAGATTCTTGTGTTCTTGTTTTCTTGCAACTCTTATATGATTCTTGTTTCTTGCTTTTCTGGTATGTGTGCCGATATTGATGGCACGCTTCGATGATTCTCCTTCCTTCTCTTTCTGTTCTCTTTCCATTGTTCTAATATCTCTCTCTATTGTCTCTCTTATATCTCTCCAATNTTTCAAGAAATTTGAAATGTCTTAGCTATTCGTTTCTCGAGTAAGACCAAATATTTATTTGAAAATATAAAATGATGTGTTAAATTTTACGTCTTAAATCAAAGTTAAAATATTGTTTTAGATAAAATTAATTTTTTTTGTGAAAATTAATGAAACACACAAGACGAATGAAAAAATTTTTCCAAAAACATGAGATTCAATATTCTGACGAAGCATCAATAATATAGAAGACAGTTCATACATTTTTGTACTTTTTACTCAACGATTATAGTTTTCGATTTAAAATGTTCATATTTTTTGTAACGATCTCAAGTGAATGTGTATTGTTATCACGTATCTTAATTTGACCCATAATTTATTTCTCATGCGTGTTTGTGTTTACACATGTTGTAGCGCTCTTAATACAGGTTTTTATATAGTTTTTTCTTACATTCTGTGGAAAAATGTTTTATCTCTGTGTCATAATTAAACAAATTTTAAGACGATGAAACACTTCGTTTTCTCAGATTGTTATCGTGTAACTCTCTGTTCTATCATTAGTTTTTGAAATAAATGAATTGAACCTAGTAAAAGGATACTGAGCAAAATTTGTGTCTGAGTATTTTACAAAAAAAAACCAGAGTACTCACAGAATGTATGATGAGTACTCACGAAACATTCGATTTTATAAGGCGAATACTCAACAGTCGTACTCAGATCCAAGCACAAGTACTACTAATGAGTCTCAAAGCCACGGGTACTCACGAGAACTCGCGACATTTTCTAGCGTGAGTACTTTTTGAGTATTCGGTTTATGAGTACCTTCACTAGGGTTATAAATAAGATAAAAGTTAAAATTCTTTCAGCAATAAAAGTAAAAACTAATAGAGATATTGATAACGACTCGAGTATTAATAAAAGCAATGTTAGTGTTCATTTGATATTTATAAATCTTATATTTCCCTGAACGATATTAACTCCTGTCAGTATTCGAAATGAACAGCCTTCTTGTCCGTGAGATGCCTAGTTCGAAGTCGAATATAAATGGACACCCAACTGCATGATATCAATTCGAAAATAAGTGATAGAAATAGATTTAGTTTTATGTTTAGTTTAAGATGGAGTGGGTGTGGGTTGAGGGGACTAAGGGGTAACTGTGGGTGAAGGGCACCCGGAAAGGGTGCAGAGGGGGCATCCCGGATATGTCAAATGTAAGTGTGGGTGATGGATACCATGGAGGAGTGCTCAAAGGTGGATGCGAGTGAAAGGTATATATGTATTCATATGTAGAGGTGTCAGCTGAAGGGTTGAACGACGGCGGGCAACAATTTTCAATTTTTAAAGATTTCCAGTGGCTCCTTCTTTGAATGAGTAATGTCTTCAGCGGTGGCTGCTATAAATTCTTAAAATTTTTTCCACAGCGGTGGCACAGGCTGATATTTGCAAGTCCTTATGAGACGGCGGCGACTGAGTTAAAAATTCATTGATGAAAATAAAAACAAAAATGTTCGATTCGATCGCATATGTATTGATGTCAGCGGCGGTGGATGACGCTATCAAAAATTTGTATCTCTTGCAGCGGCGCAACGGCGGCTCCCCAAAAATTCTTAAAATTACCAGCAATTTGGTGGCTACGGCGGCTGATATTATAGAAAACTCGGCTGCTGCGGCGGCTCAGTCGCACGGCTGACACCTCTATTCATATGTCGCATATATCGGAAAGTTAAACTAAAACTAAATCTAGGAATAGATTTAGTTTTAGTTTAACTTTTTCTTTTCTCCATTTATATTCGAACTCGAATTAGACAGTTACTCTTCTTGTCATACTTCGCTATTTCTTTTAGGTATTGATTATTATTGATAGCAGAAGTTGTTATACTTCTTTCTAAACCATGCACTGCTACATGAAAAGTTTATTATAAAAATATTTAAAAAGTGCAAACCATCATTTTTCATTCTGGTTGTAATTCAATGTTATTGTTGATTTTTTCTATTAATATTTTGTTGCATACTAGCAAGAAGTCTACAATTCTAAAACTAGAATAAGACAACAGACTTTTTAAATCGTTTGTGAATGTTCATAGTTTCGAAAAACAGTTCGACCATTTAATGGCTGCAACGGTCGATAAGTATTGGGTAGAATGTTTTGGCGTAGAGCATTTAAACTTTCTTCTTTAATTGGAACTTCATAAGGAAATACTGTCCATATAATACCTTCAGTACATGGTGGCGACGTTAAACTACCTTCATAACGATAAAATTCTGTATGTTTCATTTGCATGAGTCGACTTAAATTCAATACGCATGTTGTTTTATCATCAGTTTTCGTTAATTGACTTGCAATATTAGCATATTTATCCCATTCATTCGATTTGTTGCCAATATCAGATACTGTTAAAAAGATTGCAAGTACAGCCAATTGTTGAGTATCTTTATTTTTATGCACAAAATGTGCTTCACCTGCAAAACGATTTCCATCTATTTGATGTTCAGCACCTTGCTTGTTATCGGCTCCCCAGTGCATATGAAGATCTGAAAAATGATATTTTCCAATTAAATTAATACCAGTTAAATATAATTCATCGCCGGTTTGTTCATTGGAATCTTTAGGAAATGTCATCTGTATTTGTTGGCCATTGTTTGTCATAGTAAACATTAAATCCGAATCGTATTTTGAAGAAAAGTTCAGAGACGAAAAGAACTTTGGAACAGTATCACTTGTCTTTATATTAATTGGAGATTGGCATAATCCATTAGCACATGGAAAATTTATTGACCATTGAGCTGAATTAGCCCAAGTCCACCCAAGTTTCTTTTGCTCCTGAGAAAGCATTTTTTTATAGTTAATGTGTGAAAAAGCTGTGTAAGATGAATCGAATAAATGTTCGTATTGTATTTTTCTTTATATACCGTATTCCTTGTTCTTTTTCTATTCTTTGCTACGTCTCTGAAGACATATATACGATATTAATAATAATAAATAGGCATAGAAAAATAAAAATAAGCTATTATCTTGTTTTTACAAGCTCTCATCTTATTTTTTTATTGCTGCTACTTTGAGAATTATATGACTATTGAGAACAAAATAAATCATTGCATTGTCTTGCTTTCGTAGGATCTTAAAGAATTACCCTGCTGCTCGTTGAAATGGCAATATGAAAACATTTTTTCTCTCTCGCGCGCGCTCTCTCTTTTCTATCATACATAATTGCTACATCAAACCAATAGAGTAGAGTATCCGGTGTACTACAAGCAGATTCAAAACCAAATCAAAATAAGACGCCATAACTGTTGTAAAATGTTGCATTATATCACGAACTGATTATTCAAGCGAAAGATGAACTCATCAAGTAGAGAGATCTATTCGTGCTTGTTCTTCACTACAGTGATTTTATCGTACTGAGTTGAGAAAAATAAAGCATTAGCATAGTCTTGATTTCGTTGAACTATTTTAATTGAATTCACAAGGGCAAGACAGTTTCTTATTAAATTTAGTACAATGATGATTGAAATATTGCATAGCGATGGTCACTTGGGGACGAGAAAAACATTCTTATTTACCAATAGATAGACGACGGAAGTTTTTGATTGCTTTATGTTTATTAAAAGGAAATGAAGCGACAGTTTTTCCCATTATCACCGAACACATAACAAGAGTGGCAAGCTATTTGATTTTCTCTGATGTTTAGTAAATATTTGAAATTGACGAGAGAGAATGTCTAACGCCCTTAGGGATGCTTATCGAATTTACTTTTGAAGAAAAATATTAGCTAGATCTAACTGAGCAACATCAATAGAATTAAATTATTTGATACAAATTGCATTTTATTATTCTGTTCCTCTACTTTCTAATCTTTCAAACACTTTTTTAGCATAAAATATCATTAATAAAAGTTCCTATATTGAATAATTTATACCGAAGAACAATAGATGTAAAAAAAATGATCGTAGCTGTTAAAATTAATGCTACAATACGAACCATATGATTGGAAAATATCGTGTAACTTAATGCGATGTTTTTCTGCTTCTATTAAATAAGTATGAAATGAGTAAAATATTTGCATGAACTATCTTGAGTTCGTTCAGAAAGCAAAGTATTGGATTTTATATAGACTGATTGGTAATTATCCTCACTGGTTCACAATACTGTTTGTAACAATCCTACCGAACTTGTAATGTGTTGCGTATTCTTAGCCAAACTGTTTGTAATGTGCTCTTCTAGTTGTTACTCATACAAAGCTCTGTAGACTTTAATCTCTTCTTCTCTCATTTACATTCCTAACATGCACTATCAATTTTTCCTTCACCGATGCATAGTTTACAATCACTACGATCTTTTACGTTTGCACACTAGAGAATGGCATTCTGTATATGTCATTGCCAATAATCGTGCTATTAGTTGTACTCTTTCGATTTGTCCTTTCACTTCATATTGTTTACGCTGTATCAATCAAAGTCCATCTATGCCACAAAATGGTATTTAATGAACGAGAAAAATACAGTATAGCACGATTCTTGATAGTTTAATAAAGCATTAGTTAAATAACACTTTATACAACATCTACTACCTCAGAAATCGTCACAACTGAGCTTTTTATGAGTAACAACTAGAAGAGCACATTACAAACAGTTTGGCTAAGAATACGTAACACATTACAAGTTCGGTAGGATTGTTACACTGTTCTTCTATTATCGTATAAAGCGTGACAGATTATATTAACAAGCCGTAACTGAAACTACTCTGTACAGACAATGACAGATTGGCAGGCCTTATTCAAACACAGCACCAATTTCAAAATATTTTATGAATGCAAAAAACTATCGCTTTTGATAGATATTGTTGTCATACGAACTAGGCGTGCCAATGAATCAAGTTTCGTTCCGATCTATAATCTATCTTTTCATTCAATTGCCGAAGGATTAAGTGAAGCAGGATGATAGTACTATGTGTATCATAAAATCAATATACTAAAGCAATTAAATGTGATCAATCATCTCACGCGCTTCAGTTTTTTTAATCCCATAGGAATCACGTTAATAGCAGCACTCTTTGTTTATGTAAGTACATTTGTAAAAGGAGCGTCCAACCTTTTCTGTGGGTAAAGGCCATCATATCATGCAAAAACATTGATTTGGTTCATATCTTTAATAATATAAACGTCATAATATTCCATACCACAGAGATACTTAAATGAAACTAGACTACTGTCTGGATTTTGCTTTTCTAATCAGACAGAAAAGAAAAAGATTATCCTCAGGGCAAACACATCTTTCCATTCTTTTACCAATCATACTTTCTTTTTCAGATAATCACCAGCTCAATTTTTGCATAGCATTATCAATCTCACTACAACATCAAATGGAAGCATTTCATCTCATCTGTTCGTTACTAATGCAATATTTCTATTGCTTTACTTTTTGTTTACTTAGTTTGAACAAATTTTTTTCCTGACACACTTTCAAAGTTAATGTATCAAGTATTGAATGTTCAATGGAATAATATGAATAATTTAATGGATCAATTAAGTCAAATGAATTAATGTAAAAGTTTTCAAGTGCCGTGTTTGTCCTGAGTTGTTATACTGAATGAGTAAAATGGATTGAAATAAAAAGTTTTCTGACATGCAGCACCCATGAACTCTTTGAAAAAAATTCTCTGCGCAATGCAATCAGAAATGTTCAATACTGCCTTCGGAAAAAAAAAAATTTTCTTGCGAAATAAATCGCTATGTACCTAATTGAGTTACACTAAGGAAAACGGCATGGCATGTTACTTTGACAGAAAAATGGTCTATTAAAGTGCAAGCATTTATTAGTTGAAGTAAAAAACGTTTTTTTCTCCATTTAAATGATCACAGAGAGTTGGTTAATTGTATAATTTTTAGCTCTTGCTGCTACGAGAAAAAAAAACGATACGTGATTACTACAGATCGGTGATATTCAATAAAATAAGAACAGAACAAAAGTCACTTATGAATATATGCATAAAACTTTGAAAAAAAATATCAGAAAAATCGAGTACTCCATAAAATCAAGTGATTACTGATAACTGTTCTTGTTCGGAGAATAGAAATTCAATGTATTCAATTATCTTAGTATTTGATTGATTATTTACTTGGACCAACATAAAATGCAGACACCGCAAAAGCTAAAAATACAACACCACCAACTAGTGTAACGGTCTTTGCTGATATTTTTTGTGCGATAAAACGACCGCCGATTACTGCTAATCCTGTGCATAAACCATGACCTACAGTACCACCAACAATAACACCTAGAAGATTTTCACTAGCAGCTAAAACAATTGTAGTTATTTGAGATCGATCACCCCATTCCTAATGAAAAGTAGTGAAATAGTAATTTGTAGTTTTTTTTTCTTCGCCTACTCACAGCAAGAAATGTCATAATAAATGATTGAATTAATATGGGTGATAAATAACGACGAATAATTGTTGTAATTTTTGTCACAATACTTTTTGATGTTAATACTTGTTGAGTGACTTTTGGCAAACTATCAATTGTTCCATTGCCATCACCTGATTCAAGATCACTTGTAGCTTCGGCTTTATCGACTTCTTGTTGAACCTCTTCGTACTCTTCAGTACCTTCATCGGGTGACATTCCATAACCGTCTTTCAACATTTTAATGCCGAAACCTGCAAAAAGTATCATTGATAAATAAAATGTATAAATTCGTGGAACAAAATTAGTAACAATATTTCCTAATAATGCTGATAATACTGTCATGGCACCAAGCGCACCCATTGCACCTGCGTATACAACTAAACGTGAATGGCGCATTGCTAAAATGGCAGCAATGAAAAATGTTTTATCTCCTAATTCAGAAACCACAATGACAGAAATTGACGCAATAAAAGCGTGAATAAAACCCAGATTTGCAGTTTTGTCTTTGATTTTATTTTGTAAATTATCGTTCATGTTAGAAGATAAAGATTTTGAGCCATTAGGTAATATTGTTAAAGTTTGAATTAATTTCGCATAGATAAAATAGCCATTGTAATAAAGGTGCATGACAAAAAACATTAATAAAAAGCACAAAAAAGTGACTATGTACAATATACGTGGTGTAACAGTCATTTGGTGAAGCTATTTTATAAAATAAAAAATATATTATATGATTTCAAAAATTGAGCTCACCGTTTAAGAGGAACGTCCTGGTTAAAAAATTTCTTTGCTGAAGATTCTCTAAAAGTTGAGATATTTTCAAATTCTGCAATGTCTTGTTTTGGCTGAGACAAGATAAATTAATCGAATCCTTCAGACGAAAGAGGCTTCACAGTCGAACCGACCAGGTTGAAAGGTAAAATTCGAGCATAGCCAATATCGTCCTAGCAGTATAAAAGGGGAATGAATACCTCTATTTTAATAGAAAAGAAATTTGTCAAGAACTCGAAGATATTTTCTTTTGTGAGAAAATTGATTTATATAGTAAATAATGAAAGTGAATTCGTTTTCTCAGATAATATTAAAGGATCAAAATGAATTCTACACAAAAACAAACGTACTTAGTGATAAAGTATGAAATAGTTATCACCAGGAATGCATTAAGAAATCACAGTTGAGCAGTGTAACAAAAAAATAAAAGAGATTAATCTGAAATGTAAAAATAAATATCTATCAGATAGAAAGTTCAAAATAATTATTTTGAACAATTTCGAATTTTATTCCATTTTTTTTTAAATAATTTATTTGAACTTCGTATCAAGGTAGAATAAGCGATTAACAAAACACTTCTAAGATATATAAAGAAACAACCCATTCCATAGGAAAAAAAATAAACTAGTATATTATCGTACTGATTTAGCAAAAAAGTAAAATTTATCAAAAACTTCAAAACAAAGGCAAGATCATTTTCATATTATCATAAAATTGGATATTTCGTTTTATATTATTGCATTCGAATAACAACGTCAAAAAAAAGATGAAGAATGTAAATGATTATCACATTAAACATTCATGTATTTTCTTCTCCTAGGCTACGTCTTATCAACAAATTGAGCTACTCGTCATACAATTCCGACATGATCAAAACAATCAATGATGACCATCCAGTAAATGGATGACTACCTTTTCCATTTCCAGTTTTGTCATCATATTGTTCCCAAACGTGACCTGTTTTCTCGTAAACACGTAACATATTCTTGAGAAGATTTGTACGTAATTGTTTATAAATATCTTGAGCTTTATCCGAATAGGGACCAGAAATTTTTGCATAATGTTGTAAAGCCGATAGAACCATATAATTCATATTTATCCATATAGCACCTAAATAATTATTTTACAAATAAGAAAAGCAATCGATATTCATACCTCTCCAATACGGTGGATCGTGTTCAGTATTTCTCATTCCGTATAAAGAACTTGATCGTGCTAGTGATCGAAGACCATAGGGCGTCCATAGTAAAGTTGAATTTTTTAAATCATTCAAAATCTTATCAAGTTTATTTGAATGCGGATTTAAAACACGTGTCATTAATGGAAACAATGAAACGTAACCAAAATGTTTGACGTATTTGAAATTAACATCGGAATCTTTTGTTACTTGTCGAATAATATGCGTTTGTTGATATTGTTGTGAAGGTGATTTTTTCGGTATTGGTACACGTTCTAATTGAACATAATCTGTATGTAAACCATAATCGGCATACATTTCATATTCGTCCGACCAATGTAATTGATCAAGTAAATCATTATTTGAAAGTAATTGTGCATAAGCTAAATATTGATTCGTTTTTTCATTATTTAATATCGAATAAAGTTTGCCGATAATGCTCGAAGCTAATGTCATCCAACAGCGTAAATCTAAATGACGTTCAGAATCAGTCGGGTGTGATGCACGTGGATAATCGTCTAAGCCACTTGTTAACGTTTTTGGATTAAGTTCATAGATTGATGAAGCATTTCGACCACGCCAACGAAACGTAAATGGCGTAGGGCCCACTTGAGTACGATTATACCATTGATACCATTTTTCTAATCGTTGAATAAATGGTAATGTAAAAAGATGATTAGCTTGATTTGTTTTTAACAAATAATCAATCGTTAAGAAGAATGTTGGAGGATTGGCATTATTGGTATGTTGAATGACGAATTCCGATGGAACGCGAGCACGAGCTTCATCACCGAGAATTATTTCCTATACGATATGAACTACTATAGTAAAAGAGTTACCTCTTGTTTGTATTCCTATCAATTTTATAATGTCCCTATGGTCTTAATAGAGATGATTAAAATAACAGTTTTCCTAATGGAAAATAATAGTGACAATTTTTCTTGCATAATGATCTTCACGCAGAGACGAGAGCCGCCAATGGCTTGATCCTAGGCACAAGTCATTATCTTATTTTTCTTAATCTATGAAGTACGAACTAACGGAAATCCCATGATATCTGTGTAACGCTCAAAGTTAAGCGTGACTATTATTTTTGTCCTTTCTCTATGTTTTGTTATTTTGATGTCCTTAGCGTTTGTCCTTAGCTGTTATCTGTTTTGATTCTTTCGGATGGTTGAGTACTTAAATGTGTGCTTTTTTGTGTAATCAATACGATTCATGATATGAAGAAATGAAATAAAGCATAGTACCATCAGCACAAGCACTTCTTCTCTCCGAAATCGTCACAAAAGGCATAATAATAAACTAGTTACTCGTACTGACTTCGAATAAAAAACAATGCAATAACTTTGCAGTGATTATTAGAAAATAAATCTGCCGCCCAGGTCCTTATTGTAGCATTGAATTCTTACTCGAGGTATCCATCCGTTGTCGTTTAGCATGTCAAACCAATGCTTAAGAATATCAATAGTGATATTTTGATTCCATCGGGCAATAAGAAGATTATGAAAACCTTCATCCCAAAGGAAACCGCGCGGAAAAAATGAACGTGATGGTACAGCTGTATATAAACTTGTTGTAAAATATTGATCAGGTGTTTTTTGACCTGGCTTTGCTACTAATGATTGGCCTAGAAGGGAAAAAAAGTAAAAATTTTACGATTCGAAAAAATGACAAATTAAATTTTACCGGTAAAATAAGAAATTCCACCAATGAGATTACTTAATGTTGACCGAGCAAAATTTATTTTTGTTTCGTCCATATTCTGCTTTGTTTTTAATTGAAATATAGTTTCAAAACGTTGATCGAATTGTTTTTGTAATCGAACAAGTTCGTCATTGAAATATAAGCCAGTTAAATCTTGTTCACGTTCGCGATCTGATGATTCTGATTGATAGATAATATCGAATGAAAATGCTTCATCGACGACTGGTTGTCGAAGAGTTATTTGAATAAAAAATGTGTTCGGTTCGGAATCTTTTAATGTTTGATCGGCTAATATAAAAAATGGTTGTTTAGGTGGGTTTGATGTTAATTTTGTTAGAATATCACGATGAATTGTATCTAATCGAAAGACATCTGTTAATGTACGAACAACTGGTTGTTGAGATAATGTATTCAAGTGAATTTTAATGCTGAATTTATCCAATTCATTTGTTTGGCCACGGATAGTTACAGTATCAGGCGATTGCTTCGATATAGATTTCACTTCTTTTATCCATGGATGTTCATGATGAAAATAGAAGAATAAAGATATTGGTATGGTACTACCGACGGACTAGTAAATGAAAATATTTTTATAGATAATAAGTTAGAAAGTAATCTTCAGGAAAAATATGAAAGCATTCGGATTACTTCCTACGTATTTCCTAATCTCGTAAATGTAAAATAGCATGTAATCATTGAGGAAAAGATGAAAATCTACTTATCCGGGTTTCCCCTTCTATAACATGCCTAAGAATCATCCCTGAATTGAGAAAAAAGAGCAGCATGTAACTATTGAAAACAAAATAATCCCAAAAAGAACCATTGAATTTACCCTGGATCGACCATTGAATGCAATAACTTCAATTAATTTTTTTTTCTCATTCATAATATCGCGCTAACTAGAACACTTATCGAATAGCTAGCGAGGTTTCTCTCTTTTCTTTTTCCAGGCCTCAGACATAAAAAGAAAGTGTTATCTGATGTCATGATGATCTCGAGAACAGAATGGCAGACAATAGTGATCCAAACGCTTGAATAAGTTTCATAAGAAATTCTATGTAGAATCTCCCTTGAATAGAAGAATCCTTTAGATGTTTGACATTATCCAGCATTTTGCAGCGAATATGAAACAATTAATCGAAATGAAAATTTGTTTTTTCTCCTGTCATCTGATATTTAAAGTAGGGGCGTAACCAGAAAAAAATTGTAGGGGGGGCTAAACTTGTTTTTTCACAGGGTTTTATTTTTTCTAGGGGGGGGGCTAAGATCTCTGTAGGGGGGGCTGAGCCCCCCCCCCCCGGGCCCCCCCCCCCCCCCCCCCCCCCCCCCCCCCCCCCCCCCCCCCCCCCTGGCCCCCCCTCTGGTTACGCCCCTAATTTAAAGCTTTGTAATTTGCTTGAAACACCCTTTAATTCGATAACTTGACCATGAAAAACAAACATTTCCGTAGAGCATTAAAAACGTTATTGATTTCATGCGATAGTATTGAACAACAGGTCGAGGTGAATAGCAGTCATTTATTTCCTATGTCTAATATTTGAATCAAACTATGGATGATGCTCGGTAATATTCCATGGGTTTATTTCTTGATGCTTCTCAATTGCACATTGTATCCCCTTGGCGATGACTTGAAATTGTGTTTCTCATCTCTGCGCAGGGTATCAATGCATTTGAGAGCTTTCTCAAATATACTCTCGGAATGTTAACATTCAGCGATGTTTCCGACAGTTTTCATCTCAGTTCATGTCAAAAATCATTTTCCAGACTCTTCTTTTTCTTTACTATTTACGACATATGTTTCTTCGTATGCTATTTTGGATCTATGGGGCGTCAGCTGTTCTCTCTTTTCATACTTTTGGAGTAACATTGATTCGCGTTGTCCAATCTCCTCCATGTTGTCCACTCAATTGTTTTATCCATTGAATATTTAAATCAAGATTATTATCTTTAATATCTTCAATTCCAAATCTTTCACCATCATGATATGTCCATCCATATTTTAACTGATCATTTTGATCACACCCATGTCTAAGAGAAAATTATCTTGGAGCATTTTTTACCTTACATATGCTTTTTTTTCTACCTAAGAAATCGATCATTGGATCTTTGTAATGTACCATAATCAAACCACATAAATCCTACACTTAATGATTTTGAACTTTGATGTTTTAAACCAAAATATAAATTCGATCTTGAATCAAAATTATTTATTTTTATTCTTTGTTCTCATTAAATAAAATCTTAGTTTACCTATACGTTCCCCAGAATCTATCCGGTGTTGCCTCATTAATATTAACAAGTTTCGGTAAATTAATCGGAACATTTGTATGCTCAGTAGAAACAAATCCTATTAATATTTTACATAGATAGAATAAAACTACAATACTCATAATCAAAAATATAGATAATCGTATTGGAGATTTTATTTTCAGTAAGAACGATTCCTTCGGTGATGCATTGTTACGAGTTGGCTTTCGTTTTTTTGTAGCTGCAACGACCTTTTCATTGATTTGGTCGTTATTTAAATTCGATGGATGTTTATTATCATTTTGCCGACGACGTTGTGTTAATTTTTCAGTCATCTAAAAATGGACAAATATTTGTTTCTAGACTTTTTTCTTTCAATTCCGGTAAATGATATATATATATAGGCTCTATTTGCACGAACCAGCGCGTTAAAAATACAATTAAACCATTCGATATATAAATTACACTGTTTTAACAGTAAAAAGAAACAAAATCACCATGGAAGAACGAATAGGAAATGGAAATGCTTCATTAGAATGTTTTGCGATGAATTACTCGAGCACCTTCTGCATCATATTCACGTTTTGTAACCCAGATTTTTTTGAATGTATCAAGCGATGCTAATATTGAACCCCTATGAATAGAAAAATAAACATGATTGTTTTTATTCTGAAAAAGAAGATTTTCGGTTTCGATTCACCCAATCCATGTTGAATAAAGCCGTTCACGAGGCGCGGAAATTTTTATTTTAACTTCTTTTGGTGCAATACGTTTTAATTCACTAAGTAAACGATCACCGAAACCTAACAACAAAGACCCCTCACGTTTTTTCTTTAATTAAATAAAAGAAAACGAAATGGATTTACCTCGAAATAATGTTGAACCGCCAGATAAGACAATATTTTGATAAAGAATACGTCGAACATCCATGTCCGATCGTTGAATTGAACCTGATAGAATTTCATGCATACCTTCACATTCATCGCCAATTAATTCGGGATTAAATAAAACTTCAGGGGCTAGATGACGACTTGAACCAAGCTATAAATGATATAAACAAATGAGCAGATTTTCGAAATACAAAATTATTTATTTAGTTACATCAATAGATGTCCCATCAGGAAGTGTAAATTTAGATTTATCTGCTTGATTTGTTTCTTCTTTTTGTATTGCTGTAGTTAGAAAACATGCGCGTTCTTTGATACTTTTAACAATTTCAAATTCAGCTGTTGTTTTAAATGAATAACCTTCCTTTCTTAACAGTAATTTTAAATAACGTGTAACATCACGACCAGCTACATCATTTCGAAGAATACTATGCGGCATCGCAAATCCTACAAAAGAAAAACAAATGATCAAATCATTCATCATATTTTGCTCGTCAAATTACGCAGCAGTGTTCAGACTTCCAAAAAAGGAAATTTCGGAAGTTTTGGAAATTTCAAGTACTTGTGTTCTAAATTGTTTGGTATTTCCCAAAATTATACAATTTCCGAAATTTCTGAAATTTCCAAAATTCTGTACAAAGCGAAATTTCCGAAATTACAGAAGATTCCGAAATTTCTAAACTTTCAAATATTTTCAAAAAATTTTCATTTGCTTTGCTATGTAGTAATCGAGTTGATGGAAGCTTCGGAAATTTCTGTAATTTCCTTTTTCGGAAATCTGAACATACCTCAAATTACGGTGTAAAATGGCATCACATTATTTCTCTTGTACTTTATATGAACAAAATTGTTATTAAATTACCTTCATAAATGGGTACTGCATGAGTAACACCATCGCCTGAGTCAAGTACAACACCTGTTGTTCGCCCGCTTGCATATCTAAATAATAAAATTATTTTTTGTAAGACTTAGACTAAAATATTTAGCAACACGTTTCAACTCACAAACTAAGAACCGCTTGCATAGAGATGTATAAAGCTGGAACATTGAATGTTTCAAAAAATATTTCTGCTGCTTTTTCACGATTTTTTCTTGGATTTAATGGAGCTTCTGTTAATAACACAGGATGCTAAATAATTTCAGAAAAATAAACAATAAATTTCATTTAATTCATTCATTTAATATACCTCTTCAGAAGCTGATCTTAATTGATGTTTTGAATAGATGTAACTCCAAATTTTTTCCATATCATTCCAATCTTCAACAATCCCATGTTCCATAGGATGAGCAATGTGTAAAAGTCCTCGATATTCTTCAGCTTTAGGTCCAATAAATGTATCTCCTTCAAGACCACCAGCCATAACACGAACATGCTTCGGACGACCAACATAATTTGGAAAGTTTATTTTCGGAGTTGGATCACCGGCAAAACCGGCTTTAATTACTCCCGAGCCATTATCAATAACAATCGGCTGATTGGTAATTAACATTTCGTTATCCATTTAAAATTTTTATTTTCAATTCAATTGAGATGAGTAGGCAAATAAAACGACTCACGCTAATGTAACCAATTGATTCATGGTTGCAATGTTAGTTTTTCATTCGTATAAAAAAATAACCAATAGAAATAAAATATATTCTTTTTTGAAATATTATTATTTAGAAGCTCTCGTTTCTTTTACATGTAGCTTTTGACACAGTCACCAATGTCTGCTCAAATAAAACGTTTCGATGCGTATGCAAAAACACTCGATGATTTCCGTGTTCGAACAACAAGTGGTGGTCTCGTTACAATATCAAGTACTTTGATAATTTTGATAATATTTTATATTCAATTGCAATATTATTTAACAACTGATATTGAACAAGTTTTATTTGTTGATACAAGTCGCCAGGAAAAAATGAATATAACAATCGATATTTGTTATCCAGTTTTACCCTGTAGTTATTTAACTATTGATGCTATCGATATATCTGGAGAAGCGCAAACGGATATCGTACACAATCTATATAAAACAAGATTAGATTTAGACGGAAAACCCATTGCAAGTGACGTAACGAAAGTAGAACTTCAGCGAATACCGAAAATAAATGCTACACAAGAGAGTTCAACAACAGCTCATGCCTGTGAATCGTGTTATGGAGCAGAATCGGACACATACAAATGTTGTTCGACGTGTGACGAAGTCAAAGCAGCATATAGAACGAAAGGATGGTCATTTGATCCAAGTGAGTTCGTGTTTTCTTGCAGACAAACATTTTCGTAAGCTCTTTGACATATATGATTTGTAGTCGAAGACTTTGTCAGTACAACTCCTCAGAAATAAAAATGTAAAACATGATCAAAATGCTTTCTGGAGAGAGTTTATATGCGAGATGGGTACGAATTTCTACCCCGCTTACTTCAACACTACCAGTGAAAAGTTGATCGGAATAAAATATTTGTGATGATGTAGGAAATTTCTGCTGATTTCAAAACTTTATTTTCGTATTGTAAATGTCATAAATTCTTTCTTATGCTAAGCAGCGCATTTCTTTGAAAAAAGCAATGATCCAATTAGACATTTTTACGCGAATATTGAATTATAACACTGTTTGATAAACATATTTTGCTACGCGGATTAAATAAGAAGTTACGATAAAATCACGATGACTGAAAGCATCTCATTTTCTTAACCGATTTGAAAACAATTGCTAAACATGGCTGTAATAACACGTTCTACTTAATCTTTGTGATAGACAGAAGGAAATACCCAATATTAGAGATTTGAACCTTAGATTATTTTCGTCATTGGAAAATAACACGACAATCTTTCCATCATCGCTCCCTAAATAATATCGAATAAAACTATCTTGAAATTCCCTAAAATATCTTTCGCATTCGCAGCTGGTGTAGCCCAATGTATTCGTGAAGGACAAGCTGTCGGCTTATTGGGTTCAAATGAGAATGGGGATTTATCTCAAATGCAAGAAGGATGTCTTGTTCATGGTCACTTAGAAGTCAATAAAGTTGCAGGTAATTTTCATATAGCACCAGGTCAATCGTTTCAACAACATCATGTTCATATTCATTCATTGAAAAATATCCGTTTGAATATGTTGAATACTACGCATTATATAAATCATTTATCGTTCGGCCAACATTTTCCTAGCCAAGTAAATCCATTAGCAGACACGAAGCAAATTGCAAATGCTAGTGCAGTTCTCTTTCATTATTACATTAAAGTTGTTCCATCAACATATGTTTTTCTAAATAAAACTGAAATAAAAACAAACCAATATTCAGTTACAAAGCATCAAAAACCAATTCATAATATAGCTGATAACAATAATCATCAATTGCCCGGAACATTTTTCACATATGAAATTAGTGCTATTATGGTGAAATTCGTTGAACGACAACGATCATTGGCTCAGTTTTTAACATCATCATGTGCGATTATTGTAAGAATTTTAGTTTTATTTTTAATCATTAAAAATGTTGATGTTTTAGGGCGGTGTTTTTACAGTATCAAGTCTTATTGATGCGTTTTTATATCGTGGTGGTTGTCTTTTTCGTCAAAAAATGGAAATAGGCAAAGCAACGTGATTTTATTTTTTTCTTGTTCCATCTTTCAGTATTATTATACAGTGATAATTTACATGTTCCCATTCATTCTCTTCTGCGATCAATAGGCTTCTTATTTATTATTCTTTTCTTAGATCCATAATTTACATGTGTTGGCTATAATAAAATCTCAGTTTCTGTTTTGTATCGGTTATGCCTAAATCGTGTCAACTGTTATATCCTATTACGAGAAAATGTTTTATGCGACATGTGCATCAAACAATGAAGATTCAACAGAAGGAATTTAATCGTTTGTAAACAATAGGAAATACATGATTTTATTATTCTTTTTTTCGCAATAAATTTAAAAACGTGTAATCAATGTTGATGTTCACTAGAGATAATCCACCAAAACCTCATCACGAAAACATAACAAATATAGAGTAAAAATTCCCCAGATACCATTCACGGTATTATTAGGTTGAAAGAAGTGTCAGGCAATGGCTGATTTCAGTTAGCGTCACTAGCGTTTTTTCCCGTTATGTAATGAATTGCATGCAATACGATAGTTACGAGTAATCGTACTTTTCATCGTCATTGTGTGAAAGTATGTGTGAATTTGTTTTTTTATCTCTCCAATCATCGGCGGGCCAGCGCCGTAAAGTGGCGTATGGCAATAAATTATAATTTTTGATTATTAAGAAAAAAAAACAGTTTTTGAATCTTGTGAAAATACTTCACAACGGCTGTTCGCCATTCATTCGAAAAATAAAAATGAAGTTGGTCCCCTGCCCCCACTTTTATTTAGTTTTTTTCAACTGTTGCAATGAAGCAAAGAAAAAAAATATAATAGAAAATGAGTTTAAAAATCATTTTTCTTGCAATAAAATCCGTTAATATTTGCTCCATATTAATTTCAAATTCTATTTCAATATTTAAAAGTGCAATACCAGACAATTTTTTCTTGTCCCATACTATTTCTTAAATGTTTTCCATTTGCTTTGCAAAATCTTGTTTCGGATATATTTTGGTTACTACATATACGCTATTAATATTTTTTCAGGTATGGCAATTGTCATCAATTGCTCTCTGGAGGCCCGCCAATGCCCCCACTAGTTTCGCAAAATAAAAATTCGCTATTGTCACCTCAAATTCAATGTTCATTAGTGACCTCTACAACCCCACTCGTTCTATTGGTTTTTCTAGATGACATCTATGTGTATGTGTGTACACATCTTTTTTTTGTCATATCCATACTTTCCCATATCTAATCATTCTGTTTACATTTAAGGAGTTTTTTTTATCTGTTCTTGCTAAATTCAACGCTAACTAATTACGACAATCATGCCTGCATCACCAAGTAGCACTTCTGTAAGAATTTTTATATCCAAGACAATTTCTATGAATATTTTGATGAATTTTCAGGTTGGCAAAGGTGATTCCGGCAAAGTAGCTGGACCACGATCAGCTGGTAGCGGCGGAGGCGTCCGTCAACGTAAATCAGCTGCACCAGCACATAGTCGACCTAGTGCTGGCGGTGGCGCAAGTGCAGGTGTTTGGCGTTTTTATACTGAAGATTCACCAGGTCTTAAAGTCGGTCCTGTACCTGTACTTGTCATGAGTTTAATCTTTATTGCAAGTGTATTCATGTTACACATATGGGGAAAATACACAAAGTAGAAAGTCAGTTTTTAGATTAACATTCGTTTATTGTTGTAGACTTGTCTGTTTTATTAAAATATATACACATCTATGGGTATTGTTTATCATTGGATTTCTATTTTCGATAAAGTCGATTTATTTCATAAAGTATCGTTCATATCGAACAACTTAGAAAAATTAGCTTAGTCTTTGATGCGTTGCAAATTTACATGCTAAAATTCTTTCTAATTTCACAACCGGCATAACGGTTAATAATCAAATAGAAGAATTTTATTTGCCTATTATTGATTCGAACGATACTTAGTGAACTAAACTCTAATGATCTTCTAGTCGAATATTGATCTTTTGTACATATATGTATACTTTTAGATGAGAGAAAAAAAAATTCACTATAAAGATATAAATGGATTCATCACATGTTCACTCTGTAATGGATACTTAATTGATGCTGCGACGATACCAGAATGCTTACACACATGTAAGCTTTTTAAATTTAATTATTGAAATAACTTCTTTTTTTTCTTCTTCAAGTTTGTAAAACATGCATAGCGGCTTATTTGGATAATGACGAAGAAGATAATACACGGTGTAAGGCATTTAAAAAAGAAAGAAAGCCTAAATATTTTTTCTTTTATCTTAGGTCCGAAATGTGACTCTGTCATTGATCATGTAAATCCATGGCGCGTATTAGTGTTTGATCGAACATTACAGTCAATAGCTTACAAATTAGTACCACATCTTTATAAAGGTAAATAGAAAAAAAAAATTTTTAATAAAATTCAATTTTTCTTTAATGATTGTAGAAGAAATCGAACGACAAATAGCTTATTATAAAGAACGAGATTTGCCATATCCACCATCATTAGTTGGTAAGCGTGTTATTTCTGCTTTTTTTTGTGTTTTGTCAATATTCAAACATTTTGTGTTTTTTTATTAGAAAAATTACAAGAAAAACGTGATGAAGAAGAACAACAAACAATTCCGGCAAATTCAGATTTACATATTTATGACGATCAAGTAGCTATTTGTATTGATACAAAAACAAGAGATATTGAAGTAACTATTTAATATATAAATACAAATATATACTAAAGCAAGACTTTTAATTTTTCTAGTCATTTCCACGCAAGTTCATTATCTGTTCCAGTAATGCAACTGTAACTCATTTAAAAAAGTTGTTGGCCAAAATGATATTTCAAGATCCATATCAATATAGAAAAGTATGTATATTAATTATCTTTATTTGTCCCATCGTTTCCTGTACCCACAGTATCCATTTCGAATGTATCATAGCCACGAGCACGTATTGGTGTTGGAGTTTGTTGAATCGACCGTGAATATTTTTGACTTTCAACAGGCTGACTGGGTACTGCTTTTTGTGCCTTGGTTAGATAGGATTGGGTATTTTCACTAATAGGAACTTTACCACTACGAGCACACGGAATACATTTGAATAGTAATGAAGTCATTAAGTTGTTTATTTTTTTAATCTATAAAAGAAATAGTTTTTTGTGTTGAGTACGAATTGCGATAGTTGTCATTTGAAGGAAAGAGAAATGTATGTCTTTGAATAGCTACTAGGAGACGTGTATACTCATATATGTCGTATCGATTATGATATTCAATTGAATACTGATGACATGTTGAAAACGCATTTTGATAAGAAAATAGTAATAAATGATGAGGATTTAATAAAAGACGTGACAATGCGGTGGCAATTTATGCTGCCGATATTTTTCTTTTCGCTATTTGCTTTTCTCTATGCAACTCCCCCGTCGATTCTCGATTACTATCGAGAACGACTAAGATAATAAAATAGAGAAGAAAAGGAAAAAGACTACGATGCCACGTGTGACTAATAGAATTGTTCTTTTTTTTCCATTGAATAGATTGACATCTATCTCGATGATCAAATTTTGGGTAAAGATCATACAATGCGCTTCATTTCATTGACAAAATGGCGTCATAAAGTAAGTAACTCCTTTTTTCCTGATTCACTGTCATTGAATCACTTTTATTTTAGATGCCGCCTATTTGTTTAACATACGATGTATCGCCGATATGATTTTCTGAAAAAAATTAATTTGGTTTTCCTTTCTTTTTTTTTTTCAATATGTAAATGTTTGTTTGTATAGAATAAATAGCAAAAAAATTAAGTTTTAAAGAGTTATGCTCCAACATCGATTAAGAACACATCTAGTTTTCTACCTAGTTTCTCGGTAAGCTGTCGACGATTACGAGCAAGCTCATTTTTACGACTTATTGCTGAGCGAATTCCAATTTTCCATTGTCCTTCTTCGTCTTGTAGTGATGAATTGGCTTGAACAATATTTTTAACTGTTGTTACATTTGGATTTTCTACTGCATGTATTTCAGTAAAAGCGCCAACTAAATGACGAAAACGTTTATCGTCCATGGCACTTTTAGGTTTTTCGGGCAAGACCTGCTGCACTGGTATTGCGTCGATTTCTGATGCATGATCAATTTTTCCAAAAATATCTTCAGCAGTTGTTGTTTCGTCAGCTAAATATGCACGAACATGTGTATTCGTTGATTTTGGTCGATAACCTTTCGGCTGAGCTAAACGTTCGAGTCTTTCACGTGACATTCTTAGACGACTTGACGCTCGTGGATTAGTTGGCGTTGCAGAAACTATAATAGGCGTGACTTCAGGTTCACCTGGCACGGGTGACGCTGTTTTCGTTAGTACTGGTGATGGTTGTCGAAGTCGATTTAGTGTTGCATCAGTTTTCGTGTCTGAACGAGAAAAAAATGATTGTGTTGACGGACACATTAACGGATTACAAGTTTTTCTGTTTAATGGAGATCGTGCTGATACACTTCTATTCATGCCCATTGTTAATTGATCCATAGACCTCAATAAATAAATTATTCAGTTGTAAGTATTTCAAGAAGAATTTCTAAATTTTAACATACGATCGAAAACCAGGCATTGATTGTTCGCATTTATTTTGTTGATTTTTAAGAAACAACTTTTTATCAAAGTCGTATTCGGCCATTTTTCGATAGCGTGAATATGATAAAGTTAAAAGATTGGAAAAAAATTGTCGACTTAATACGATATTTTGTCGCGTATCATTGGTTAATAAACGTGAATTGGCCGTGATTTTCCTTAGTGTTAAACCTCTTTCCATCCAGCTTGATACTTCCAACGGTAACGGTCGTTTTTTAGAATTCATGCTGTAAGCGATCAAAACGTTTAAAAAAATTCAAAATATGAATTAACTACAAAAAAGACTAATGCGTTTATATGTACATTACGAGAAAAAGAAAAAAGAAAAAAAGAAGAGAAACGGATCATGGTGATGTTGTTTTTACTAATTATGGGTCAAGTATCATACCAATAACAACTCTGTGAGCAACCCAGTTGCAATTAGATTGTGCAAACGAAAAAAACAAATTATTTTTTTCTTAAGAAAAAAATATGAAAAACTTTTCAATACTGTACTTCTTTGGGTAACAAAAAGAATTATGCGCTTTGACATAAGCGATAATACCTTGATACTTCAGATCGAGTGTACAATTGTATCATAGGCCATTTTTCGAGAAACATCCTTCAATATGTTTGCATGGAAAAAAAAGTTTCAACTGTTTTTATTTGTCGATTATTTTAGTTACTATTACCGGTGGCGTAAAAGCATAGCACAATGCATACAAACAGTGACATATCGTTGGCAAGATTATTCTTGAGAAATAAAAATATTTTGGGCTTGGAATACCACTCGCTCTTTTTTTTGTGTTAGTAAGTATTAAATAATAATAAAAAAACAACATCGGTCAGATTTAGCTATGTGAAAGTATCGCAAATAATATCTATATTTGATCGCACTTCAGTTTCTCTAATAATAATCGGTTTCAAAAATAACACAAAGATTGAAAGGGACACATCGAAAAAAATCACTGTTGTAATGAACTTTTAAGCTTTGCTACTCGTGAGAAATTCTTTATTAGGTTTAACTGAATTAAATTGATTGATGATCAAATGAATCGTTTGACACGGTGTAGACAAAAAAAGAGCAAATAAGTTTCTTTGTGATATTCTGTGTCTAATCAATTTGAATATTTGTTTCTCGGATTTTAAAAACAAAATTGTTATCAACTGAAAGTTATGTCTAAATTTAATTCACACATTTGAGTTTAAGCTTCTTATATCTTGTCGTCAGAGAGATGTGAGTAACACAAAAATTCATAGGAGCTTTTCGAATTATTTGTACGAACAAAGTACATTAAAACATTACAGCCACTTGATGAATTTTTCATAACGAGAAACGTTTAGTTTCTTGTAAATTACTCTTTCGTCCTGCCATTTGTCTACTTACTTCTGAACAAACAAAAAGTTCCGTACGATCTATTTTTGTCATACGTGGAAGCAACAGAACCTACGAGCGAGCTACATAAGCTGATTCATTTATTTTCAATGATCACGAGAAATGCATATTTAAAAATTGTAATCAGCATCAGAAAATAAAATTGAACAAATGATAGATTATGACGATCAAAATAGATCTGTAAATATTGAGTTATGTTTCTTTTATTTAAATTTTAAGTATTTAGGTCGTTCAAGCCATGATGCATTTTAATCGATGAAAATGTCGTGGATGATGAGTATCATTTTGACTTGCGATGCTGATATTGTTATCTCGGATGATAAGTATTAAGTAGTCAAATATCTCCGTCTCCGTCTAGTTATCTTTTCATTTTTGAGTAGATACTCAATAGAAAAGTGTATATTAAGAGTAGCATCATTAATAAACAATAGATAAAAGAAAGTGAAAAATACTCCAGACATGATGATTCTCATTTCGATTGCACTCAAGTGTCGAATTCATATATGGGACAAGAAAAAAAACGAATTCGTATGATAGTGACATCTATAAAGACTCCAATTAATTTATTACAAATTTGTGTAAAACTCTTTTGCAAATACGTAAGTTTTATAAAATATTTTTTTTTGCAACGGAATTTCCCAACTGATATTAAAACAGCAGGAATTCATTCGTTATGAATAAGTTCGTATGATCAACATTACTTTTTTTTTTTAGTAGTATCCTTCTCGAAGAACAAATCACAAGAACAGAAAGAATTGAATTCGTACATACAAAAAATAAAAACATAAAGTTTAAATAATAATTTTTATTTTCACGTTTTGTCTTTTGTAATGATGTCTGATCTTTCGAATGCATTGCGTAATATGAAGTTCATGCAAAGAACTTCTGATTCGCGGAAGAAGTCTTTTAAGAAACCGCCGACAACATCTCAATCGATACCTATACTTCCATCGAATCCTATAATTCAGACACCTGAACATCCAGGTTGTTGGCGTATAATTAAGAATGAAATGAACATATCTTCTTCGAGCCCAACAGAACATCAAAATCAACCATCAATAAACTATTGTAATAGTGTGTTTTTAATAAATCATCATAATTATACAAGATTATCTTTTCAAAATTATAATAAACGAATAGAACCGTTAATGATCAAGTATGGTCTTAGACAAGAATTAAATCCTTTAGAAGATGGTGAAATCAATGGAAGTGACAATGATGAAAATGAAAAAGTTTCTATAAATGAAGATAAAGAAACAACACACGCCACAACTTTAGTAAAAACAATAAGAAAAAAATTCGATAAAAAACCATTTTCTCGTGTTCAATTTGATAATAAATCACGAATAACTAAGCGTAGACGAAGAACAAATAATAGAGCTGGAAAAAATTAATTATATTTGTTAAAATTTTGTTTTTCTTTCATATTCTAGATGATGACATCCTCTATGATTAATCTCTTACAGACGAACCACAGTGATAGTACAGAAGAAATCACAGCCATACTTGAAGCTTTACCATCCTATCAAAATTTACAAGAAACTCAAGATGAATCAGCAGTATTCGATGATAACAACGAACCATCCACTGGTCTAATTAGTTTAATACGAAAGAATTCTTTACAAGCAGGAATAGCAAATGATACAGCGAACACTGTAAGAATCATTCAGAGATGAACGCTTTTTTTCTCGAGGTTACATTGTTATTTTTTCTCAGTGGTATATAGATAGTAGCTGATGATTCGACCAGTTATTATTCCGCTGATGATGACACAACAGCAGCTGGAACAACTTTAATACCAATTGTAACAAGTGCAAATGTCGAAGAAGAAGAAGAAGTATCTTATGATAATGATGATGAAATGAATATGAGTATATTGAAGAGTAAATTGAAGCATCTGTTCATTTTAAGTGAAAATGGTAAACCTGTTTTTACAAGGTAATTTTTTTTTCATATTGAAATAGGTGATACAGAAAGGACGGGATTGAAATTGTGTGTTGAGTTATATGTGTAAAAATACTGCCCTATGAAGAGACTTCCAGATACGATGAGGAAAAAGAAAATAAATTTCTTCTGACATGATAGAAGCACAGTTTTGAAGTTAATAGGGTGGAACTATGGAGCCTACCTTTGATTGTAAAAATATTAGCTGTGTCCTAAATTATATCTATAAGGGTTGAGCGAATCATGCTGCCAGAATATATTTAACTATTGCGAATAAAATTTTACAACTATTTATTTTGATAAACTATCCTCTCATTCTTAAATTACATATTCTAATCAGTCGTCGTGATATTAAGTACTGTGCAAAATACTGCGTCATCTATCGAATACTGAGAATTTATCAAGATTCATTTTTCTTTGTTTCGAATGACCTCTACTCGTCACGCTGATATGCACTTCAAATAGTCGTACACGTTATATATGCCCTCGTCTCTCCGTTCCTCTATTCTTCGTTTTCACGCATATTCTTCTTGAACTAAATCTAATAAGCACGAAATAAATTTAGGTATGGCGATGAAGAAAATCTGGTTACTTTGATGGGCGTTATGCAAACTCTTGTATCATTTTCTGAAGTAATCGCATCAAGTCAATTAAATTATATAAAAGCTGGTCGTTGTCGTATAGCTTTTCTACATAAAGAACCATTAATATTTGTCTTAATCTCTTACATAAATGAACATCCAATGTGTTTAACACAACAATTAACATACGCATATCATCAAATCATTAGTACATTAACACTAAGTCGTATTAAACAAAAATTTACTGTTCAACCAAATTTTGACCTACGTCGTTGGTTATCGAATGCTGAGAAAAAACTTCTTTATAATATAATTGATATGTATGAGCATGATCTCGGAATGGTTATGACATGTGCTAGATGTTTAATATTACCAGCAAATGTACGCACTCAAATAGGACAAATAGTTGCACAAACAATACGCGGTCAAAAGGTAGATTTTGATTATTTTCGTTTATTTAATTAATGATGATCGCTTTTTTTAGGATATGATATTTGCTATAATTCTTGCGCATAATCGACTTGTGTCAATAGCTCGTTTAAAAAATTATCATTTACATCCATCTGATCTGTATCTACTAGTTAATCTTGTTAATAGTTCGGAGGCATTTAAAGGTGTAGAATCATGGGTACCTGTTTGCTTGCCGAGATTTGATTCAGGGTTTGTATTATAATCGACTTCAGAAAAAAAAATATTCATTATTTCGAATTTTTAGAGGTTGTCTTCATGCACACATATCGTATTTAGATGAAAGTTGTGATATATGTCTCATTCTAATGACAGTGAATCCTGAACATTTTCAAATATTATCAGAATTCAAAGAACGTATCGGAGAGGTAGAACTCATATTTTATTATTGTTATTTTTTTAGTTTTTAATTGATGAAAATTTAGAAATTAAGAAAAGTAAATGCCCTGTTACCAATTAAAATATCGTTGGGTAAAGATCGTCTTCTAAGTGATGAAATATCATGTAGTGATCTAAGATTTTTTGCATATAAATCACGTGGTTTAAGTCAATATACATCATCGAAAATGTTACCTCCGTATACGACAAATGAACAACATGTTAGATTATTTGAATTAATACGTTATGTCTATGGACGTTTACATGATCCGAATCATCAATTAAAAATTGTCTATTTCAGAGGTGAACATGAATCATTACTTGGATGGGTAAGATAAAATGAAGATTTCTCTTATTTCTCTTATTTCTTTTTTTCAAATTTTTAGTTAGCTCCAGGTTTTGAAATGCATGCAGTATTTTCACCATTGGTTGCGTTAGAAACAGTAACATTATGTATCGATCGCATTTTAACATATATAAAACGTGAAGAAAATCAATTATTTATAATGAAATGCGAATATTTTTGATGATTTGAACCATGTTAATGAGGTCAGATGGTTCTTCTCTTCGTTCAATCTGTTCGTTTATTTGTCAAGTCCTAGATTATGTTTTTTGTTTAAAACTTATGTCTTGTGTTTTTCATTTTCTTTTTGTCTATCACATAAAATATGTTTATTTATTTATTTATTTTTTGGGTCAGCGAATATTTATCTTAACAGTTTTTAGATGGTTATCCTTGCTGCGAAACAAAATAAAAACGTTCCATCAAGGCAATCATCCAGTAGTGATGATTCCGATGATGATACACCAGTGAAAAAAGGAGGTAAACAAAAATTTTGCAAATAAATGAGATTACATCTAAAATGGAAATTTTTCAATTTTAGTCTCGGCTCAAATTCAGAAGAAGGCAGCAATACCTCCACCAAAGGCATTGATATCGAATGGAAATCATAAAAAGAAAGATTCATCATCTTCGTCAGATTCAAGTGATGAAGATGAACAAAAACCATCTGCCAACACGACAAAAATACAACCTACTCAACCTGCTAAATCTCTATTGAAACGTAAAGCAGCTTCGTCGAGTAGTTCAGCTTCTGATTCCGATGATGCTGCACCACCAGCTACTAAAAAGCAACCACCATCTACACCAACTAAAGGTGATTTTGTTTTGTTGTTCGATCATTTTTTTATCCTAAATCTTTTATATTCATAGTTAATGGAAAATTAGTTATTAGAAAACCTACTGCACTAACACCAGCTAGTATTTCAACTATAAAAAAACAAGTTTCATCATCCGATTCAGATTCATCAGATGATAATAAACTAAAGAAATTACCAGTAAAAGCACCAATAGTTGCTAAACCTGTTCAACAGCTCGTCAAAAAACCTGCTTCATCAAGTAGCAGTGATTCAGATGATGACGAACCCGTCAAAAAGACACCAGTTCCATCAAAGGGTAAGTAGTTCTCATATTCAGGAAATACTGAACTCATCGATTGATGCCGCATTTTTTAGTAGCACCAAAATTTGCTATACCACCACCAACAAGTCTTACAAATAATAAGAAGAAAGATTCATCGTCAGATTCAGATTCATCATCAGATAATGATAAAAACAAGAAAGCACCAGTAAAAACAACACCAATTGCTGCAAAACCAGTTAAAAAACCTGCTGCATCAAGCAGCAGTGATTCCGACGATGATGATGATAAACCAAAAAATGTCAAACCGGCAATGTCTAAAGGTACATATAGCTCTCGTTATAGTATTTTCTCTATCTATTAGCGTTACATCATTACAGCCGTGCCAACTGTAGTAAAGGCTGCAGTACCAGCTCAACTTTCAAATAACAAGAAAAAAGATTCATCATCCGATTCGGACTCATCCGATGATGAGGCCCCGAAAAAAGCACCAGTGAAAGCCGCACCAGTATCGAAACCAGCTCAACAACCGGTTAAGAAAGCTGCTTCATCCAGCAGCAGCGATTCAGATGATGATAAAACAACCAAAAAGACATCAGTTCCAACTAAAGGTAACTATTCATTAAGTGTAAAGTTATCATGAGTATTGCTCACTGCGGACTGTTCTAGTGCTACAAAAAACTGCTGTACCACCACCAGCTAGTCTTACGAGCAATAAGAAAAAAGATTCATCATCGGATTCTGATTCATCATCAGATGATGACAAACAAAAAAAGGCACCAGCGAAAGCAACACCAGTAGTTGCAAAGCCAGTCCAGCAACCGGTGAAGAAACCTGCTTCATCAAGCAGCAGTGATTCCGATGATGAAGATAAACCAATAAATAAAACTCCAGTTACATCAAAGGGTAACTATTTCTACATTGCCGAACCTTTCATATAAGTCGAGATATTTTAGTCACGCAAAAAGCGGTTGTAACACCATCAGCTAGTATCGCAAATACAAAGAAGAAACAAAGCTCATCTGATTCATCATCAGACGATGACAAACAAAAGAAGGCACCAGTGAAAGCAACACCAGTAGCTGTAAAGTCAGTTCAACAACCGGCGAAGAAGCCTGCTTCATCAAGCAGCAGTGATTCATCAGATGATGACAAACCAGCTGTTGTGAAACCAGTTGTATCGAAAGGTAAGGTATTTCTCTTTGTTTATGCATCTATACCTATGTATTCATCATAGCTACACCAACTGTATCCAAAGCTGCAATTACTAAAAAGAAAGAAAGCTCATCTGATTCTGATTCATCCGACGGTGACAAACCAACTGCTAAGACACCAGTTCTATCGAAAGGTATATATCTATTTCAATCAGTGAAATGTAGATTCTCTATGTTATTTTCTTCCCTATAGCACCAGTTACACCACTGAATAAAACCACAGTTCAAGTTGCAGCTAAAAAGAAAGACAGTTCATCGGATTCTGATTCGTCAAGTGACGATGGCAAAAAGAAAAAGGTTGCACCTGCAGTTACCAAACCATCAGTAGCAACAACTCCAAAACCACAAGCAGCAGTCAAAAGACCTGCACCTTCAAGCAGCAGTAGTGATTCAGATGATGATACACCAGCTAAAAAACAAGCTGTATCTAAAGGTAAAATTATTTCTATGTGACCTGACTGTTCCTAATGATTTTCTTGTGCTTTCGTAGTTAACACACCAGCTGTTAAAAAGCTTGCTGTTTCGACGCCAGTTGTTGCATCAAATATTAAGAAGAAAGATTCTTCATCAGAGTCAGATTCATCGGACGACAATAAAAAGAAATCTCAAGCACCTATGAAAACGAATCCAGCTCCATCGACAGTAAAAAAAGTTTGCAGTTCAAGTAGCAGCGATTCCGAAGAGGAAATGCCTGCAACAAAGAAATCACCAGCCAAACGTAAATGTCACACTTAAACTTTGTTGTTAATTTTAATGTCATATTTATTTTTTGTAGCAATTATGACACCAGCATCCAAACCAGTAGTTGCTGCATTGAACAAAAGCCAGAAAAAGTCGAACTCTTCATCAGATTCAGATTCATCAAACGAGAATGACAAGAAACCAGTGGTAACAATTACCAATAAACCGAAAGCAACTCCAATTGTAACAAAGAAAGACTCAAGTTCAAGCAGTAGTAGCGATTCTGACGCACCAGCAATAAAAAAACCAACATCAACAACACCTGCTAAAGGTAAGCATTTTGTTTTATGAGAATTCATTGTTTTTTATATCATATGATCTCAATGTGCAGCTCCTGCTACACCTGCTACTCCAATATTCAAGAAACCAATCGCTACTACTCCAGCTACTGCTACTAATAAGAAGAAACAAGATTCATCATCTTCATCGGATTCATCAGATGATGATAAACAAAAGAAAACACCGGTAAAAGCGCCGATAGCTGCTAAAATTGTACAACAACCAATTAAAAAAGCTGTCCCATCAAGTAGCAGTGATTCATCATCAGATGATGACAAACCAGCAAGCGTCAAACCAGTCGCGTCAAAGGGTACATAACCATCTTTTTCCTAGCACATCATTTGTTTTACATGGTTTTATTCTTTATAGCTACACCGACTGTAACAAAACCAGCAGTATCAACACCAGCTTCGGTCTCTGCTACCAAGAAGAAAGATTCATCATCTGATTCAGATTCATCAGATGACGATAAACAAAAGAAAGCTCCAATTGCTGTCAAACCAGCACAACAGCCAATTAAAAAACCTGCCTCATCAAGCAGTAGCGATTCAGATGATGACAAACCAGTCACAAAGACTCCAGTTGTTTCCAAAGGTAATGATCTTATTCTCATCGTTGGTTAAGTGCATCCTAAATTTCATACTCTTTTTAGTTACACAAAAAGCTGCTGTACCACCACCAGCTAATCTCAAGAGTATTAAGAAGAAAGATTCTTCATCAGATTCAGATTCCACCGAGGATGATAAACAAAAAAAGTCACCAATAAAAAAAGTAACACCGGTCGCTGCAAAACCAGTTAAGAAACCTGCTTCATCAAGTAGCAGTGATTCCGATGATGATGATAAACCAGCGATCAAGACTCCAGTTGCGTCAAAAGGTAACTATTCAATCAGTCTTTGAAGATGAACTTTTGCCATTTGTTTCTAATTATTTCAGTAGCACTGAAAGTTGCAATACCACCACCAGCTGGTCTATCAAGCAATAAGAAGAAAGATAGTTCATCAGATTCATCATCATCGGATGATGATAAACTGAAAAAAGCACCTGTGAAAGCAGCACCTACGCCTGCTAAACCAGTTCAACAACCGGTTAAAAAACCTGCTTCATCAAGCGATAGTGATTCATCAGATGATGATAAACCAATTGCCAAAACGCCAGTTGTATCGAAAGGTATATATTCTATTTCAATCAGTGAAATGTAAATTGTTGATTCCTATTGTTTTCTCTTTAGTGCCATCTACACCAGTGACTAAAAGTGCAGTTCAAGTTGCAGCTAAGAAGAAAGATAGTTCGTCTGATTCGGATTCATCAAGTGCTGATGACAAGAATAAAAAAGCTGCATTTGCACTTAACAGACCATCGTCCACATCTACTCCAATGCAACGAACAACTAAAAAGGCTGCGTCTTCGAGCAATACTAGTGATTCAGATGATAATACTACAGCTAAACAATCAGCTGTATCAAAGAGTAAAACTTCAGCTTTAGAAATATCTCTGAAATCTAATATTTACTATTTTCTAGTTGCTTTAGCACCTCCAGCTAAAAAGCCTGTTGTATTGGCACAAGCTACGGCACGAATTTCGAAAAAGAAAGATTCATCATCAGACTCATCGTCGGATGACGACAAGAAAAAAACAAAACCAATACTTGCAGTTACTAAATCAGCTCCTACACCAGTAATAAAGAAGGCTGCTAGTTCAAGTAGTAGTGATTCAGAAGACGATAAACCTGTGAACAAAAAGCCAACACAACAAATCTCAACTGTTAAAAGTAGGATTATCATCATTTTGAAATTTCGATATCGAAATATATATATGTGTGTGTTTCAAATTTTTTAAGCACCTACTACACCTGTTGTTTCAAAGATTGCCAAAACGCCGGTTGTATCAAATAATAGCAATAAGAAGAAACAAGATTCGTCTTCATCGGATTCTTCTGATGATGACGTAAAGAAACAACCAGCTAAACCAACAGCAACTACACCAGTTCAATCGATCAAACGTAAAGCAGCTTCGTCAAGTAGTTCGAGTTCAGATTCCGATGTTGTTCCCGTACCTACGATTAAAAAACAATCAATACTGCTAAATAAAAGTATGTTTCTTTTTTGTTTCCATCGTATCCAATCTTTGTATATATTTTCAATTGTTTTCTTAAATAGCTAATATTACTCCAGCTGTACACAAAGCTGTTGTATCTACGCCCGTGAATGTTTCAAATAACAAGAAAAAAGATTCATCATCTGATTCATCCGACGATGATATTAAATTAAAACCAGCAGCTTCACCAGTTAAATCAACACCAATCACAAGACCTAGTCAACAACCAATGAAAAAGCCTGCTTCATCAAGCAGTAGCGATTCCGATGAGGATGCTGCTCCAGCGAGCAAAAAGCCTGCTGTCTTGAACAAACCATCAGTTCAACCAGCGAATGTGTCAATTAATAATAAAAAAGCTGCTGTAGCAGATAGCAGTGATTCGGATTCTGACGATGACAAACCAATTAAAAAAACTCTCACGAATGGTTTGTAAAATTATCTCGCTTTAAAAATGAATCCCCTATGTTGTAATTTAGGTTCGACTATATCTAAACCATCGGTTGCAGCCGTTAATGGCAATAGCAATTTAAAACGTAAAGCACCATCATCAAGTGATGAGTCCGAAGATGAAAAACCAGCGCATAAAAATGTTTCACTTAATGGTTCAATGCAAAAAGAGAATCAAGTTAGTTTCTTTGATTTTTTTTTTATTGTTATTTTCTTTTTTATAATATTGAATGTTTAGATGAATAAATCACAAAATAATGGAAACGAAAAAGTGTGTAGACTCAATTTTACAATATATAATATGTATTGTTTTGTTTTGTTTCTAGCGTACAACATCTCCATTTCGTCGTGTTCGCGAAGAGGATGCTGATCCCGAGTATTTACAAAAAATGGGGAAAAATTCATTTGAAAATAAAGTAAAAATTGTTTTTGTGGTTCTCGTAGGTGTAATCTCTATTGTTTTTATCTAGGCGGGTGCACGTGGTTCATGGGGTGAGAAAGCGAATGCTGATTTAAAATTTACTCGCGGTAAAAGTTTTCGTCATGAAAAAACGAAAAAGAAACGTGGTTCATATCATGGTGGTAAAATTGATTCGGTTAATACATTTTCAATTAAATTTGATGACTCAGATGGCTGAGCAAAAAAAGAAAGAAAACTTTCCTTTGTCTGTGTTGATTCATTGTTACGTTTGTTTTTTGACGTAAATAAAAGAAAAGAAAGAAATATCGAATACAATGAAAAATAAAAGAAACTCAGTTAGTTGATGTAAATTTATATATACTGACGTGTCACAGAATGAGTCATTAGTAAGCAAGTATGCACGGAGATAAAGACACAGAAGAAGAATTCTATTTCGACTATGTTCGATTATTGGTGGAAAATCGAATGCTTCATCGATCGGGCTACTATTTAGGTGCATCAAATCAATGGGTTCGCATTTTTACCATAACCGCTCGACGATATTGGCTCGCACAAGCCACATGTGAACATCTTACAGCCGATTGGAAAATACATTTTTCTATTCGACCTCGAGATATTCCTTTGGCGTTCAATCTTCTATCAGAACTTTACTATGACATGAGATTACCTGTAGGTCTTAAAGCTCGATATCCGGATCATTGGAAAGATTTTGACAATACATGGCCTAAACATATGTATGGGCGAGAGATCACTGTCTATATACTACTCTATGAGTGCACATCAAAAACTCATCAAACAATGCTTTATTCTAACAGTGATTTAAGTAAAGCAAAAGGAATGATTAATTGGGATTTATCAAATGTAGGAGATATATATCCAGTGTATGAGTTAACACCTAAAGATCAAATTTCGCTTGAACGATATCTTGATTATGTTGATCAAGCTGAAGACCTACTTGAAAAACATCAAATCAAATCCAATGGATGTGCTATTGGCGATTATCCGATTGGAAAATATACATCGTTACGTAATGAAAAATTTGTTGCTATTGACGACAATGATACTCGTGAAAAAATACGACTTATCTATCCACCAAACGAATGTGGTTACAATGGATCGAATGATAGGATAGATTTAACAAAAGAAATAATTGATTTAAATACATATCGAAAGCGTAAAAAGCAAAAGCAAATAATGAACATTTTATTTTTTCTCTCAAGTTCCTTTTTCATTTTCTTTACTTTGAATAAATTAATTTTTTAATAATAAAAATATCTTTGAAAATGGGAAAAATACGTGCCAAAAAAGAAATAATTCTGTTACCTTGGGTCGGTTAATTATCGATCGAGACACATATTTAGATAAAAAAATAGACAACTACATATTTTGATTAGACTAATGTTTCTTTGATTGATGCAAAATGGATATTCTCAGTTGAATGTGTGATCATAATGAAATATTCTTTACCGCGGCCTCCAATTATCAATCAAGTATGTGTAAATCGATGTATACTTGTCAAGCCATTCGAGCGGCTCATTTTCTCTTTTTTTTGCAAGATTCATCGCTTACTCTTTGTACAAGTAGAAAAATGAAACGAAAGACTAGAGAGATATGCGTTGGCTATGTTAAAATACGTTGTTGCGATACGGTTCACAGATTGTGCATATACATGATCGTTGTTCACTGAAAAAACGAGAGAAATCGAGACAGAGCGTATGTGTCTCTTCTTCTTCTTTTTTATCATTATCTATTTCACGCGATTGTGAATATGAAAAAAATCATACATTTTAAAAATAATCACTCTGTGTTTTACTATCATTTAGTTCATCTCTCAGCTATTAATTATGCAGCAAGGCTCTACGCCACCGATTCAAACACATTATTCTCCACATTATCATCAATATCCTATTGCTCCAACATTATCAGCATCGTCATCGTCGTCGCTTCTTGTGGCTCAATATTATTCATCGACAAATAGTCCTCAATCAATTAAATCTGCTGATACATCTGTATACGGATCTCATGTATCGCCGTCGAAAAGCTCGGCATTTCCAAATATTTCATCGGCATCATCACGTTCAAATGATGTAGATTCACGTCGCTTAATTTTGCTTAATTTACCTATTGATCTTATTCGAGAATATCTCGAACTTTATTTGGAACATTTATCCGGCGAAGCCGAAATCGAACGCATCGAATATTCTAATCTTGAAGATACAACTGTAATGGTCACTTTTAAAACTGATCTCGGTTAGCATCGTTTCTTTTCTTGTTGAAATCTATTTTTGTCTACAGTTAACAGAACGTTTTTTGTTTTGATTAAGATCTGACGGAGGTACGGCGTCGTCATGCAGGCCGGCCAAAATTAAATGAATCTGAGATTTCTATCATTGAAGTTACACCACCAGCAACTGTAATGATACGCAATCTACCATCAGATATATCACGCGACGTACTCGAGTTGTATTTTTCAAATCGACGTCGTAGTAATGGTGGTCAAGTTATTGATGTTACACTTTATGATGAACATCAACATGCACTGGTCACATTTGCTGATCATAAAGGTTGTCAAAAAGAAACGAACAAAATTTGACTTTTCGAGTCTTTGAATATCGTTTTGCTTTTCTCTCTAGACGTACGTCGAGTTATTAAACATGAACATTTAATACATGGACATCGTTTAGATGTACGAATTTATTATAAACACATGGGCATTGAACCGTTTATCGATGCATCGAATATTGATAAACAACCCGATCCAATACGTTATCGTGCTTCTGATGATAGTCGCTATTTGTTTTTACTTAAAAATCGCCCATTACTTGAAGAACTTCGTGAAAAATTAAAACCATTAAATGCCACTGTTAGTCTACAAACCGAAGGTTCGTTAGAAGTAGTCTATAATGGTACACGTTCAACAGTTAAACGACGTTTACAATGGGCGAATGATGTCGAAAAATTTGTTGAATCTTTTCTCAATGACCGTCTTGCTATTTACAAAGTCCCGTGGAATAACCACAAAATACCAGTCATTACCTGTGAACAACTTGCCGATCTTTCGCTGAAAGATAATACACGTCTTTTTCAATTGATACCTTCAGAAAATCAGCCGGATAATATAAAAGTAACAGCATTAAAAGATCATCTCGATCGAGCTCTCAACGAACTTACTGATATGTTGACAACATCGAAGATAACAACAAACAATACGATTCCTTTGAATGATGCAGTTTATCGCAGTAAACCATTTACGCCAGCACGTGATCCAAAAGTAAATAATCATCGTTCATCAGTATTCCTTCGTTCATCGCCATTGAGACGAAGCATGCATAATGCTGAATTACCGTCGTCACTGTCAAAAACAACAGTCGACGATTATATTGATAATTTACGCTTATATCAACTTGATCTACTTGCGATGCGTTTTGTTGATTTAGCACGACATACGTATCTAAATTTAAGCATTGATATCGACCGAACAGGCCGACGAGTTCATCTATGTGGTCCACCTGATCAAGTCACTGTTTGTAAAAATTATTTTGAATCTATACTCAATAGTCTAGTTCATAGACATTATAAAATAGGAAAAGAACTGGCAGTTTTTCTATCGAATCCTGATACAGGTAAAAACAACTTTTGTTTTCTACAATTTCATAAGAAAAAAGTTGACATTCGTTTTCCGTTCATCTAGTCGAATTGATAATTGGGAATTTAGTAGTTGCGGATCATGTGTGTGCCTACGAAATTGAACGTATAAGTAATAATCATCGGCGAAGTTCAGCATCGCCAACAAGAAATCTCAATACGGTCGATACATTATCAAATAATAACGGGAGTTACCATCACAAACTTATTCTCTATAGTTTAACACGTGATACTTGTGATCAAGTTTATGATTTAATTCGACGTGATGTACACATTAGCTCGATAATGCTCGATAAAGATGATAAACGTTGTTTGACAAGTGACTCATGGAATGGACATATACGTGATTTGTATTCAAGTTCGGGTGGTTTTCGGCGTCGGCGTGTGCTGGTACAAGTCAAGCAAAACCATTTGAAATTAGTTGGTTTTAAACAAGATGTTGATAACATGCGCAAACGTATTAATGATTATTTTGTTGAAAATTCTATTTCATACTATGAATCAGATTGAATTATGTAGAAAAACCAAACGACATTTGAGGAAAAAACAGAATTATATTTATCAATCTTTTTTTCTTTTTTTTTTATGTTGTTTTTAAAAAGCTTTATCGTCTTGTTTACCGATTTTAGAGTTAGATTTATGTATGCTATAATATTCAAGGAATTTTACTAAGTTGGAATTTAACAATAAATTCTTTGTTTTACCCAAAAACAATACGATCAAAGTCTAAATATTTGTAGCAATGGACTTAGTTCTATGTTTCAAAAGGGTCTTAGGAGAATTTTGTTTTATAAAGAAAAATCTGGTAATAACATCGCTGCAATAACTATAATATTCTCTATTGACGTTGATTTATTGTTGAAATGATGCAATCAATGAAAAGAAACATTACACCGTTTTGCTGGTGTGCTTAAAAGCCGTTTACCGCCTCTGCAAAAACGAAGGATTTTGTCAAAAAAATGAAAATTGATATGAGTGTGTCATTAAATATTAGATAATATTGGCGAACAAAATGGTTTTTCATCATACAATAGGCTTAGAAAAAAAAGAAAACGATTTTTTGAAGATATACAAGTACCAAACAGAGGGAATTGCATGCAATCTGCTGTAAATGTTTATTAGTGAACTAATTGAAGATGTTGTTTTGAAGTATTTTTACATTTCAGCACTTTACATCATATTCTGATATAACAACGGCGGATTTCATATTTCAATTAAGGTAAACAGGACTTGAAAAATATGCATAACGCTAGATGATTGTCTAACAAATTGTACTGATTTTCAATGTACCTGTCTACGAAGCTCGGGCACCATCAAACACGTCAGACGTCTCGTTTGGTATCAATTTCAATAATAAAAGTGCAAAAAGAAATGATTCAAAAACACGTTTTTCTTGAAATGAAACTTTAAAAATGATTCTCTAACAGTTTTCTACCTCAATAAAAGGCGCAACCAAATAGTTGCGTTTTCATATGAAGAGTTGCGGTTAGAACTAGCGGCTATCTTCTTTCTTTGGAAAACAGGACTCTCTCTCTCTCTCTCCTGTTCGTTCTCATGGTTCTCTTTAAATTAAAGAAAATAATTAATCGCTAGATCCAAATGTACCCATTAATTATAATTGGAAATATTCGAGACCACAAAACTGCATTCATTTCCCCGAATACACTAACTTGAAGATCATTTTTTCAGTGAACTCAAGGGTGTGGTTAAAATTCAAAAATATATTTAAAGGATTACAAACAAAAACCAACTCTTAAATATCTTTCATGAAAAATAAACTCATTGTTTTTCTTCAGTATCATGCAGCATACATTGAATATCTTTTAATTCCACTTGCTTCTGTAAACGACGTTCAACAATAATTTTCGACACTCCAAGAATCACTACACTAACAATAACCAACGCTGAGCCAATGAGTGCAAATAAATTTGATCTTTTCGTTGTAAAAATATTCTGGAGAATTAATGCAAAAATAATATCAGCTGAACCGAGAAGTGTGTACACAGCTGGATGTTCACGTTTAATAGCTTTTTGTGATAAAATATTTGGAATAATGACAATAGTACCAAGCGTCGATGCTAATAAAAATCGCCACGATACAACATAATCAAATGTGAATCTAGTTTGAAGAAAAAACTGTTTATGTAGTTGATACGCGAGAAGAAAACTAAATACTGCCAAGCAATAATGAAGAGTAATTACGCTTGGTTTAATCGTTTTCGATGTTGAAATAAGTTGTTTGAATGCGAGAACATTTACCGCTGATGCTATTGCGCTACTAATCGATAGAGACAAGCCGAGTGCACGAAGTTTACTGCTAATAAGAACAGCAGAAGATACTTTTGATGAAAATATAAAACTTGGTTGTGCAACAAGAATAACACCAAGAAGAGTAAGAGGTATAGATATCAAGGAAACTTTTGATGGTCGTTCTCGATAAAGAATAATACTGAGAACTGATGTCCAAACGACTCTTGTATATGCTAAAGTTGTAACATCGGGCAATTCGATATAACGTATAGCAAAAAAATATAAGAAGAAACTTCCGGCACCTGTTCCACAACATAAAAATTGTGAAAATATTTGAATACCTGCGCCCGGAAGCAATTGGTAATTTTTTTTATGTGCATAGAGGATGTTGGATGTTATTTGAACAATAAAACGTATGAAGAATGCGTCAAGCAAATCAATACCCAATTGTTTTATGATAAATGTTGTACAAGTAAAGACAAATGATGCTACCAATGCATACATAATACCAGAAAAACGTGTAGCCCAACTGAATTTTTTCAATAAACCATTTTCAATGTCTGAACGGTTAATACTCAATGTTGATACAGCCGGTGGAATAAGAACACTTGGTTCAATAGGAGCATCATCATACTCCAATTTATCAGTTTCATCGTAGAAAATTTTTGCATTCGGCGGCATGACAGAGCGTTAATAAAGAAAAAGCAGCCGATGATACTTGTGACTTGCTAAAAGTGTAGCTTCAAATCAATAACGACAGCGACGTAAATAATAGCGAGTAATTTAAAAAAGTGGGATGAGGCGACTTACGAGTACTACTTTTATACATAATGGAATTAGAGTAAAATGAGGCCAATAAATTCAAATGCAACAACGTACCTTTCACAATTACGAATCAGCGACTAAATGACGAAATTGATTTACTCAATAATACTACTGTTTGATGGTTTCCAAAGAGATATTTTATTTGATGACGAGATAGTATACATGTGTAGAATAAAGATTGACAATGTTTTGGTGTGAAAGAGGTTTCACCTTTCTTTTCGATCAAGAATAAAGCTATTTAGCACGATTCTTTCAATGACAATCATATCTAAAGTTCTACCTACATTATTCGTTTAGTCTCTTTTTTTTTGTTGAAAAAAATGCACTTCCGGAAGAATGCTTTGAGTTATTTTTTCGATTCAAAGAGAAAATTTTGTTGCTCGCTTGTCACTATTCACTGATTGGTTCGATTTTTCGTATTAAATTATTTGGAGAAAACTTGACGATACTAAATTCATACATGCAGACATAACTTATTTATCATAGCTCACGTCATTGGTATTGATGAGATCAAAAGACGCTTATGAAAAATTCTCGAACTGTCTTAATATATAGTCGATCATCTCTACTCTTCTTCGTTTCTAACTGTTGCACTCTATTTCCAAAGACGTGGAAAGTGAAGCAACGAACTATTGGCTTTAAAAATATCATCGAGTTCTACAAAAATGAATGAACGGCCGACCGTTGAAGTTATACGCTGACTGTTTGTTAACTTTCAGTTTATTTTAAATAATCAGACATGTTTTAACGATTAACATTTTTATCTTTTTGTTTTCGTTCGCTGAACATCTTCGGATTCAATCTGTAATAAAACACGTGTGTATGTGTCTCTCTTTCGTTCTTGTTCAACAGTTAGCGTTCGATCGTGGTCTTCACAATCATTTACATCTTGCATTCGACATGTGCATGTTGTTTTTCTCGATTCAGCATCTAAACCGGTAATGCGATGTACGAAAGTAAGTTTTGTTTTTCTTCAAAAATTCAATGCATTCATTACAAAAAATACTTTTTTCAAATAGATATCAATAATCCAATATCATTTATTTCCCATTATGAGACGATTTCAACGTCACCTGTACGATCATCATATGAAAATAATATGCAGCAGCCTATTTATGTATCACTTGAATCAACTGCATCCGATGATATTTCAAAACCTCATAGAGACACAATACCGAGCATTCCTCCATTTCAAAGGAAATTTCCTGGTTTAATAGTAACGATTCTAGGCATTTTTGAATTATCTGCTGGATTTATTGTACTTACACTTGAATTGCTTACTTTCGACATTGCTTTTGGACTTTGGTGTGGTGGTATTTATACACTGGCTGGTGTTGCAATAATTGTGCTCGGTTTGTTTATAAGAAGAAAATAAACTTCGAATTTTGAAATCTCTATTTTATTTAGTTGCTGTTACCAATCGCGAACGTCATCAAACATCAGTTATATTGATTTTTCAATTGATTGGTAAGAACATACCAGTTCGTTTTTGTTAAAGTATATTTTCTGATTTCTTAGCATTGACGTTTACAATTACTGAACTCCTATTGCATAGCGATTTATATCGAAAAAGATGTGTAACCAAACCAAATGAACCCACGCGTGAATTAACATTTTATTGTCAATTTGTTATTGTTCAAATGGCTGCTGCCGTACTAGTATTTATTTGTACGATTGTTTTTTCGATAATCTACTTTCGAATAACCATGATTGTACTTAAACAATCACATGGAACTTTCAACATGTCGAATGCGATTAATTTAACGGCTTGTTAATGATTTTGAATCTGGCGATTGCATTTTATTTTCACTTCTGTTGTGTATTGTATGTATATCTGTATCTACATGTTATCTAACTAAGATAAACTCACACTTTTTATTTTTATTATTACTATTACTATGATTTTATCTTATTTTTCTGATAAGAAAAACTTTTAAGAATATATTATGATGACCGCATAAGATTCGTTCGTATTCTTTTTTTTCTTTTCCTCATAGATATGGATTCTCTATGATAACGAATCATTTCTGATGCATGCTTTGAATAATTTTAATTTTTGGTGAGCACCGATTTCTGATCTAGGGCATAGAACACGTTCACCTATTATCATCACCAACCCGAGTCTTTTTTTTAGGATGAAATTCTTTATCCGATGTATTCGGCTATGGTCAATTCAAATCTGATCGATAAATAAAATTTAGACACGTCTTAGCATTACATATAGCCTAGCTAGATGGGAGAATCAATCAAAATATTGTAGTTTTATGTATAAAAACTTTGTCCAGCATCATTTTTTAATTAAAGATTAGAAAAAACAAATATAATTCACTATTTTAAAAATATGTCTATTCTTTGTGACACAATAAATTTAGTGTCCACAAAAGCATAATTGCTAATATCACTTTAACAATACCATTCATATCTAAATTTTGTATATTAGTCTGTTCAGTAGGTTGTGTTGTTGTTAGACGATCAACTAATCTTAGTAATACTTCATTTTGATCTAATGATCTAGTTAAAAGGTGCTCTAAAAGTTGACTATCATTATTTTGTTTATCGTCTTCTTCATCTGATCGGTCGCTGTCAGTTAATACTTGTGATGTTTCAGTGAATAATTCTTGACGAAGCTTACTAATAAGATCCGATAATTCATTTTTTTTTAAACGAGTTAATTGACCACGTTTCTTTTTAATTGATTGTTTATATTCACGTATAATTGCATCAAAACGGCGAGAATTTACATTTTGCGCAGAACTAGATATGTTAGCGTGCGTTGCTGACATTGCTGCTGATCTCATTGGGTTTACCATTGAAGAAGGTGCAGGAGTACGACCTAAATTAATTATTCAATCATTTTATTTTCATTGAAAAAAATAATTTACGAGGCTGCACAGATAGTTTCCTTTCAACGTGTGTTATTTGGCGAATTAGTTCACCGAATGATTTATCGAAATCTTCAAGCTCCGAAAAATCAATATGATAATTCGAACCTTTTATGATACCCAACCAGCTTTGTGCGCGAAACGATTTTTCCATTAAGCATGGAATAAATTTAATACGATTTTCTGCAGCATATTCAGCTTCTACAATATTCAAGTAATAAGATTTTGAAGGTCATAAAAAAAAAACGTTTTTCTTACCTAATCGACAATATTCACTTTCATAATATTGCTGATTAATACAAATGAGAACAATATAAGAATTTTCTACGGCTCGAGCCATACTAACAAGTATGTCATCGCCCATATCTGTTAAATCCATCCAAACTTTATAATTTCTTTTCTAAATTATCAAAACTAAATTGTTCTTTATTCAAATTATCTTTGTGTAATAATTACCACTAGGCCTTCATAAATTTTCTGGCATGTTTCACGTGACGAACGATTATAACTAATCATAATGTGTCGTTTTTGTTGGGGATTATCATTTGTAGTCGATAGAGTTGTTGGTTTAGGAACAGTGGACGAAGCTTGAAATTGAACATCAATTTAAGTTTATTAAATATCTCAACTTTACTCTTTTTTTTCTTCTTTTACCTGTTTCTGGTTCAGACAATGGTTCAACAGTGCTACTGTTGAGTTGTTCTGTTTCGTCACTATCTTCAACGAGATTACCATCTTGCTCAGTGTTTGTTACATTAGAGACACTTTCATATAGTAAAGATAATTGTTTCGCAGCTACATTAAGACTATATGTAATATCACTGGGTAGTTCTGCGACTGAAACAGTTGTATTTGTACTAAGTGACGTAATTTGCTCATTATCATTGCATAAAGCTAATGACGATAATAACGCCTGATTGATCTGTTGCTCTTCACCAAGCGTTTCTATTGCAATAAAAAACGATTCAAGATTTCATTGTTAAACAACAGCTTACCATCATTACGTGTGTCATTTGTTGCATCTAAATTAAGTGCAGCATCGACCATTTCCTATGAAGAAAAACAAAATATGAATAGTATATTTATCGAAAAAAAATCATTTTATTTTCTGTTGACTCACTCGAAATTCATCGAAATTTGAGGGTTGACTATTTTCAGATATTTGTATTGGATAATCATTTGAATTAGATGCTTCTTCGGCCATAACTATTCGATTTTTCAATTAGTTATGAAATTTCACCTTATACTGATAAATAAATAGATTTAAAAGAACAGAACGTTTGCGTCAAAACACACTACTTTACCTGTAAATATATTGTGTAGTAAAAAAATGACGTGTTGGACAAACATGATTGATGTCGCTTTTTAGCCTTGTAGATGTACATTTACATTCAAATATGATCATATAAGAGAGAAACTATGATTTCTTAGATCAATTAGACGTGTAACCAAGCAGGTGAGTATAGTTCAAGGTAGACGGTGAGTCACTATTCATCCACGTGATCCTTGATTGGTTATTATGAGCACGAATCTTATTTATTGTTTTTGAGTAATAATAATGTAAAAAAACAGAAGCTTTTATCGCACGACTAGAGCATGCACTTTGGAGAGAATTAGATTTTCATAATAGCTCTTATGATTCATATATTAAACACTACATGAATTGAAGATTTTACAATTTCACTAGTGATATTCAACGAATCTTATGTAAATCTTTTGATAATACAATAATGTTTATACATCCTTTCTACTATAAATCATAACATTTTATTACATATTAAACTCATGAGCAAAGCAAATGAAGTAATCGATAATAATCTTTCATAAACAGATAACACTGTTTGTTTCGATTTCAAAACTTTGACCGCCCAACAAAGATCAAGTTTGTACTTTGAATTAAAAGAAATAAAAGTTTAGAAGTATATTTGCAAAGTATCGTATTTTCAAGTGTGTAATTTCTATATGATTTGATGAACGACTTAATTTTGAACAAAGTGATTTGAAGTGTTAAATTAAGCATTTGAAAATTTCAGAACAATACAAGATTCACACCGTGATAGTCACTTAGGGGCGTTCTTCAAAGCAATGTTGACAATTTTAGAAGAGTATTGTATAATCATAATTATATATATATATACATATGAAAGATTTCAGATACTAATTATCCATTTACTGTACGCTACTCAATACTCTGGCATACATCACGATATTATTAGTTTGTAGAAAGAAACTAAAGGTTAACGAATAATGTCAGTCATACTAATGATAGACGCACGCGATGTAAAAATTATTACTTCAAAAGGTCAACAAAAAAACATAAAAATCTATTGAAAATCTAAATTTTCTTTTTAGTATTATTATTTTAGTGCTTGCATTCAAGTATTTATTGTTCACATGTATCGTTCGATTGTGTAGGGTACATGTAACCGTGCCTGAAAAGAAAGATCGCATTCTTGTCACTTGCCATCATATGGCAAGTAATCGGCCCTCAAATAAAATGTAAGACTCTTGTCCTGTACTAGCTATGAGATGAGATGAGATGAATTCCTCTATCTCACCAAATGTTCAGTATTATTCCAGATGATTGACTTTGAACAATAATTAACGAGAGAAAAATAAATTGTCAGTCATGCTTTCATAATGATTATGGTTAATTTAACGGAGTTTCTATGTTCGCTAAGAAACAAAGATTATCGCCTGTCGAAATTTCAACATGATTAAAACAGTGATGAAACTTTTTTTGTCGTCATTAAAATCATAGGAACAGAAACGCTGAGTAATGACCATATTTATCTACCTGTTTGTTCTGTAAGCGATGATGAAATGCGATCACATGATTGTTTTTTTTATACGTCGTAATATTTTTCGTCTTGTAGGTATTTTATTTGTCTTTCAAATTTAAGCATTGTTACGGCATCAGCAGCATGAACAATGGTTTTGAAAGGTGTAGCAGCGATGCTGGCTCGAATAAGCCGAGTGATATTTTCCCATCCAGTAAAACCCATATATCCTTCTCATCGTGTTCATGAAATAGTACACATCAATAAAAATTCTCAAAGTTATTCAAAACAACCATTACGTGCAAGTTTGTTTTCATCGTTTTCTTACAATGGGCAACCCATGGGCCGTTACCATCAAATCTTTCAAATTTACTACCACCATATCGCACTATACTAAACGAACTCAAACGACGATTTTTCTTTGCTGGTTGGTTCTTTTGTGCGTTTTCTTTTTTGACTTCTGCGTATACGCATTTCTCTCCCTCTCTCTCTCCCTCTCTCTCTCTATATATATATATATGTATATGCATATCAGTACTCAGCTTTCTTCTACGCACTTAAAAGTAACGAGCAACAGAGAGAAAAATAGGAGTTTTTTGTGATTGTTCTTTGATGTACGTACATTGAAAAACGAATTCATGCCATCTAGAAAGGAGAAGAGAAGTGGTAATAATAAAACCACAGAGACAGAGAGAGAACGAGAGAAATAACTAGAATTCTCTTTTTCTTCGTCTTCTAGTAAAACATGCATAGCACAGATCATCATTAAGCAGGCCAAGACAAGTGAATGTCGTCGTCGTCGTCGTCGTCGTCGTCGTCGTCCAACATTTGAATAGTAACAATAGAGGTGAACGAGCGAACAAATGAGCTTCTTTTCTTTCTCTCTCTCTCTGTCTCTGTTTCTATCAACTAGTTATTGGTCTCGAGGGAATAAAGGATGCTGTGCTAAACGACCGTCAGCATATAGCGAAGCGCAGACAATGATGATAATGTGATGTGATGTGATGAGAGGAGATGACACGAAGAACAACTGTTAGAAGCTCTACCCTTATCATCTTCGATAAGCAATCTGAAACCATAGTATGAGTGGTTATGTGGATTACATTTTCCAGTGTGCTCGTCTAATGTATCGATTTCTTTGAAATTAGTTGACCCGTTTTTATTTGTACTGAGTTTTTTCTCTCTTGGGCTGTTAGTAGACTGGAGTAGTGTAGCATAAATAACTGATTAATTTTTCATCAGAGAATATTTGTATACTATTGAGAACAATAGAAAGAATAATTTCAAATAATCAAATATTGATTCAATAAAACAAAAAACTTCAGCCATAACATCTGATTTAGTATCGACTTGACATAGGAAAAATAAATTTCCGGTTCACAGTGATTCTCTGTCTTCCTTCCGATTTTGAAACCAAACATAAACGTAATATTTTTCTTCTCAAATAAATCTTATCATTACTATTTGCATAGTATCTGCTCTTTCTTTTTTTTAGCTCCGACAAGTTCACGTCTTGCTTTTAGTCTTCTCGGCTATTCACTTATACCACAATCATCATTTGATTTTGTTCATCGTAACGAAACCATCAATCAAGTTTGTCATATTTTAGAAAAAACTATCAACGTGGATCAATTAAATGATGATAATGAAAAATATAATCGAGCATCGCTCGATGATTTTGAATTAGGTCGCTTACTTGGCTACGGTTGTAACGCAGCTGTATATGAAGCACGAATTCGCATACCGACAGACGGAATATCTCGTACAACAATACCATCAGAATTTATAATTAATGATGAAAACAGCAATGAAAGCGATACCGAAATACTTTCACGTCAATCATCGAATACTTCATCAATTTATGAGGGTGTGCATGATAACCTTGACGATGAAGAGCGCCTGCATGAGTTAACATTAAAAGAAGGTATGATAGAGGCTTCCTATCGTAATGAAATAAAAAGAAAGGCTTAAAACATACGGAAATTAATTTAATATATCGATGAGAAAAACAACAATCAATTTTAAGAAACTTAATAACCTTTTTTCTTGTTAGTTTTAATAATATCGGTGTAAGCATTCAATTCGATGAATATGAATAATTATCAATTTTGTGAAGTATCGTTGAAAGAAGAAGGACAATGTGAATATAGATGACAAGAGATATGGTTGTTTAATAGCTATTCGCTTACTTCAGAATAAGTGGGATGCGAAGACAGCCGATATCCGTTTGTAATAAGAACAAAGAACAATCTTCTTGTGGTGATATCTAATCATTGAAACATGTTTTCTTTTATCGTGCGTGTTTGAACGTTTTATATATTCAATATATTACGTAGCTGCCAGATGCTTTACCTCCTTGACAAATATTATCAATCAAAACAACAGTAAATGATTATTTCACAGCCGAGATAAGACATTGACATAGAGACTTCGAGGACAAATATTTGTACAGAAATCGATTATTAAATTTGCTGCTATCAAAATTAGATTGACTAGAAAGAGCAATTCTATAATTTTAGTTCGATATCGAGCTGCAACTAACATGAATAGATCATCAAATAGTGAATCTAATTTATTACCAGGTAAATATTTATTGAAAAATAATCAATGAAAAAGTTTTTACCCGGAAATTTTAGCTGGCGAATTTAATTTAGCAATAAAAATGTTATTTAATTATGGCACTCAATCCAACGCTGAAGCCCTTGAGAAAGCTATGGATAAAGAGTTATTGCCACTACGTAAATGTTCTTATCATCCAAACATTGTTCGAATGTATTCATGTTTTGTTGACTCATTTCCACTGCTAAATGAAGCATATGTACACTATCCAATGGCAATACCAACAAATATATCGCCAGATGGTTATGGAAGAAATAAAACTTTGTTTATTGTTATGCGTCGTTATGATTTAACATTGAGTGAATACATTCACTTAAGTAAACCTACTCATCATGAACGGTTATTACTTTTTGCGCAATTATTAGAAGCTTTAGTATATTTAAAACGTCATTCAATTGTTCATCGAGACGTAAAAAGTGATAATCTACTTATATGTAGTTCAACTGGTGAACTTGTTCTAGCTGATTTTGGTTGTGCTTTATATCAACCACCTAATTTAAAACAATCGTATACAACTGATGAAATTTGTAAAGGTGGAAATCTTGCACTAATGGCACCAGAAGTAAGTTTTATATTTTGTCAAACTTAATGACCCATGTAATTGTTTTGATTGCGTGTGTGAATATGAAAAAAAGAGTCAAGTAACTTCTAAAACACAGACCATCAGCTTTTTTTTGAGCGAGAGAGAGATTTGCGAGACTACGTGTTTTATGGATTGAAATTAGGGGTGGACCATTTTTTTTTAACGGAACTTAATTAATGAAATTAATTAATGACTTCCATTAGCCATTAATCTTAATGGCTAATTTTTTCTGAGAAAAACATAATTCATTAATATTAATGAAAAACATTAACATTAATTTTAAAATTAATGTTTTCATTAATCATTAATATTAATGTCAATGTTCTTGAATGATATTAACGGTTAACGGAAACATTCACCATTAGTATGAATGGTAATGTTTTCGTTAATATTAGGGATTATATTTTCATTAATCATTAATATTAATGTTAATTTTTTCATGAAAACATTAATTTTTCCATATTACTGAATTAGGTTTTTCTAAGGAAACATTATCTACAATTATTAATCAATTAACTGGTCTTAATAGCTAATGTTTTCTCCGAAAGTGTTAATTACTTAATATGGACAGTTATAATGCTTTCATGAAAACATTAACCATTAATATTAATATTAAGTCATTAGTTTTAATGAAAACATTAACATTAATATTAATGTTAATGGCCCACCCCTAGTTGAAATCTTACTTGATTGAAACCCTAGATATTGTCTTTATTTCTATGCATTATTAAATCTAGAAAGGTTTCTAAATCTGAGACAGCGTGATAACTCAATACTATGAATTTCACTTGACATACTTCTATTGCATAATTCTCTCTTTTTATTTTGTTAAATCAGATCGTGCTGTGTCAACCTGGCCCAAAAAGTTATCTCGATTACAATAAAGCTGATCTTTGGGCAAGCGGCACGTTATGTTATGAATTTTTTTCTCTACCAAACCCATTTTTCCATGGCTCATTTCGACAAGAAACCTACAGTGATCAACAGCTACCGCCACTTCTTCCTCTAGCATCACCACTTATCGAACGACTTGTTCATTCGATGTTGCGTAAAAATCCTAAAGAGGTATTATATATATGCATACATCTCTTTTCGTACATTCAATTCTATTCTTTATTTAGCGGCCATCAATATCTTGTATCAGTAATTGTATTCAATTATGCCTTTGGTTCAATTCGACAATATTAAAAATGAATAAAAATGACTTTTATCAGACATATATGTGGACAGCATTAGAAACATTATTTAACAAACGAACATTATCAAGTGTTGAGCTTAGTTTGAAAAAACTTTTCTGTCAACGTCAATCATCTCAATCATTGTATGAAGCACAATCATATCTTAATCAACTTACAGCATAAGTTCAAAATAATCAAATTTCTCTATTTTATTTTTCTATATTCTGTACAGTAACATAAAACCAGAAAAACAGTACTGCGTCAGGTGGTATTTTTTTTCTCTCTCTCTCTCTCTTTCGTCAATTGATGACACAAGATACATGTATGCGATAAATGAGTGTGTTTTTTATTTGAATAAATACGATAGTGAATAAGCATTTTCAAAGACCTTGATAATCCAATTCGCGATTAAGTTGAATGGCTGCACAGCATGGGCAACATGTTGAAATACAACAGTCTTTAACTAAATTACCCTGAAAAAAGAGTTGAGAGTATTTTTTTGTTATAATTTTTTTCAGTGCGATCTCCCATTTATGTGAATTTCTTTTATTCTTGAAATGTCAGTTTATCACATATGAATCTACTAATATTAAATGCATTGATTTTCAATAAGTATGCAAACCTTTCAGTCTATTACATTTGAAAGGTCAAGATTGAAATTCATCAAGATCTTTCAAAAATATTTTATCTCAAATTTTTTAATATTCAACGCAAAATTGCTTGCGAATATATATATATTCGAAGATACGATTAGCATTTCTTGTCTTATTCTAGCTGCTAATCTCCAGCGTATTCCATCGAGCCTAACTCAATTGATATCGTATTTCACATGAGGAAAATAGTAGTTGTCTGTAAGATAATGAGTTCTCCCCAAGCGAACAATTATTGGCGAAAAATTATCTTTGGCCTAAGGTTAGATCTAATGATGTTCACAACTAATCAGATCAGTTCTTGGTAAAAATAAAATGATTTTAGAGGCTCAGATTTTCATTTCAACAACATATTCTTATCTGATTTATAGGATATATGTTGTAACAAAACGGAGAAAAGAAATAGATGTCAATTTTTCATACGAATGAATACGTGATAGAATGAATATTTCAAGATCATCGCATAGTTTGCTCTCTTATCTTTCGAAAACAAATACGAATTGTTGTTTTAAACTATTCAAAAATATGAATGAGACGTGATATAAGACAAAGCCTAGTGCAAATGTCTATTTTCAATCTTCGGATAATTCCTTAATAACTACGAAAAATAAAAGTAGAGTCCTGCAGGTCAACCTTGCCCTGTAAAGTAGGGCTAGGGTACAAAACTCGTAGGGCAGGGCAGGGTAAGGTTACAAAAAAAGATATTTAGGGTATAAGTAGGGTGTAGCTCATACAAATAAAAATTTTATAGAGGGGAACTTAATATATATTTCTGACATGTTTTTGATCAAAAACAGTGTAAAGAGTGATATCATAATCTAAATCGAATGGGTAGAATAACAACGAACGGAAAACAATGGCCTATTGTTTAGTACTATTTTTGCATAAGCTGACGAGTTCAGTCACTTTTGATTATTTGTCTAGTAAATGTGCATGTAAATGTAATAAAAAATATCTTCGAAATCATCTCGACATGAACGTATTGTTAGTACAAACGGGCGAGTTTTGAAAGAGAGAAGGCAAAATTTAAGTGGTGATGTTGTAAATGACATTTTATTTTTAAGAAACTTTCGAAATATTTATTAATTTTGTATTTGATTCTCGTTGAAGATCAATAAAATATATTGAAACAAAGTGAAGAAAAACTTCATACTGATTTTTGCTTGGACCTGAAACTCTAAGGATATGATAGGGTGTAAAATGAAAAATCTCTGTGATAGGGTAGGGTAAGGGTACAAAGCCCCTAGGGTAGGGCAGGGCAGGACAAGGGTACGAAGTTTTACGATAGGACAGTGTTAGGGTACAAAAAAGTCTTAACCTGCAGGACTCTAAATAAAAGGAAACTGTAAATAATATTTTACAGTAATATTGTTTTTTTCTACATAGAAACCTGAATACTCATCTTGTTAATTCTTAATCGAGTAAAAATAATTTATGGGGGCTTCAAAAGAATAACACCTTGAATCTACACTGAAGCAATAGAGCGCTATGTCTTCAGCGGGTCTATGGTTTGTGTACTTTCATGAAAGTAGGTCAACTATACTTCGAGCTACAAAAGACTACTCAAGTAAAAAAGGATCATCATATTGAAACCTATTCCTCGTAGTTCTATGTGACGAATGATCATTACTGATCAGTGAGATATTTCTCATACTCAATCAATTGAGCTCTAATTAAACAAAAGAATTCCATCGCGACGTGAAGAGATCGACTATGGTCAGTTTTATTTGAAAAAGACCTATAATTACCTCAATTCGAAATGCAGTACGAATTTTTGATCGAAGAGCATATCTTGCACCAGGACACAAACATGCCCAGCAAGTTTCACCGGCTCGTTTATATAATGCATATTCAAAACAACAGGGACAAAAGAAAGCAAAACAGCCTAAAACAAAACCAGTCGGAATCAATCGCTTTCCTATTGTAATTAATAGTATTTACATTGTTTTCCATCTGTACAACATGAGCAAATGGCATGTGACCATGGGTGTTCAAACTCCCAAACGCTTCTCCCGGGCTGCGTAACAACAACACTTCTAGGAGAAAAACCATGAAATACCTATTCAGAATAAATAGTTTTGTTGGTATTGACGTACACTTGAGCGACTTTTTGCCGACTTTTAACTTGTTGATCAGTGGAACGATGAGAATTTGCAAAGGCCGTATCTGGAGAACGTTGATGCCGAATCGGTTCTAAAGATCGAATAAAAAATCTTATGTTTTTTTTTTGATTAAAAATCAGAGAAAAATACATAAATTTATAGTCTCTGTTTAACTCTTCCGACTATGTTTATTTCATGATAGCTTGGGAATAAATAATGAGAACAACGTTATAGTTTTCATCCAGAAAAGCATAAATGTATACCTCGAGAGCGATAGTTTGTTGTCATGGCGGAAATAAACTCTCAGCACTTGCTAGTTGATGTTGTGATTGTTCACGTTGAGGCCTTCAATATTTTATACTCTAAACGAATCTCTTTTTCTCTCTCTCTCTCTCTCTCGTACTCTTTTTCACTTGAAATTTGAAAGAATCAGTTGAATGCCTTATTCTATGACTTATTTCTTTCTCTTTTCCTCTTAAACTAAAAATCGTTCGTTTATTGTCCACATACGTTTGCCTGCCCTTATCAACGACATAAATATAATGGAACGGCATTTCAATGTTTACTACAATTATTCTTTTTGAATGGCTTCAAATTCTTTTCGCTCTCTCTCTCTCTTTACTACCAGCCAACAATTAAGCTATCTAACTAGCAAGAGAACGAAGAAACTTGTTCGGTTTCTGTTGACGATAAATGAACAATAATTGATAGAGTCACGAGCTTCTATCGATATCAGATAGGAATTCAATAAGTGTATGCATACATACTCATGGCTGAATGTTTATTTTAACAAAAAAAGCAAAATAGGAGTCGTTGCCAACAAGAGTAATCAGTTTTCTTTCTTCTATAGACTATGCATTAGAACTTATTGTGTACTACTTTCACTTTCAATATGACATACTCTTGATTTGTTAAAGGATATTTTGATTATAAAAAAGTGGAAAATTTTCCATTTCTTTCAGAAGAGTTTTCACCGTGTTTTGTTAAATCATTTTTGTTATATTGTGGAAATTTTATTTTTTTCCCTTTTGAATACTGAACTATAAGGTGTTGCTTATTTTGTTTTGTTTTTAATAATACATCCTTTTGCCAATCATCGATAAGATTTATAGCTTATTACTATGTTCAAATATTTTCTTGTTTTCAAGCAGGCACAGACTTGTGTGCTAGCAGGGTGGCTTTTTGTTTTGAATTTAATATCGTAGGATTTATCGAAAATGATTTTCCAATATATGTTGACTAATTTTTATCGTCTCACGAAAGGCCAAAGAAAGTCAAATTCAGATGAACATTTTTTTGTTAGCTTAGAAATTCCTGATGGATTTTTGCAATTTGAGCTTTGACATGCGAGAGTATCAAAATCGAACGAAGGAAATTGACTTTTCTTTCAGCAATGATTTTCTTCACTATACACACATTATATTAGCGACCTTTTTCTATTTGTATAGAGTTACCGGCGAGGTCGTCCTCTACAATATGATTTAACAATGAAGAATCTCAAAGTAATGATTTGTGAATGATGAAATGGATTTTATAATTCTTTTTGTTTCGATAGATAAATGGAAATTCGACTAACATATTAAGTTTAAAATGATCTTTAGCACAGATTTCAGGCGTCGTTTTAAAAAAGAATACAAAAAGCCTTCCGGTATCTTTAAGCCCATAAAAAAATCAATGAAAATTTGATTCTCTTTCAGTTTGAAAAAATAAATATCTTATATTTCCGTTGCAATGATAAAACATTCTTATTGATTGTATCTCTGTACCGCGTGTAAATCATTTCATTAAAAAACGTGAATCTAAATCTGATGGAAATAACGGTAGACACCGATTTTGTAAGGTTTTGTCTTGTACATGAAAGGCGTCTTCTTTTTGTATCTTTGAATCGATCTATTTGTAAGCGAAATTCAAATTTTGTAATTTATATTTGTAGGTATACAAATATAGACCGATGATTGATTCGATTCTCCTTATCTAAAGAGAAAGAGGCATCTGTTAAAAGATAAAAAGAACGAAAACTTCTCTGTTCAAATTTATTCAACAAATACTTTACCTACAAGCCAAAGAAATTAAAGAAAAAAGAATGACATTCCTAAATTTCATAATTCAGTGGCTAGAAACTTTTTAGTATAGTTTTATTCTTGATGTTTATAAAAATATAAATTTAAGATTTTATTCATAACAGACAAAAACAAATCGAACATTACTTCATAATTTTTACATAAATTAGAACAAAAAACAAATTTCAGAAGAACTTACAAATATAGAAGATTTCATAAAAATTATCGAGAATTAAAAAATCACCTTTTATGTAGCAAATGGTTTTCTTCATTTTACTGGAGCACAAATTCCGCATAACAAAATTATACTAACAATGATGAGGAATATAAAAGCAACATAAGTTGCAATCATCAGACCGAAAGCACTGGAGAATATTGTAAATAGACAATAATTGGACGATGAAGAATTCGTTACATCAACTTTGTTAAAATTTCCATACACTCGTAATTGTATAAGTACAAAAAATATAACAGCACATGCCCCTAATATACCTGTTATACAACCTAAAGACAATTGATAGCAAACAAAAAACATTAGCTAATCCAAAAAAATCGAAAAAGCTGCGATGACCTTACCAACAAGAACCATAGACGCGCGGTTACTTTCTTGCGTATTTGGTTTTGGTGTTGCTTTTTCTTTTTTCTTTTTGTACTTCGCTGGCGTGATAGCATAGACAAATCCGAAACTTGCAGCGAAAAATATCACTTCAAATACGCCACCAATAGCCATCAATAACATAATGTCATTCATTATGGGACAGCCGGTCGTTTTTCCTATGTAATGGAAGCCGAAAGATAATTGGACAATAGGTATCGCAAGAGTTGCAAATATAAGAAAGCCAATAAATATTTGTCGCCACGACATAATGAAATTAGTTTTGGAATATTGATTTTGATTTAATTTCAATCTTACTTATTTGATTTGAAGTTTTTTATACAAAACTAGCCGTATATGATTCATGAAGCCTTTAACGTTCTTGTTATTGCGATACGGCACTTCTTACGACTCCTTTTTTTTGCAATTTCAATGTCACCGAATAGTAAATTTTTTCTCTTCTTTTTTTTCATCAACGGCATCGTCGTTCTCTTTTTGCTTTTTATTGACGAGTTTATTTAGTCGCTTCTCTTCCAAACAGCCACACAATACAGGCATTATGGCGCATAACATTCGATAGTTGACAATAATAAGAGAAAAAGGAAAAAAAGGAAAAGAAAAAACAAAACAAAACAAAACCAAGATGTTAACGCATATCCACGGTAATGGAATAAAATTGATTTATGGAAAAAAAAAGAATTGATCAGCGATAATAATGTTGTCAAAGAAGTATTTCACACTATAATATAGAAGAATCCACCACCTTTGTATATGTTGTATCACAGGATCGTGTTTAATCTTCTTTCACAAAATTATCTATTTCGACTGTATTTTCTCCTACAGTTGCTTCACCTGTGTTAGCTGAGGCTGTTAACGTTTCATTGACGTCAAATATTCCTATTTCACTTGGAATATAACGAGCTATGGTCATCTGTTCGGGATATAGCCATGGTTTATGTGAAGGTTGATTTTTGGCTTTCCAATTATCATATTTTGTACAAGCTTTACCTAATCTCTTCATTAACTAAACAAGAGACATGTTTGTTTTCGTTTTAATATTTCAAAAAAAAAAGAAAATCGCACCTTTGGCGCAAGTACTTTCGAAAGCTTATTAACAAACCAGGACGGTAAACTACCTAGAGAAAAAGCAGAAAAGGATAGATCTTATTAAAATAAGAATTATTTTGCATGTAAACCAACCTCCAGGATCTGATTGTGTCATGTAATAAAATGTACATGATGAAGGCCCTGATGGTACAATTAAATAGCCTGTCAGATAAGATATTCCACGAACGAAATTTTTGCGTGGTTGCTCACGCTACAAAGAGATACAACAACAACAATTAGCAGTAAACGTTGACTTAATGCAAAAACGAAACATACAAGATGATTGACAGAATGATTAATAATATATTTTTCACTATTACGTCCGAAATCAAGCCAGTAACGTTGTGTTACAAAGTCACGGTTTTTAAATGGTGTTGGACTTCTAACTACGAAACGAAACGGAAACAATAGCTTTACAGTAAAAATTATTCAAATTTTTTCTTACTTGAGTAATAACCTATATCACTGTTCGGCAGGACAGAACAGATTTCATAACCTTCTAACATAGCTGTGTCCCATGTGGAACGAAATGCACTATCGTGTATAACATCATAAAGTAATTCTGCTGATATGCCACTGAACTCTGATTGAACCTGAAATTGTTTGTATATACTTGGTTATTAGTAAAAAAAAGTATGTTTACACGTAGGACATTGAATGGCGATAGAGAATTGGTCTTAGTTGATACACGGCATGATGATTTGTCATAACATACAGTCCACCCTTGATCAGTTGTGCAGTCAAGTTTGAACTGACGAAAGTCTTTGTCTTCGGGTAGAAATATTTCCCCGACCTGCATCATTTTTTTTCGTTTTTTCTTTTATGTCAGCACAAATACACAATAGCAGACGCTGCTCGACGTGGCTTGCTCGTTACTCATTGGTTCCGTTCTCTTACAAGGCAAAATTTGAGAGCATTAATCAGTTCTTTGTAGACAAACATTGATTTTTCATTATCACTGCAAAAATCTTAAAATCATATCCTTTTTGTTTATTGAATCAATCATAACTGTTGATCAAGAATATCAAAGAAAATTGTTTGAATATTAGTTTAGATTCTGTTTCCATTCCAATCGATGTTTATTAGAGACATCTTTTGGTTTTACAGATTATAATGTGAATATGATATATGTGTCACTTTTTATGTGACGTGCTATTTTTTTTTATTATTAGCACATTATTGTTATGCGAATACGATTAACTGCCATAAATCTCCATATTTATGGTTCACTAAAAGGCATTTCTTAAAATAAAAAATGAAGAAAATTAAAAGTCTTCGTCGATTTAATTGTTAATTTAATCAAAAAACTTGCCTTGGATTATTTTCCAAAATGAAATTCTAACGATCACTCAACTATAGTGAAAGACTTCATTATTTGCACTTGTAGAATGTTTCATTTTATATTGTTTGTCTCCACATTTTGTCTTCTCGTTTTTTTTTCTTTAAGAGTATTGATATTTATAGTCGCCTTTTACTTTCTTCTCTTACATGATGAAACACCTATGCAAAGAAATTGATAGTATCAACACATAATGAAAGATAATTTTACCACTTCGACTATACTTAAAATAGGAAGCGATTAACATTAATCATTCGAAATCAAAGATGACGAGGGAAAATAATCTAATCTGATGATCAAAAGGCGATTTTATCAACTACGATAATTATGTCGCATGTCAAAGCAAAACAGGTCTGTATGCACCAGATGGATTGCGTAACTACTACAATTCAATGAAAACAAATCAACGTGATACAAATCTTCTTTTTTTGCATTGAATAATTTACTATTAATAAAAAAAATTTAATTATCCGAAATATTTTTCTACTCAGAGAATTACTTTGATTGCGCGTCAACAACAGTTTTTAGAGATATTATTTTGTTAAGACTACAATTCTTTCGCATCTTTTTATCAAGTCGATTGTAGTATTTTGAATAGAATAGATTACCATATTCGAGACAATTACTTTTAAGAACGTCTGTATTCGATGAATTGGCGTTAACTATTGGCACATTCATCAAGAAAGAGTCAAGCAAATATTCATGAAAAATAACTGTCATCTTGGACGTGTTGACAAGACCCATGCGACAATGCAAGCCTACTTCACCTACGCAGGCACACATCTTTGTTGCAATGTTATTACGTGGAGGAATTCTTGAATAATCGGTTTGATAAGATTTACTTATATATTAACACTATTTGATTGAGACGAATAATTCCTCGTACGATTCGGAACGATTTCATAAGCGTAATTATCTTTTGGATCACTTTACATACTAAAAGTTGTAGTGAATAAACAAATCTCAAGTGAAATCATTTTTATTCATCAGCAAAAAAATCTGATTAAGAGTAATTCTCATGGGAACTTACCGACAGTGAACGCGATTCTCGTTACTTAATGTCAGGTTTACTCGTTTTCTGTAGATTCGTCTACAAAAACATTTCGATTATAGTAAAGATCAATATTGCATTGGTGAATTTGATCGATATTGATGTAGTATTAATTCATGCCATTACAATTTCTGTTGTCAAAATCAGAAGTGCAATGAATAGCTTGAAAATAATGATATCTATAGAGTTACACGACTTGACTTGTGTGTGTGTGTGTGTGTGTGTGTGTGTGTGTTTATAGCCAACAGGAATTTTGATAGAATTTTCTATGCTTAGATTATTAATTTCAGCATAAATACACAAAGCAAAAAGAAGACAAGCGTAGCTATTTTTTATGATTTGAAAAGTTCACGCTGTCAATTAATGATTGTAATGCAAAAAATCGTGTACCGCAAAAAACAACGTCAAATACATCATTCTATATTTAGTTGAAGATATATATATAAATGCTAATTGAATTGACAGATTAAGAAGGAATATTCTTATTAATTCTGATAGAGGTCGTGTTGTTTTATATATCAGTCGATTCTGTGGACTATCTTTTGTGGCAGGCTAAAATTGTTTTTATTACAGAAGCGAATCGACGATCTTGCATTTAATATAGTAAGAATGAAATGTCGCAAGATCAACACATTACTAACCGCTAACCGCAATTATGTTATGAGATAGACTGAATGGAACTCTGATTATTTTTCTCTCTGTGCGCAATCTATTTCATGTATGTTATAATGAAAATTTGCATAATTACCGGAAAAAATGTCCTGTATAACCCCCTTAGTTACAAAAAAAATCAATTTTTACATTATTTGAATATATATTTTTTTCCGATAATTTATCGAGTTTTGTTATATCAAATCGAATGAAGTCATATAATAGACAAGTGCATTCGTCAAGATTCTACTTTTCGTGGATGTAAGTAATGCAAGTGTACTTCTAATAGGCACTTTTGAAATTATTTTAGAGCTGGTATTTTATTGATCCTCGGCTGTATATTATTCATGATAAGTCATATATACATTCGTTGGAGTACTTTTCCATTTCAATATAGAAAAATTGCTTCTGTTTATAGTGGTCTATGGTATAGAAGTGTAGTTTATAATGGAAGATTAGTAAATGTTAGGATAATATGTGCAAAAGAGAGAATATCATGCATGAAACTCGTTGTTGCGCGGTAATACGAACATAGGAACAGCTTGATTGAATGAATATAAAAATGTATTTTCAGAATTTTTATGATCGTCACTTGCATTACATCGGGTATTGGAGCAATATGTCTTTGTATTCTGTCTAACGCTAAGAATATGTACAAATATATTCTGTACATGGTTGGATTTAGCTTTGCATGCCTGTTAGTTCGTTGCTTTTTAAATTCACCAAACGAAGATATTGTTTTGTTTAGTTCTTTCATATTTGGCATGACTGGTTTTCTATCTGGACTTAGTTGGGTAATGCAATTCGAAAGAGATGCCATTGGTGGTGCTGCGCTGTGTGCTTTAGTTGGTTCAATATTCTCACTTCTAAGTGCCATTTGCGCCTTTTTTATTAATGAAAAAGAATCGAAGTAATTTGTTCATGATGAAGTGATGCATAAAAAAAATTTAATTATAGAATTGACCTTTGAATATCAATAGGAATCGCGGCGCATATATGTTATTGTATAGAAGAGAGGAAGTAGTCTATTTAGTGAACACGTAATTCATAGTACTCTTAACTGTATTTTTCTCGTTGAGACATTCTAAGATTCCGTTATGTAAGTATTTATACCGATGCAAAAACATACATGACTTCCGGATCGATAATCAGCGTTCGGGTCTTGCTTAAGTCATTCAATAGATTTTTTACATTTCAACTGGCGATAAGATGCGACCTAGCTAATGTTGAACGATAAATATAAGGCCTCTTTCATCACGAATGTCTCTTCTAGAAAAAGCCATTACAAATTCTACGCCACTAAAAGCCATCGAGTAGGTGCGATAGTAACATCAAGCTGCCAGAAAGTCAATTCATTCTTTGCCTGTCAGTTGAATAAATGCGTACGAACATCAAAAAGAAGTAAGTAGAAATGAAGGTTTCATTATTTCGTAATAGGCTAGTTACATATATATTCCTTTACATCATCGATTTGATTTTCTTGAGAAGATGAAGTGTTGTAAAACATTGCTGTTAAACAAAGTCACATTTTACGATGGTGTGCTACTCGAATACATTCTCATGACTGTGATATGTTTTCATAGTTAATAATGGCTATAGGGATTGTACACGAAGGTCATTCTGGCCTAACAGTCCTTTCAACCAATTACTTGGGTTTCTCTTTCATAAAGATTAATCGCATAACACGCTTTCAAGAACGACATATATCATAATGTAATCAACATGCAATCGTATGGCTGCTTAAAACCAAACAATTTCGAAGAAATTATTCGCACTCGTTCGAAATCATCAGCACTTCAATTCAAGCACACTATATGATAACGATATTCCAATCAACTCAATCATTCCATAGTAGCAGTAGTTTAGAATGAAGATGATGGACTATACGTCGAGCAGAAAAACAAAGCAATTGCTTTTCAAGCTGTCATTTCGAACGTATCTGTATGAGCTAAAAGCTTACAATGTTTTCTTCGCCAGTACATTTCAATTGAAATCCATCAACATAAAAGCTTTTTTGTTGTTTTTCTTAATCTAACCGATGCTTATATTCTAAAAATACTATCTTCTATAATAGAACTCTATTGCCTGAAATACTTTTAAAGAGTGTTCTATTCATAATAATCTATGTGGAATTTTCTTCTATACTTTAGGGACCTATGAATGTCTTAATTCCGTTGCACTGTAGTTTCTTCATTCTTTTGAATTGAACAATTTGTCAAACCAAATAGAACGACACAACTGATAAAGATCTGCATTTTTTCTTTACGACAAACATACCATGTGACGTGACAGCCTCAAACACCGTTTGTATTCATTAAAAACAATTTGTCATGTATACGTTTTGCATGATAAATTTCATACAACTTATTACTATCTTTTCCTTGAAATGGTTAAAAAAAACTCTCATCGGCATAGGGAATCACAAGCAGCGAGTTGCTCTTATCGAGTACAAAAGGTTAATTTTGTTGAGGATTTTCGTTCGTTTGACGTAAGAATGAAACGAACAAGTATACTCCCTCTTACATACACCTATATAATTACTATTTCTTTCGATCGTTTGTCTACACTTGTCATTCATCTCGTCTTCCAATGCGTTCTTCATCTAACCAAAAGTTTATTGCACACATACCCAACGCAAAATCCGATCGCATGTTTTTTATTTCTTTCTGCTATTTTACGTTTTTGTTTCATGTATCGTTGTTCTTGCAGCTGCTCTTACTCCTTCTTCGTGTGACACTTCATTTTTTTCTTTTCTTCTACACCCTAAGCGACTAAAAGGTGAGAATAGAATACGCCCTGTAGCAGAAAAAGTCCTAGAGAGCGGAAGACGAGGAAGAAGAAGAGAAATAGAAAGGAAAAGAAGAAATGAACATCCATCGAATTCAAGGTTGTACTAGTCGACAATCGGTGATAGTAGGTAGTTGCATATTGATGAATTGTGTAGTAGAAGAAGGAGATGCTAGTGATTTAAAAAAAGACGGTAGAGTGGTTTGCTTGTTTATCATCAACGGCTATCGTACATCGTTTTTTCTTATAAGTTATTTTCGAACGATAATATTATTGATTGATTATTTTACTAAAGCAATTCGGTCAAATACGGATGCATGGGTAACAGGCTATTTAATTTTTTTCATTCAAACAGATAAATTATAAACTAGCTATGTTTAATCTTTTTATTGAATTATTTCTTTTTGTCTATCAATTAGTAAAGAGAAGCGACTTATCAGATTACAGAATTTCCGCTTTGTTGTGCATAATCATATGCAATTCTCTTGTTTTTGCTAGCATCAAACAGATCTATTCATGAGGGAGATTTTTTTCTTTCTTCTTTTCAGATTTGTAATTCATCATGCCATCTAAAAGCAGAAAAGTTACATATCAACATTCGACTGATCAAAATACTGATTATCTCATTCCATTAAAATCCGATTGTAATTCTTTAATACCCACAAAATTAAAACTACCGGAAAATACTGTTTCGGCTGCCCCTCCGCGTCCAAATGGCTTTTTTACTTCGATGTATTTTCCAATTTCACTTGTTATTTATATTATCATACCAATAACACAACTAGTTGTTGGCTTCATATACGTCGGTCAATGTCCTGTACAACAAATGATTGTTGTTTGGATGGTGGTTAGTGGCTTTTTTGGTATTTCATTAGCAGTTATTGGTATGATTATTCATATACAAAGTCGTAAACAATCACTAGCATTATCACCCTATGATAATTATCAGTTATATCCATTAATAATTCGTGTTCTAATACCAGCGTTTATACTCATTCTTTTATTTATAATCATTTGGTTTTTTGTTGGTCAAGTGTTAATATTTGAAGTTAAATTACGTGTAGAATTTTTCGATCCTTCGCTACCGGAATATTGCCATGCAAATTTATACAAAACCGCTTATATTCTCATATTTATCGATTATCTTATTTTTCTTCTAGTTATCATACTGAACGTACTTAGTTATGTGGCACCACCAGGCGAGAGTGACAGTAGTAAAAGCCATGAGAAAAGCAAAATTCAACTAATAAATTAAGGAAATTCAAAAGACGTATTTGTTTTTCTTTTTTTTGTATAGAAATTATCTGTATTCTTTTTTTTTAATGAATATAATAAAAATAGAATAAAAGACCCATCTTAGACAGTTGTTACTCAAATAGACAACACGATTAACTACACTAATTACAATAGTAGACGACTAATTGCTTCTTAGTGTTGCTGAAACACTTTACTGTCGATTATTTTTAGCCAAACAAGATCCTAATCAAAAATGTTCTAATAAATGTTCGTACTAAATCAAATCATAAATCAACATAGAAGGAAATCATCAATTGTTGATTATCACACTCAGAATATTTATTTCTTCCGAATGTCACCTAATTTTGAACAAAAACATTCATATATTCACTTAACATTTCATTATAATTACAGCAGATTTTTTCCTCTATATATAATTATGATTATGCCTTGATATAACGACCGCATGACTTAGTTCAGTCTTAACTCGTGTCTCAAATGGAAGAAAATTTTCTGTAGTATGACGAATTGTATTGACGGTCTTACTACGTTCGATGATTCTGCTAAAAAAAATAATCAACTTTCGTCAAAAACAGAACAGAATGTTATAGGCTCATGAGAAGACAGCCTGAGGTTTCTGTTGTCATAAATGGCATTACTTATTTGACAGCTCGGTTCTTTTTTGGTAGACTGCTTTCGCTTTACTGCTTGAAAAATATGGCTGTTTCATGTCAAACCGGAACATTTTTTTATCGCTTATTCTCATTCTAAGCTATTCTAATCGTACATCACACAATTCTCCAAGGAGCTTCACTATTGTCAATTGCTTTTATTTTTCATTTGGAAGAGCACGTCAAGATATGGTAATGGCAGAGATCTCTTGTCGAATTAAGCTTTTTTTCTATTATATTTTTATACTTCGAACTCCATGTTTTTAAGACATATAACGTTTCGCCGCTGCTCTCGTTTTTAACATTAAACATTTACAAAGAACGGCAACTTTGTCATGTCCAGGATTCTTTTATGTTATTTTTGAAACCAAAAATAATAATAATAAGTACACAAAGAATACACGGTATAAAAGAGTTTTAAATTGCCCGAGAATCTATTTATTATTCAGTCGTACTAGTAGAATATTTTACGAGGGTATGATAATGTAAAAAAAGGTAAATTTCACAGAATTTAAATGTTCCTGTCGTCACCCGATTTGGGTTTTGTTGACAGAAGTATTCCGGAATAGGAAAATGTTTCGTGAGCATCTTATCTTATTAGAACTGAATCGGATGTAGGATAATTATCTCATTTTGTTTTTGTAATTTCTATCTCAGAAACACGATAGGCAAGCTAATTCAATGTAAATTCCACCGGTGGTATAAATTAGTTTTTGAAAATGATAGGAAACGATATGAAACAGTGAAGGCCATGCCGAAACATATTTTAAGTTACTTTTTAGTTCATTAATTTCTAAGAGGATCAAGTATCATCATTTCATCTATGCAGAGGTTTTGTCCTGTATAGAAGGAAAAAATACTTTCAAAACATTAACCATAAAATTGCATACTAAAGGTAAAAATATGGAATATTCACAATAATTGTTGTTCTTACACTCATCGTCATCTACAAAATTTTGACAATCAATAGTTCCGTGCACAAATTATTTAAAAGAAAGTAATATCGCGACTTTCGTGAATGGTGGAATCGTGAGGGAACCAATGGTTGATTCCCATTTTCTCTAAGGATTATCACAGCGGCCTTGACAATCCCTCGGCAGATAAGGAATTTCTATTTCTCAGTTCTTGGACGCTGCTGCACTTCTTTATTTTAATCATTAATCAAGTACGAGATTTATCTCAACTGATTAGTAAACAGCAGGCGTATTTGTTCGTTAGTAATTAAAGCTAAATAAAAATTATTTTAGAAGACTTCTTTTTAGTTTATTCATCGAAATTTGATATCCGATAATCTGTCATAGTTCGTTCCCCTCATCGATGAAATGAATGAAAAATGAGCTTATTTTAGTATTTGACTATTCATGAATATATTAATAATTCAGTCGGAAAATGCAGTTCCTATTCTATTCTTGTTGTCATTCTTTAACAAACATGCAACTATACAGAGAACAAACATGGAATGGTAGATAATGCCTAATTATTTTATTTTTTTGTTCGTCTATTTATTTTATTTTAAATATAATTCCATAGAATCACTATTCGGTTGTTTCAAAGATGTTCATGTATGTTGCTATGGATTCTGGTGTTGCTGTTGTCTATATGGTGAAAATGCAGAAAAAATAAATAATCGATCAAAATGTTTAACTCATTGTTGCATGTATAGCTTCATGAGTTTGTTTGGCTGTTGTTGTTTGATGCATACAGTTAAACGTGGACAGTTAAGAACAAAATATAACTTAGAAGAAGACGTTTGCGCAGATTGCTTAATGACTTGTTGTTGTCCACCATGTGCTATTTGCCAAGAAGCTCGAGAAATCAAAGTTAGAGGTATGATTAGTATTTTTCTTTCATTTTCTATGGATATATCTATATTATTTGCTTATATGTCTAGGATCTGCACGACCACCAATAATTATAATACATCAACCTGTTGTATCAGTATCAAGTATAGCCGATAGTAGCGTAAATGACTGACGAGTGTGAATATTCTTTTTATTTGCATTTTAATAAAATAAAATGATTTCAAACTTTGCTTTTTAAGATTCAAACATTTTTCGAAGATCTTTGTCTGTTTAGTTATTTTATTTCAAAACTGTTTCGGATGAAAAAACCATGAAGGCATTTTTTTCCATGATGAGTTTTGCTAGGCATTTTATAGTGATGTTGTTGTACATTTTTCTTGAAGCACAGAAACAAGTACTTGACTTGATATCAACAATGTTTTCTGCTCAGAAAATTCTCTCTCGATGAGAAATGTCAGTAGGCATATTTAGAAGCAGCTTTTCATAATAAATTAGCTAGAGAATGTCATTATATCTAGAGCTTGAATATCAATCTAGTCATAACCATGTGACAAAGCATGATAGATAGGATCGTTATAATTTTTGCCGATGATGCGTTTTTGATCAACTACGCTCAATTGATCGTAGACAAACATATATAGCGACAAATCAATATGTGTTCGACAATAAGAGAAATACGTGGAAGTTCTCTACTGTCAGTGAAGCCCTTTCGTTCACTTTGCCGACCTTAGTTAATGTTTGAGCATTTCAGATCAGATAAAAAGTTTGACTAGAAGTTCGAACTTGTAGAATCTCAAGTATCTCTCATTATTATAAAGGATTGAACAGTTTCATGATTTCAAGCTAGTTGAATATCAGTGTAATCTTCTAAAACCCTTAGCGTATCGAGAGCTGATCTTATCTTGTTTTACAGCTACTTCACAAGCCTCTTACTCATCTTCATGCCATCTATACACATGAGATAAGTGTCTTGTATCGATTAATGATACTAAGGACTTTCAACTTTTTCTAGGCAAAAGCTTAACGTTTAATGATAAAGATTAGCGGTAGCGTTGTAAGAAGCCATAGAAACAATGTTGCATATTTTCCTCAATGTAAACTTCACAGTGTAATGTCACAGCTCAATCTACAGAAAAATGATAATAATCAAAGCCATTTTATTGAGTAAATATGAGAAAAGATATTTTTCCAATTTCTCTTTCACACGATCTATACTATTAATCGTCGTTATAATTTTTGGATACATGGAAGGAAGTGACTTTCGCAAAATAGTCAGTGCTTTCTCTAGATAGGAAAGTGATTTCGAGTATTCACCCATGTGTTCATACAGAACACCTATGTTAGTGTAGGAAGTAGCCAATTCGGGATGATTCGAGTGCAGAGATATTTCTTTCGTTTTAAGTGATTTTTTTGTAAAACTCAAGCGCTTTAGTGTAGTCAACCATGTTGTTATACACGAGGCTGATGTTATGGTATGAAACCGCTAAACCCAGTAGATTCAATCCGACAATAGAATCCGGCAAGATCCGATCCGATAGAGTTCCGGTATGATCCCATCGGATTTCAATAGAATCCTATATGGATATCATCAGAATCCTGGACACGGACCTACAGTCGGATCCTTGGTATTAGATCCAATTTTGAATTTTAACGGAATCCAACTCTAACGAATCATCCTGGCGCTCTAATGGCTCAAAATGCTGATTTGGTCATGTCCACGTCGTGGAGGTACGGCGGGAAACGGCCTGAAAGCTCGGAAAAGCGCTGGATAGTGAAAGCAGTATTCCGGTCGCAAATTACCGAATTCTTTCCCTGTGGATTCCGGTCAACTTCCGGCTGGAAAGACACAGGAAACTGACCGGAATTCACAAGAAAAAAAAATCCGGTAACTTCCAACCGGAATACTGCTTCCACTTTCCAGCGCTTTCGCGTGCTTTCCGGCCAGATACGGTGATTTTTCCGCAACTTTTCGGCCGGTTCCTACGGTATCCGTTCTCCGGAATCATTAGCCTGGGTGAATAAGAAAATGATTTTTTCCGTCGGAACCGACAACAGGTCCGTGTCCAGAAACCCTATCGGATTCTGCCTGGGAGTCGGATCTCATAGGATTCGATAAGATCAGTCGTCGGATTCATTCACCTAGGTAACTAATATTTCTATTTATACGTTCGGTTCTTTATTTTTTCTCTCGATATTTCACGCAGTTAAATGCGAGTGCTATTTTTTCATTGAAAGTCACAGATAAGCTCTACCTTATTTCACAAGTGAAAATACCGTGATCAGTAAGCGAATAAACGAGAAAAAAACAAACAGCATCGTCGTTTTTGTAATTTTTATTCTTGACTATTCTCATTTATTTTTCATCCATATGGTAACTTGACTGTAAGTGCGTCGTATGTCGCATCGTTTGCAGTGATTTTTTGTTGATTGACCCTTTCAGAATGCATTTTTTTCTTTATCTAAGAAAAAGAAAGAGAAGAAAAAGAAAACTTTCGTTAGTTTGATCTGTGTCCTTCTGTTTGCAATAGAGATGTCCACGCTGTGAATAAAAACTCAAAAGAAGTAAATTTAATTTCCCTTAAGTAACAGACGAAAATTTTCTACTTCTTAAATAAGTTGCTGTTGCTTCAAAAGACGGACTCAAATTGAGCAAATCTATCTTGATTTTTTTAGCAGTGTCGAACTTTCAAGTTTCATCTTATCGGTCTGACTCTACTACCACATCTTGGGTACATGTGTCTGTGTGTGCAGATGAATGTGTTCGCCCTTCGTGACACCCACACTTGAGATGCTGTGTATATGTGTAGGCGTGGTTTTCAGCCTTTTGTGACACTCACAGTTGTATCTATGTGATGTGTTGCAGTCTTTTGAAAAGGCTCTCCGAAGGGGTTGCCTTTTTGCTTTGAGGAACTTACTTAAAAGGTCTTTGCGAGAGTTTCAGTTCAGTTGAAGTTACAAATATTGCATGCATGATTAGTTGTTTCAGGCACGATAACTGGGAATTTTTATGTAAGTGCCATGAATCTAGATTATCAAGTACCAAAATCGAAATTTTAAGAGTAAAATCGAAGTTTTTCGCCGTAACACCTCTACGTAAAGTTTTCATAAAATACTTCGAAACTATGAATATGGCAATGTCTCGCCAAGACGTGTTTCAGAAATAAATTTTAGACGTATGGTATTATCCAGTGAGGGGATGACAAATGTTAGCAAAAGAGTGAATTTTCCCTGCATTGATGAGATGCATAGAATGCCAAGAGTCCCATTGATGGAGCTGAAATTGATCGAGGGTATAGACCTCAGCGGTATATAGGTCTGCAGAAAATTTCAGCTGCATTGAATGAATCCTTCTTGAGATATTGTGTATCCAAAACCGTATTTGGTGAAAGCGAAACTTGAAAGTGGAAAGTTGAATTCAAGTTTCAAGTTCGGCATATATGGACTTTTTCAGCGATACAGAGGGGTAGATAAAATTATATAATCATAATTATGCAAGTAAATCTTCGAGAAGATTGAAAATTAAGATTTTTTGACTAATTTTAAAGGCTAATACTTATCCAAACGATATTAATAAAAATAATATTTCATGAAATCCATTGCCAGTAAAAGTAACATACACGGATCAATGAGAGATACAGATTAGAATTATTGATTAGATATCATATAAAACATTATTCAAATAATGAAAACACTTTATTTTCGAATTCGATCTTACAGCAGTTTTTAAACAAAGTATAAACTGGAGCAGTGATCGAAACCAGGGGGGGGAGGCGAGGCTTCCGCAATGAAAAAATTTTGAATTACGATGGAACTACGGATTTCTCGCTTTTTCCCTTGATTCGGATACAACTCCAAAACTTCATGTCTAAAAATAAATTAAAAAAAACATGAACAACAATTAGGATATTTTCGTGTTTATCTATTTTTCATATAATTTATTATATAAAAAATATCTATTTCATAAGAAAAAATCGATTCATGAACATGATTCAAATGCGGACGATTTACAAATATACTAAAAATATTTCAAAAATAAAATTCACGAGTTTTGTCTTCTAATTTACAGTATTTTCTTATTAATAATCTGGTTTACATTTTATTTTCATAATTCAGCATCAGATGAAAGTATTTTATCAATTTTAATTAAACTTACTTACTACATCGCAAACATATCTACACGTTCACATCCAACATAAAAGTGGAATCCAATGTTGTGTTTTCTTTATTTATTAAAACGCCTCCGAAGAAGCAGCAAAAATTGCAACACTTCAGCAGAGCCGAAATGTGCGGGATATTGGGTATTAGTTTTCAACTAGCAATAACCTCTCCTCGCGAAACGCTCATTGGATAAGGTATTGCCGCTGCGCAAAGATAACTTCTTCTCGAAATTATTTTTCATTTTATATTCAAATTTATCCACAACAAAATCGGTGAACGAATGGCGAGCAGTCATTTCGAAACGATGAATCATAGTGGTGCAATCACGAAAGAGAAGGAAAATAAGCAGATGAATTCCTATATTTCATTGTTTTCAAGATAAAATAAGCCACGTGGCATCACAAAATATATAACAGAACGCAAAACGTCCCTTTTTTTCAACATATTTTTTTTAAACAATAGTCTAGAAACCAAAAAGAAAGGAAAATAAATTAACGTTGCAATCCATGCCTCGCGAACGTATTTCATATTCTCCTGCAAAAAAAAGGCGTAAGCTAACAAGTATGGATCACAACAAGCAGTCAGAATTCTCGGCACGCTCCTACCAAGTATATTGATTTGTGTTTCGTATCAAATGAGTCAATTTTATTGATTTGTATTCTTCATAGACAGAAATCATGGAACAAGCGAAATCAGAAAATTTAATTGTTTGTCTTCCTACTGGTAGTGGGAAAACATACATTGCTGTTATGCTGATAAAAGAATTGTCACGTGAAATTCGACGAAATATTAAAGACGGAGGAAAACGAACTATTTTTCTTGTTAAAACTAGTAATTCGTCGTTTTGTATCACGTAAAAAGATTTATTTCTGTTTCTTTAAGCTGAACTTGCTCGACAACATCATGAAACTTTAAAAACTTTAGATTTAAAGAGTAACATTTACTGTGGTCCATCAAAAATCAGATTAAACGATACCAACCGTTGGAATATCGAATTCGAAACATATCAAATATTAATCTTTACTGTACAAATATTTCTCGATTTACTCGCGCATAATCGTTTTTGTACGATGAAACTTTCATTTTATGATATTATTCGTTAATAAATCTTCTATCGTTTTAGCATTAGATAAAGTTAATTTATTGATAATCGATGAATGCCATCATGCAGTAGGTAATGATCCTTATGCTCAACTAATGAAACAACATTATGCTTCATGTTCACATCGTCTACGTCCACGTATACTTGGTTTAACCGCATCGATATGTGGACAAAAGATTGAACCAAAACAATTAGAAAAAGTTGCGAAAAGTCTTGAAACAATCTATGAGTAAATCTTTTCCTAGATCAAAAATCATATGTGTAAATAAATGCTTTTAGTGCTCGTATTGAGACTGGTTCAGATCAAATGGAAATAAACAATTATAGTACATTAGTTGAGGTTAAACACGAACGTTGCAAAACTTATGAACAAACTATTTCGAAGAAAGAACCTGGAATTGGAGATATTTTTGAAGTTGCTATTTTTTTTTATTGAATTTCTACAATAGATCGATTTTTTCTATAGGAAATGAAATTACTTTCTGATGAACTTGGTGAATATTTGAAAACAAATAAATGCTCAGTTATATTCGAAAATGATGTCCCACAAAGAAATGATCCAGCGAACTTTATTCAATTACAATGTCGAACTTTAGATCAATTGAAATGTCATCTAGATAATATAATTCATCTTGGCTTTGATCTTGGTCTATATGGATTTTCTTTGGGAATAAAATCACTTCGAAAGTATTTTCAATCAAAAAATACATTCATAAAAAGGACTGATCAAATTGCAAAAAAATTATACGATAAAATAATACAAAATCTTGATTCGCTAATTAATAATCAACTGCAAAATTTACCCTCCGACCGTCAAATTCTATATAGTGTTAAAGTCATTAAGCTAAAAGAACTTATAAGCCAGAACAATCTTGATCAATGCATTGTTTTTGTAGAACGAGTGCATACAGCTGCATTTTTATGTCAAGTCTTAGAGAAGATCTTTGATAATTCGATTAAAATTCAGTATCTTGCTGGTTCCAAAGCTTCCCTTGATGGAATAAATAGTCCATCTAAACATCAAGTTAGATAATATTGTAAGAAGAAAAAAATTCTATTTTATCTTATGGATTTTAGCGTCGAGTGGTGGAAGACTTTCATCTTTCAAAATTTCATGTATTAATATCTACATCAATTGTAGAAGAAGGTTAAAATTTAAAATCATTGAATATTTCAATTTTTCATTTAGTTCTATGTTTTAGGCTTCGATGTACCAGGATGTAATCTTGTTGTTCGTTTTAATAAACCAAATAATTTTGCATCCTACATGCAATCAAAAGGACGTGCTAGAGCACGTTCAAAAAATCCATTATTCGTTCTTTTTCGAGATGAATCAACAGTTGAAGAGTATTCATTGAATAGCGAAGAATATAGAAACTATGAATTTATGGAAAAAGTCAGAATAGAAAACTTGTTTTATTTATATATATATATGTTTTTTTCATATTTAGATGTTGAAAAATAATTTTAAAGCCAATTTTGATAGTGAGAACTCTTCTACTGACGATATTCATTCATTAAAATCATATCGTACAGAAAATGGAGTGAAAATTTATGGCACACGTGCAATACGACTTATTAATCAGTAAATATATAGTGAACTTAATTCTTGATTTTTATTTTCTTTATAGATATTGTGCTGTTCTTGGTAACAGTGAAATTTTATCACCACGATTTTGTTTCTATCGTACTGATAATAATAAATTTAAATGTATTTTAACAATGCCAGCCAATTGTCCGATACGAGAAGATATTATTGTAAGTTCTTTGTACAGATGTTTATAGTTTATCGTTTTTCTTGCTAGTGCGAAAATAGTAATAAAAAAATAGCTAAACAAGAATGTTGTTTGAAAATGGTCGAATTACTTCATAACAAAGGTGAACTTGATCAGAGTTGTTTACCGATTCGGCCCGAGCAATGTTTAATAATAGATGATGAAGACATTGAAAAATTACCGACAGAAACTATTGACAAGCAGGTATTGAAATGCAAATTTAACAAAAAAGAAGCCGGTTTTTTTTATATTAAACTGTCATTTAGAGTTCTTATCTCTTTCATTCTGATAGTAGCGAATCTACTTGTTGGTATTTGTATCGAATTAATATTTCAAATAATGATGGGCTTGGCTTCATTGTACCTAGTCAATTAATTTCGGTAGAGTCAATTTATTTATTTGAAATTCAGTTTCTTATAGAATTTGTTCTTCAGTTGCCAAGATTTAATTTGTACGGACAGAATGGTGAATTAACTGTTGAGGTTATCCATGTGAAATCGACGGATTTAAAGCAATGTAAAACTCAACTGCAGGCTTTTTGTCAATATATTTTTGAAGAAGTTTTCAATGGTATGAATACCGGATTAGAATCAATGCTTAAATTCGATATTGAACACTCGACTTTTAAACTACTGCCATGTCTTTTGACGAGTGAGTTTATTAAATTAGATTTCGATTTGAATTATTTCTCTCGATAGAATCGGATGAAATTGATTATCAACGAATGACGATCATTTGTAATAGGAAAAACAAGTCGCTTCAAAGTGAAGCCGAACTTAGTGATCAGGAACTTTATTATCTTTCTTATTCTTCATCGAAAGAGATCTATATGAATGTTGCGGATATTTCTCAATTGAAACAAATAACAGATCGGTGGGAATTTAAAAAACCACAAGAGAATATTGAAACCTATGCTGATTATTTCGAACACAAAATACCCAATATTCACATTCAACGAAATCGTCGAATGGCTACTATGAAAATTTTTCATAAGCCTAGGATAAATTACTTGAAAAATGGTCTATTGAGAAACGAAAAATATTCGAATAATTTGACGATCCAATCATATTATTACCCCATAGAAGTTCTTCGTTATGCTGCACTCAATCAAACAGATTTACAATTAATTTTTAAATTGCCAAGTATTCTGGTTCGCATTTCCCAATTACATTACATTGAACAGCTGAGAAAATTATTAGCTGATCATATTCAATCCTATTCGGTATAGTAGAATATTGAAAAACAGAAAATTTTTATAAGACTTCTTATATTTATTTTCATCATAGCTATTCGATGTTAACTATATGCCTAGTGTTACTTTTCAAGATTGTCTTACTAATATATTTTCAACAGTAAGTTGGATATTTACAAAAAATAAGATTTACTAAACGATTATTCTGATAGGTTCAATCAACTGTATTACCATTGGCTTGTCTTAATTATAATTTATTAGGCAATAAATGCACACATCAACCATGCTCCGATTTAATTTTTCAGTCCATTACTCGACGTTCCGCAAATGAAAATACTGATATGGAAAATTTAGAAATACTTGGCGACTGTTTCCTTAAACTGTCTATGTCAATGTCATTGTATCATCAATATCCTTTTGAAAGTGCTGGTAAATTGACAAGAAGAAAAGATAAACAAGTTTCCAATGAAAATCTTTATCGATTGGCGAAAACGAAAGACCTATTGAACTATTTATATGTTGATAATTGGATTTATGAAGGTAAACAAGCTAATTGGATACCACCAGGTTATATTACCGATGAAGAAGTATCACAAAGATATACAACACAAACAGCGAAACGAAAAGCATTTGCTGATATGATTGAAGCTTTAATGGGTGCCTTTTTAGTTTCAACAGATTATTTCACAACTATGAAATTTATGAAATGGCTAGGTCTCGATGCAATTCCAATCGATGAGCAAAGTAAGCAGTAAGTTTTTCTTTGTATGCTGTTAATAGTGACTCGTGCAGACCGCATCGCTCCACTACCATCGATTCTACTGGCTGGTTTATCGGACACGATGGATGATGTTATTCCAAGAATTGAAGAATTTTTTAACGATTTTGCATTTGATGAAATTGAAAAAAAGATAAATTATGTTTTTAAGAATAAAGCTTATCTTATCGCAGCATTTACTCATCCATCCTATTGCAATAATCGATTGACTCAATGTTATGAAAGGTATATAAACAAAAATGCAATATCATATATTTATTGACACTTTGTAATAGATTGGAATATTTAGGAGATGCTGCATTAGATTTTTTGGTTATACGATGTCTGTTTGTCGAATATTATAAAAAGGTTACGCCGAGTAATAGATTCCATTCGATATTACTTTATTGAAAGAAATTAATTTTCCTCTTAGGTCGAGTAACAGATATTCGGCAAGACTTATCAAATAATGGTCGTTTAGCATATTTGCTTGTTAGTCTTGATTTTCATAAAAAAATCTTACATGTATCACCAGATCTTAATGATCGAATGGCATTTTATTGTGGCGATATGATGCTGCTTTCAAACGATCAATCAATAAAAGACAAGTCGAATTCAAATTCTTTATACGAAATTCAAATACTTCCGGTAGTTCTTATGCTTTGGTATAGGTAGCTTTTTCTAAGCCGAAAGCTGACAAGATTTACTACGAGTCTAACCGTAATCATTAAAAAAAGAGGTTATCATGACTATATTTGTACTTAGTCCTGTAGATATTCGATTACGATGGACTTCGTCGATGAGAAAACGAGATTCTTTTTTTAAAATCTTTTGTGCTTGTACCAACTAAGTCTGTTATGGTCTATGAAGAAGATAAGCATTTATTCTATTGTAGGATATTGATGCATGGGCTGATTCAACAGCACCAAAAGCGCTCGCGGATGTCTTTGAAGCTTTAATTGGAGCCATATTTCTTGATTCTGGATATTCTCTAGAAACGGTTTGGACTATTATTGAACCGTTACTTCGACAATATATAAGTAAGTTAGTATTGAAACTTTATCTATTATTATTTGTTTTAATAGCTCGATCTATTGAACATACGAACTTAAATCCAGTGCGATCATTTCGTGAAGCTGGTGGGAAAATCGTCGAGTAAATTCATTTTGTTGTTTGAAATCGACTTTATTATTATTGATTTATTTAGTGAATCTAATGATGAAAACGGGAATTCTACTTGTACTATTGAGTCATCGAGTGGAATTAGATTTGATGGTGTTGGAAAAAATAGAAAACTTGCAAAATACGATGCATGTCGAAAAGCACATAACAATGTCTAAGCATTCGCTTTGTTTTATTCGAATGATAATTTTTAATTAATTTTTCGCTTGTGATTCAATTTACTTTAATTCTACAATGAGCATGCACAAAAGTTCGCCGTCTGTTCTTATCCTTACATTTATTTTCTAGAGAACTGAAAACTATTTAGCGAAGGGCAACCGTCTGTCTCTTTCACCGATGTATCTTAATACATAAGTTTGAAAGTATGTATTATTTGATGTCGATATATATTTATATACAAAGTCGTACTAACAAGAAATCGTTCAACTAACAATGGAAAAATCCAGAACAAGAGTGTCTCTCGTTACCATGGATGTAAAACAAACCCAATAATTCATTTTGATCTAATATACGATCAGTTGCATGGGTGGCGTTATCATTGGCTACACGGATTGTCTTTTGAGTGTGTGAGACATCATCCCTGCAAAAGTGAGAGTTAGCTAGAGAAAAAAATGAATCTAAATTCCTTGTCATCTTCGCCTTAAATTGAAGGAATCACAGCCAAAAGAAACTCTTTGCATTCTAATGTTCCATTTGTATTTTTATCAATAGAACAACAAATAGCTCAAGATATGCATAAGCATACGTGGAAAATTCCTTGATGAGTTGGCCATTATGACAGTTACGAATAAAGCCCTTGAACAATAAACATTTAGAGGGCAATTAATAGATCGAGTAATTGTCCGAAACTTCTAATCAACAAGAAAAAATAACGAGGTGATGCATCGACAGTAATTGATAGTGTTACCCTTCTCGGTAAACTTAGTTTTCTCTTTGAGTTCGTTAATTTCTATCAATCAGAACAACTAGATAAAATCGAATCTGCTTTCAAAGGTGACAAGGCAATTAGGAACTAGTCGGTTTGCATGATTGATGGCGCTGTTTTTCGTTGATAATAAAGTACCAAAACAAAAAAGGAATTCTAAAAGAAAAATGAAGAAAAGTAAAGCGATGCAATAGATATAGTGTTTTTACTTTCGTTCAGTATCGATTGTAATATTATGAAATAAGAAGATGAAAGAGAAAGAAAAAGCTTGTTAGCGCAGCTGCTTTGTAGCTGAAATGTGGAACTCAAATATTTCACAAAAGAGAGCCCGTTATTTACTAGTAATTCTTTTTTCTAATAAAGTATGGTATAAACTATACAACGCATGAAAAGCAACAATCAAGTATGATTTCGCTTATTGATGGTGGTCAATATCATCAAAGAAGTATCGAGAAGGTTTTTCAAATTGTTATTTAATTCAACTAAATTCTTCTGGTTTCTAAAATGCGTATAATTAAACATAGGCGTCATTATTCTAGAGATAGAAATTGGCATAATGTTTCAGAAAGCAACAGTTCTTTCTGAATGAAAGGAGCAAGAAAAGAAAATCTAGTAGATAAGTTCGATATTCCAGTTGTTTATTTAATCTGAATTCTTCTGAGAGATCAATTATAAAATTGGATATCAACTAAATTCGAACATTTTTTCAAAAGAGTGGTGATCGACTAGTAGTGAAATGCAATGTATTTCTATGTTAACCACGCAGCATCATAATAAAAATGGTAATGATCGCATTTTTAAACAAACGATATGAAAACACAATACATCAGCAAAAGTCATCATCTACACACGTAGCACTCGAGACTTCTTATTCAGGCTAAATTTTGCTAATGAAGCATACTCTTAAGAACTTTCTCTACGAACATGATCTTGTCGTTCATCTGTAAAATGATTATTTCATTTCAAGTTCTCTAGCAATAATAATGGAAAATTGATGAAGTCAAAGATAACTTAGCATATTATAGTTGTTGGTTTAAGATAATCGATCGGCATGAAAGCAATCTTCTTCATTTCGTATTTTTTTTCGAATAGAATTTTTAAAGTAGCGCTGTTTTTTGCGAGTCGCTATGCTATCATTCTTCCCAGGTGAAAGAAAACGGCCCGTAAACGGCATAAAAACGATCTAAAACGTTAAAAAAAGGCGCCGTTTTCCGTCAGCTCGGAAAACGAAGAGAATAGCGTTAAAAGCGATGGCCGTTTTCTAGCAAAAAAAACGGCCCGTAAAACGAGCTGACGGATTACGGCGAAATAGGGTGAAAATTAATGTCGTTTTATGTCGTTTTATAGCCGTTTCCGATGGCCTTTCAGGCGGCAGGATGATCCTCCTGGGTTCTCATTTTTCATTTTTTTACTCAGTTTCTTTTCCAATACGAATCTATCATCATCATCATTATCATCGAATGAGTTACCAAACTTCGTCTGCTATACGTATGCGCTAAATCTGCAGCATTGATCAATGACCTATTAGATACTTCGATGAAGTTACGCACAAATCGATGCATTTTGTTCCAATTAATAAGACTATACGAACATTTATATCACAGCTTTTTGACTTGTTGCTTTTTTACAGAATTAGTTTTTCAAATAGTAAAAATAATCTTTTTTTTTCCGCTCGTTTGTCTGTAATGGGGAGGGGGGGGGAGTCGCAATAACCTCACCTTAAAACTTTCACTGACAATTTTCTTCGAAAATATATGAATTCCACAAAAAAAAACATTTTTGTTAATTCAATCGGAGACGCCATAATGCAAGCAAAATTTTTATAGTCGAATCTCATCGGCTTTTCCCTTCTCTTCCTATTTGCTTTTCATTGACTTTGTGGGGAATCTTTTGGACTTTTCATGCTATCGGCGCAACCGTTGATAACCAAAGATTCTACTTCAACAGATTTCTTCTCGAATATTCAGTTTGGTTATTTCTTGCACTTCCTTAGTAGTAATACCACGATTTATCACAGCTGCCATCTAATCACTCTAGAACGTAGCCAATATTACTGTTTCTGAGTTTATTGGCATGTATACTAATTTGCTGAGGTTTTAATGAAATTGACTATGTAAACAAAAAAAGCAGAGCGCCAGTGTAACGGTTAGAGTTTTCTATTTAACATTGTTATGATGATGCTAAATCAGACATATGAGTCCCATATGTTAGTCCCTGAATACATGCACTGGCAAGAGATCAATAATATCTGCCCAACGGAACAATTTAATCTTTGCTAATTCATCGAAAACTATAAAATATACATATCGATCGAATGCCGATGAACAGCAGTACAACATAAAATTCTTTTAAGCCACTGTGTTTCATTTTGGTCTTCCTCGATTCCAAGCCAATGTAGTCTTTTTGGTATTTCTAGAGAATTCATCGATGAAACTAAAGTTATTTGCAGAACATGAAAACAATAAAAAAACATCTGCTAAATATAATGTGAATTATGTCAACAAGCATTGAATAATACAGTTTAAAAGGATAAAATTCACTACGAGTGTTTCTTGGTTTATCTATTGACATGAGCTTTTTTGTTTTTATTTCGCCATATCTGTCACCACCGGGACGTCGATTAATTAAATCAATTAAGCTGCCACACACTCATCCGTTCTTCTTCGTCGTCTCAATCCAATGTTTTATTTTCTGTTGCCAGAGTTTAGAGATGATGTTGTTTTTTCTTCTTCTTTGCTATCACAAGCAACTAACATTGTTTTGTCTTTGTGCTGATGGTAACCAATTACTGTTAGAAGCAAACTATGTAGACATACAATTATATCAGCGTTAGAAACGATACTTATCTTTCGTTGACATGACCGATTCAAAGTTATTTGTTTTATGGCTAATGTTGATTTTGGATTTAGTCAATTACTTAACTTTTGTATCTCCGAGCTTTCCTAATTTTGGATAATAATAAATATTTCAATATGTAAACATATCGTTATGTTTTTTTCTTCTTTTTGCAGTCTATTATTATCGGTGGACATCCTTGATTGCTACGTAAACATCTATGTTCTTACGAAGAAGAAGAAGAAGAGTGTCAAATGACTTGGAAAACATTCGAAAAAACAGATGTTTTCTGAAAGGAAAAAGCAAATAACGTTATTATGTTGCATTAGGTAAGCAATGATGTCCTTTGTTTGATTATTTGTTCTTGACTATTTATAGATCTATATGAACGCTTGATATTAAATTCTGCTCTAGAGCAATAAATGCTTTGTGTTGTTTTTCTTCTTATAAAATTCTTTATAACCGACCAAAAATCCTCGAATGATCCGCCATATGTTGCTGAATATTTTCATCTTGTATCAACTATTGATAAACCAATACATTTAAAAAAATACTATGGCATGCATGAATCATCTATTGATTTTTATCCAGGTACAATGAATATTATTTTAAGTGTACCACACGATGGTAATATTCCATCGAATCTACCGCGAAGACCAACATCTGCGTGTAGAAAATTAAATAGTACAAATCGAAAATGTTACTATCAAAATCCATGTGTATCTCCATTATTTAAAACTGATACAAAAAATTGTCGTATACATCATGGTCGTGATCAAAATACGCGTCTTCTTGCTTTAGCACTACGTTATGAATTAAATCAATTATTTAGCTTAAAACCTTTTGTTATTATTAATAGACTAGAAAGAACTAAAGTTGATATGAATCGCTTCATTGACGAAGGAACATTTGGTGCATCGAATACTATGCACGCATGGATGAGATATCATTTCTATTTGAGACATGCAAGAGAACTTATTATGGGCCATAAGGATAACTATCGAGAAAAAGGATTATTATTCGATATACATTCACAAGATCATGAGCATGGTTGGGTTGAATTAGGCTATATGCTAACGAGTCGTCAATTATCGACAAATAATTATTCACTAAAAAGTTCGTCATTAGCATCATACTTAGGAACACGATTCAACCCCATCGAACTCATAAGCGGAAATAAATCTCTTGGATATTTTATCACCAAATATAAATATTCATCAACACCAAGTCCAACATTTCCATTTCCGCCCGATCATTCCTATTTTGAGTGGGGTTATACAATCGAAGAATACGGCCGATATAATAATTTTAGTGCAATAATGATTGAATCACCGTCGAAAGAACTTGTTAATCGAACGAAATTATATGATTATGCGAGAACATTAGCGATTGCTTTACATGATTATCTGATTGAAATTGAACTCTTAGAATCTCTAATTACACATGAAAATATTAATCAAACTCTGATCAATAAACAATGCAATATTAGTAAAAAATTAAATGTTCAGATAAGGGTTTTTATGCTCCTGTTCATACATGTTCTTAATCTTATTTGAACAGAAAAACACACTCTATTTTTAATTCAAATAAACAAAAAATATTCAAAAAAATCTTATTCTAACTGGAGCAATTGACGTAATCGCTGTTGAAATAAAAACTGCTAAAAAATAGATAGAGAATAAGTGAAATTTCTATGAAAAAATATTTTTTCGACTTACCGATCGGAGTTTTTTTAGAAAATTGTGCATGGGATTTTTATTAGATGTACTCGGTATCTCTATACCATCGCCATTTGTGTCAGTATTGGTATGAACAACATCTGGAACTAATCTATCTCTTAACAGTTCACGCTTACCCCAATTGCCTAAACGAAATAATGTTTTCAAACATTTCAATAGTCAATTCAAAAAAGCTTTATACCTCCAAAACATGAGTGGCCAAAATCTCCACAAAGACTACTTAGAGCAATTGATTGAACAGATCTTGTTGATTGCAATACAAGTAAAATAATAAGAAAATACGAGAGACAAAGAGGCATTAAAACAATGGATTGTCGATTCATGATCAATATGGAAAGTAAAGCTTATATGGAAGTAATAATCTAGAATGAAAGAAAAGAAGAAGAAAACTGAAAAATATATATGCTATTGCTAGCATGATTTTAATCACCGTCTGAATAAAGTATAAGTCATTTCTTATTCATAAGCAATAGAAAAATTGCATACGAGCGCACTTCATTCTCTAGAGAGAAGAAAATTTATAAATTAACAAAAGTATACAATACTGATTCTAAGTAAACTTTTTGTATAACGTATTTCATAAACTAACAGACAAAGTGGGGGAGTGCGCGTGTGAGAGAGAGAAAGGACGATATATGTTTTTTCCATAAACAAAAAAAGGAAATTAGAAGAAGTATTCTCGTAATACTACTACACTTACGTAGCTACTGTTCAAATGTTTAAATCTGCAGATATAAAATTTCTTATGTAATGTATTATGTGATTAAGAAAATGAATGTATTTTCAATGAATAGAAAATATCAACACTTATTAGTTTTGTATTCTCTTGTGTAACTGAACTAATGAAAAGAGAGAAAAATACGACAATTGTTTTCTATACTTGAGCAAATCGAATTGTATTTTTAATTGGGGGATTGAAAGAAAACAACAGTAAACTTTAAACATACGCAATCAATAATTGATCATCCAAATCTACTAATGAATGTGAGTAATGGAACATTTATGATAAATAAATAAATAGAGAATGCATATAATATCAATGCAATATAAAATATAGAGAGTAGCAACAAAAACGGATCTGTTTGGCTTCAAAATATGACCTTAGAAAATTAATTATAATTTCATTGAAAAGTCAAACTCCATTCAAAACTACTGATCCGTATGAAGTCAAATTCGACCAGGGGAGGTTTCTCGATTTTCTCCCTAGAGGTCATATACTTAACAGAAAACAAAAATAAAATAAAATTTATGATTAGGAATATGTCACTCCCTCAGTACCTTTTTCTTTTTGGCTCAGTCGAGTTACTCGTAATTCTCTCTCTCTCTCTCTCTCTCTCTCTCCCCTCTCTCCCTCCCTCCACTCTATCTCCCCCCTCTCTCTCGTTGATGGAAAATAAACGACTATATCAGCATGGATTAATTAGTGCTCGTTGAGTAGCGTCATCTACAGGATACTTTCAATCCTATATCAAAAAAGTATTGATTCAAATTGATAAAACCAATTTTGAAACAGAAAATTTTGAAAAAAATTTCTTTTATAACTTCAATGATGATCGTAACGAACCAATAGATGTTCCTAAAAAACTACAGAACCAAAGAAAGAAAAACAGGCGTAACTGAGGTAGATTCTTTGTATTATTGCAATCATTATTTCTCATATTATATTGTTTTCTTTGATGTTCTTTGTTTCGTCTATAAAGATATTCATCAGTGATAGACCTTGGAAAAATATGTGCATTATAAGATAATCATAATCATATTAACTTTCTATTATTGCGACGTGCACTTGCATTTTATTTTATTTTACTTGCTATTTCGCAAGTGATCTGATCATAGTTTACATAGGTAGATCATAAGCTCTAATGATTTTGTTCTTTTCTCTCATAACGACCGCTTGTGTTCTCTTTTCGTCATGTCAATCTGTTTGATTTATAACCCTGGTTTTTTTAATAAGTGATAATAGAGAGAGAGCGCACAAGAAGAAAACAACGGATAACATGTCTATAAAATACAAATTATGTCGATGAATAGAGAACATTACTAAATGTATCACTAAATTTGTTCGCAATATTCTTTCAATATACTCTCTTTTAGTTTTCATTTTTGCTCCGTTTTGTTTTTTGTCTTATATAGTAAGAGTAGTAGTTGTTTGTGCGTGTTGTGTGATAATACCATCGTATCTTTTTTTTTAACTTCTACACTACGAAAAACATTAAGAGAGAAGAACAAGACAGAGTACTGCCATTGCGAAGTGTAAGACCGCTCCTCTGGCCCAGAGTTACAAGAGAGGAAAAAGAAACAGCATGAAAAGAGAAGAAAAAAAAAGAACAGCATAAAGAACATACAAACGAAAGGTAACTGACAGACATATTACAACAAAATTCATCGATATTCACTTTTTCTAACTCTCTTTCAAGGTTTTCTACGGCAATGACAACGTTATCGGTACTTCTTACGCTCAGTATCGTTTCCACTGCGCTATTGTATATTTTTTCTTCTTCTATTGATATCTAGAAAATGCGTTTTGACAAGAATAGAAAAATAAACGATAAACTTAAAAAAATAACCGTTTGAGTCTATTGCACGAATATATAAGCATCATCAAAAATGTATCTTCATTTGCTTCTTTCTTCTTTTTTTAATGTCAATACGAATTCCACGTACACCAGTCAGTTTCAGGTGTGAACGAATGCCAGTATGAGCTAAGTGTACTCTGTTGGATGATAGGCGTCTCTCAGCAACCAGTTTTGTAACAATACACTATAGCGAATAAAAGTAATTCGTTCTTGTTTTTTACGCAAATAAATATTTCTTCTCATTCTGTGCTCTACTTTTTCTTTTCAGACCAAAGTCCGACCGCCGAAATAAAACGGTGGAATCAGTACTTTTGTCATTTCTTTTCTGTCTCGATCCAATTTAATATAATCACTGCTTTTTTGTGTTTTTTTTTTGTCGATTTTACAGAGCACAATGTGCGTTTCATCAAAAACGATCTCTTGTACGACGTCATCACCTGGTATATAGCGAATAAAAAACATTTTACGAATTCATTTTTACGTTGTGAAATTTATATTTTCGTCTCCTTCGTCTGTCAGCCTCATCAACAGCAACGTCAAGAAACACTACAATGTCGAACAATATGGAAGAAGAATTTTCAAATGAGGACATTCTTGTTGATAAAAACTCTATGCCTGAAGATGATCCTAACGGTAATACTTTACATGATGCTCACGATATACGCTGGGGACCGCAACATGCCGGTGCCAAATTACTCGCTAGCCAATATACAAAAGGTAAGTGACAGTAAAAAGGAGCTCTACAGCGTATTTTACGATAATATGACCTTGAATAAAAAGAAGCACTACAAACATGTAGCGTTGGCAACCATATATACTATTTTTCAGTATTTCTTTCTAGACTAAATCATTGACATATTCCATATGGTTAATTGTTAGCGATTCAACAGATTTAAATACGTTTATTTTCAGTCTTAGCAACAATAAATAGTTGGACACCTGAGAAAGAAACTATTTTGCTTTGGTTTTGTTGAATTATTTCTTAAAGACTTTGCGAGATTCTTAAAATAACATTCAAAATATTTTTATTTTTTTGCGCAAAAAAATAAAAATATTTATTCGAGCTATAATCAAATTTGCACTAGAAAGAAAAGCGACGGAAGGTATTGATTACCCGTTAAAAAATATGCTATAAAATTGTCTTAATTTTCTGCCAAGTATTCAATGTTGATGCACTTCAAAGTTTACTCGACTCCATCAAAGTACAACTAAAAATCATAAGCCGGAAAATTTTTCAGAAGTTTATTATTTTTTCTTATTGACGTTTTTCTGTAACAATGAGTATGATTAAAAGCAGCTCTATTGAGACAACGTTTGCTGGAGATAATTTCGCATTCTTTTATTTCTATCCATAGTTTGTTTACATTAGTACTCCTGATCGTTCTTATCTATATTGCCTACGGGTTTGTCTCAAAATTGGAAAAGAACTTCCGCTTTTTCTGATAAGAAAAGTAAAACACACGACAGCTTCCTGTTTAAAATTCCTACTTTTTTTCTATTTAGAAAAACGTATACAAGAAATAATATGCATTATCTTATTCATTATATTAATGATTTATAATTTTCTCTTTATTTGTTATTATTTTGATGTGAGAAATTGGTATCTTATCATTCCCGCCGCTTGTATGTTAATGTTCTATGTAGTATCGTCATTTTAGCACATGTCTGTTTTTCTTCGTCGTTCTAATAGTGTCAGGAATTTTAACAGCTGATTTTGCATCAGGTATTGTTCATTGGGGTGCTGATACATGGGGTGCAGTTGATATGCCAATAATTGGTCGAAACTTTTTGCGACCATTTCGAGAACATCATATTGATCCAACATCAATAACACGTCATGATTTTATTGAAACAAATGGTGACAATTTTGCAGTGACTATTCCCTATCTATTGTATATGGCTTATAAATTTACTTATTCTAATGATATTGATATAAGACGCCTATATAATATTGAAGTCTACATGTTTCTTCTGGCTATTTTTGTCTCAATGACGAATCAAGTAGAAAAATTATTTAATTATTTTTATCGTTTATTTTAATGAAGACATTTTAGTTTCATAAATGGTCCCATACTTATTTTGGTCTACCTTTTTACATATCTGTTCTACAACGTTATCATATTATTCTACCTCGAAAACACCATCGAATACATCATGGTATAGATATCTTCCTTCTTTTTTTGTTAAAATTTTATTCTTATTCTTGTTCTTCTTCTTTTAGTTGTACCTCATGATACCTATTTTTGTAGTGAGTATTTGTCTTTTTCGTTCCGTATAGGGCAAAAATAAAATTGATGTAACTATTTTGTCTTTTTCCATAGTTACAACTGGTTGGCTGAATAGACCACTTGAAGCCATACAATTTTGGTCACGACTTGAGCTACTTATTGAGAAATACTCGGGAGCGAAACCTCGTTCCGATGATTTTGCTTGGGCGCAAAAAACGGAAAAAGTTCATTTTGAATAGCAAATTTTTTATCGCTTTTTTTATGGTTTAAAATCAAGTGCGATTATCGTATTCTTTTTTGTTTTCCTTTTCTTACAGATTTCTCATTCTATTTTTTCTTCTACTGCGTTTGCATTGAGAGTTTTTCATTTTCAAAAGCTTTTCTTCTTTATCTTCTCCTAAAATCATC